GTTGAGTAAGGACATTTAGTAAATAAAAGTGCATACAAGATGAAATGTACCTATGGCTATGTATCCTTTGCAGTTATCTCATAACAAATTCGTGAAGTGATCACCACGAATACACCTATTTACAAAGTGTGTAACAAATAGTACTTGTCACACCAAGTCACTAAGAACAAAATGTAACCTTGTAAAATGTGCACACAAATCGGTATACAAGTGGCACACACAAATGTGAACTTATAAAAAAAAAAAAAAAAATTAATTAATATTAAATTATATTAAATTAAATTATATTAAATTAAATTATATTATATTAAATTAAATTATATTAAATTATATTATATTAAATTAAATTATATTAAATTAAATTATATTAAATTAAATTATATTAAATTAAATTATATTATATTAAATTAAAATATAAAACAGCGAAAAGGAGCGCTAACAAAATAAGTGATGTAGGTGTAGGGGGCATGTACAAGAGAACCTGGGTAGAACTTGTGAAGTCAATCTACCATGCACCCAAATTTAATGAGTAGAATTAAAATGATATAAACTAGGAAACCAACTAATGTCCATGGGGATTAGGCAAACGGTACGCAGAAGGAACACCACCCATATTGCTAAGAAACATCATTTCATTGAGGTAAACGTTCGATGGATTACCATTATACATATTATAGGGATGCGTAACAACATGCGTATTTATTATCTTTTTGTTGGTGTAATTACCTGTACTGGAGATTGGGTAAACATTTGAGTTAACATATGCAACATTACTGAATGGAACCTTTTTCATTTTATTATTTAAATTATATTTATTTATACCATTTAGTTCGTTATTTACCATGTGTACATTGTAATTGAACCTATCATAAGTGTCGCTTATGGTCTCATTTGAATGTGTACCATTTCTTTCAGTATACTGGTTATATAACATCGACCTTGGGTAGTTGGGGTTTACGTATTTGTTGTTATAATTTTGTGCTATAAAAGATGTGGTGTTGTAATTGTTATAAGGAATTACATTTGATGTGTATGTAACACTAGCATTCTTCTTATGGATACTCTGATTGTCCGAGTTGGCCATATTGTAGAAGTTGTTACTACATCTGTTCGGTTTACATAACTGTTTGGAAACGTTTCCCTGCATCTTAACAGAACTCGTGGAATCTACACAATCGTGTGGTGTATTTCCATTCATACTGGGTGCACCCATATAGGTAACATTTTGTCCTGCATGCGCAAGTAGATCAGTTGCATTATTATTATTTGGGTAGACCATTTCGGTAACTCTACCATAATTTACATAAGACATATTTTTAAACTCGTAATTTTCATGACGATGGGATGATGCATTAGCATAATTACGCCCTTTTTTGGATTTATAGGGGATATTGTTTTTGGTATATTCTCGATAATTGTTATTTTTATGTGTTAATTCACCTCTAGGAATATGCTTTTTTTTGGATTTTTTTATTTGCACATTTGTATTCATATTTTTGCCTGCCTCTTTGCAGGACGGAGATGTAATTCTGTCTAATAAATTACCAATCACATATCCATTTTGTTTATTAGAATTTGGTGTATTGTTCTTCTCATCATAATTGTCTGGCCCATTGTTATGACTATTTCTTTCCATCAGCTGTGCATCTGCAATATTGTACAAATCGTGGTAGTTAATAAAAACATAAGGTATCGTTATATTTTTGAATACACTAAACAATTCGGAGCAAATATTTGTTCCTACATTGATGTATAATGCATGTTTTTGATCGACGTATATATCTATATTTTCCTTTAATTCATTTTTAAGATGTGGAAAAATCAATTTGGCATAATAAAAAACTTCTGTCTCAGTTGAAGTGACATTAATAATGCATCCAATTAATTTTCTATTTTCTAAACACAAAACAGATGCAACACTTAAATAATATTCACAACGAAATGCATGAATTGTTAGTACATCGTTTTCCATTTTTATTAATTTCCCTATTTTTTCTATTTTTACATCTTCTTTTACGCATTCTGGGGCTCCCATTAATCTTATTCTACTTTGGTTGCTAAACATATTTTTTCCTTCTGGGAAAACACACTCTGTTGGTTTTACCAATATCATATTTTCAGATACATCTTCTTCACCATTTATTTTTTCGTTCAAGATTACATTCGTCCTTCCTTTAGTAATTCCATCTTTTGTTTCATCACTGATTAACTCCAGAGATACTTTTTCTGTTTTAATATTGAACATGTGATCATCTTCCTGAAAACATGAGTCCTGCCCCAATGTAATTTGCACATCTTTGTGATTTTCCTTTTGTTTATCACTTTTTAACTCATCTTCGATCACCATATGATCATCTGGAATGTGCAAAGATTGAATGTAAGCATTATCTTTTTGGATTTTCAGATGTTTGATTTCATTAGTTCTTGGAATTTCCTCAATATCTTGTTCCCCCTCTGAGTTGTCAAAATCAGATAACTCGGTGCTTGTTTCATTTTCTTCATCCTGATTTTCTTTTAAAAAATTCAATGAATTATTTTGTTTTTTCATTTCAGAGGAGTTATCTCTATTATGGTTAGCTAAATCGTAATAAGCCATTCTAGATGCGAATAAAAATTCATCCACTTCATTTTTCCCATCAATAATTATATTCCCTTTATAATGTTTATCCAAATATCTGTCAAACGTACCTTCACCTTCTTCTTCTTCTTCTGTTTTTTTTAAACCTTCTATATTTTCATTTTCATATAATGAAATTAAGTCATCTGGATCTATGTCTTTATACTTACCATAATTACTTTGTGTTGATAAGGATGCTGCAACAGACGAGCCATCCTCTTCTTCACTATCCATTATTTCGTTTCTTATTTTGCTATTGTTACTTAAAAAATCGGCTTCATCATGCTCATTCTCTGATGATACTGTACATTCAGGCTCGCACTTGTCTTCGTAAGTTTTGTTGTATTTTTGTGCATCATTTTTCTTTGAAAATATTCCATTTTTTCCCTCTCCCTTTTCTTCATGCATATTGGACACATGACTTCCACTACATCTTAACAAGTCCACTTTGTCATTATCATCATCATAAGTTACATATCCGATATTATTCATCTGATTATTCTCTTGATATTCCTTCATCATGTAACCCTTGTCTGAATTCTCCTCTATTCCTTCTCTCTTTCGCTTTCCCAAATGGCCATTGTTTTCAAACTTCCTGATATTCACATGATTCGTCGGCATCACCATGGAATCGTCATTAATTTGATGAATTGAATTTACTCCATTGAGATTATTTATTTCCTCTTTGTTCTTATTATAATCTATGCTATTCCTTTGCTTATGTACACTGTAACTATTACTCATCATTATTTGAGATTCATTTCCTTCTTCCTGATTTTCCAGTAGTTCTTCAGTTGATGTTAACATTTTTCAAGTTGCAAATACCACAGATGTGAATAATGGCGAGAAAAAAAAAAAAAAAAAAAAAAAAAAAAAAAAGCACTATCATTTAAATCATTGATTAAATTATAAGCGAAAATTAACCACACCAACCCCCATCTGGTGTTTTTTTGTTCAGTTGAGCTGTTTTTTTACCGGTGCTTTTTTTTTTTGGTATAAAAGCATAGTGGACCTGTTTTGTGTATAGAATTTTTTTATTCGCGATGTAACAAAAATGTAAGTATGCATCTATAGGCATACAAAAGTATTTATCCTATGTACGGGTGAAGAGGTGATGGGATGGATACAAAGTTGTGAATTTTGAGGTACGTTTTTCTTGGGGGTAGTTTCTATTTTTTTTTTTTTTCTTTGTTCATTTTTAACAAAATAGATAAAACAATATAACTCTACAATTTTGCAGGTGATCTAAATGTGAAAGTGTTTAAAATGGTTGTCAAAAAAAAAGAAAAAAATAAATAAACAAAAACATAATGTAATGAAAAGAAACAAATCAAAATAAAACCAAACAAATAGAAAAATATAATTTAAGGAAAGAGGAAATTTTATGGGAGAAACCCCGAAGTACATATATATAGGAAAAAGAAATAGAACACATAATTTCTAAAAAATTTGCCATATTTTCATAGCACAGATTTATGTTAAAGATGCATTTTTAATACATTCATATTCAAATTAATTAAATATGTGCCTTTTTTTTTTCGGGGTAAATTTCCAAGGCTTTTTTTTTTTTTTTTTTTTTTTTTTAGAGCTTACAATTTTGTGTGTCCAAATGCAGAGGTAAAAAAAAAAAAAAAAAAAAAAAAGAGAAATGGAGAAGAAAAAATATAAAAAAAAAAAAATGGAACTCCTTTTGTCATTTTCAACTTCTTACGTATTTTTGAACAAATATAAAAGGTTATCCTATATATATATTTTTATTTATTTCCAACATAGGTGTGCTAATTATGCTATTTATATACATTTGTGCTATTTTGCATCAGCTGGTATCATTTTATATGCCCACGCGACCAACTTGTCAATTGTAGTATTCCCGTAGACCATAAATCCACGACAAAGGCAAAATCATTCAGAAGGGCAGTTATAAAATTATTCTTAGAGAAAACACAACTTGGAGGAAGTTATTCCAAATAATCACACATCTGAGAAAGGCATATTTTTAGTTCATTCTGATGTCCTCGAAAGTACAAGCATAGTGGAAAAACATTTATTTACCCATCCCTCGCAGCGAGCCGACGAGCGAACCATTAATCCACCTTTTAATTACACTTTCCTTGCCTTCCCCGCGGAACTATTAGTCAATACCCAGACGCAGATGTTAAGTAATATTTGCATAGATCACATTTGCATAAATACTTGAATATGAAAAATTAACCATACTTTCTGCATATTTTTACAAACAAGAAATGAAAAAAGGGAAAGCAAAAAACAATTGAACTCAAAATTAAAAAGCGAAAAGCATGTTGCACACTACAACAGAAGTTATAGAAAAAAAAAAAAAATAATAAAATAAAAATAAATAAATAATATAACATCTTTTTAAAGAACTTTAATTTATGTTGCAACACCTACTAAGTAGGAGGTATTTGTGCAAATTTTTTTTCTGAACAACATAAGGACACATTTTATCGTTTGTCAGTAAACACACATAGATGAGACGAACGACGCTCCATTACAATTTGTGAAGTGTGCCATATTATAAAATTTTAATGTAAGTAAAAGTAAAACAGTTCTCTTTTTTGCCTCCTTATGTTTTCTTCGTATAAGTGCAAGCAGAAAAAAAAGGAGACAGATAACTAGAAACATTTAGATGGAGTACACACAAACAGAGTTCTTCACTGAAACTTACGTCTTGTCTCAACACTGCAGTTCTGGTGAAAATATATCCTGTCTCATTTGAGGCCATATAAGTCTTTCCATCTTCACTACCAGGATCCACTATTTTGACACCCCGAAAAATGGACCATAGGGGCCACTTGAAAAGTCTTGAAGAGATGAATCACCTGCACAATGTGAAATATCTCGAGACGAGTGATATAACAGATTTTAACAAGAAAAGTGCATATTACATTTGCAAACAAATTTCAGAAAAGCAGTTATGTAATGAAGGTGGGCATGTTGTGATAGGTCTTTCTGGTGGGAAAACACCCATTGATGTGTATAAAAATATATCTGTAATAAAGGACATAAAAATTGATACAAGTAAATTAATATTCTTCATAATTGATGAAAGATATAAAAATGATAATCACAAATTTAGTAATTATAATAATATAAAATTTTTATTTCATAACTTAAATATAAATGAGAAGGAACAATTATATAGACCAGACACATCAATGAATCTTGTCGATTGTGTACGAGATTATAATGAGAAAATAAAGAGTATGATGAAAAAATATGGAAAAGTAGATATTGCTATATTAGGCATGGGTAGCGATTTTCACATAGCCAGCTTATTTCCAAATATATTTTATAATATATACATGAACAATTATCAGAATAGTTATATATATGATGAATCATCGATAAAATTAATGAATACTAATGATAACGACAATGATAATTTACATCTACTAAAGGAATATGTATACTTTACAACAACCAACAATTTTGATGTGAGAAAAAGAATTACTGTATCGTTAGATTTACTGGGAAATGCTTTAAGCAAAATATTTTTATTAAATTCAGCAGAAAAGTTAGATTTATGGAAAAATATGCTTTTAAAATCATATATAGAAGTAAACTATTCCTTATACCCAGCTGTTTACTTAATTGATTCAATGAATACTACTGTGATAACTTGTGGTTATACAAATTATACAAAAAAGTTGGATGAAATTTATGTATCCAATAATTCGTTTTCCTTACATTCACCCAGAATAAATAGAAGAGAACTATTAACAATTATAATTTTTGGATGTTCAGGAGATTTAGCAAAAAAAAAAATTTACCCATCTATTTTTAAACTATTTTGTAATAAACGCTTGCCAAAGGATTTATTAGTAGTAGGGTTTGCCAGAACATCTCAGGATTTTGATTCTTTTTTTGATAAAATTGTTGGATATTTAAAAAAATGCCTACATAGTTATAAGGATTTATCACTTATTCAGAAAAAAGACCTTTTAAATAGTTTTAAAAACAGATGCAGATATTACATTGGAAATTATTCCTCTTCAGAAAGTTTTGAGAAATTTAACAAATACCTGACACAACTGGAGCGCGAAAATTTGGCTACCAGCCCTCCTGAAAGTTATTATCAAGGGGGAAATATCTTATCTATTGAATCGCCAAGGAAAATGGAAATAGAAAGCCCCAAATTCAATTCAAATGGAACGATTGATGGAACAAATGAAAAAATCATAGGAGAAGTAAACAAACTATCAAGCCCTAGGAAGAACAAAAATTCACAAACAGATGAGACAACAGATTTAGGATATTCGATTACAAGTCACCCGTTCCTTATAAGCAGAATGTTGTACTTAGCCCTCCCTCCACACATATTTGTAAGCACATTAAAGAATTACAAAAAATATTGCCTAAATTGTAATGGAACAGATAAAATATTGCTAGAAAAACCATTTGGAAAGGATTTGGAATCATTTAAAGTGTTATCAAAGCAGATATTAGAAAATTTTAATGAAGAGCATATATACAGAATAGATCATTATTTGGGAAAGGACATGGTTTCAGGATTACAAAAACTAAAATTTACAAACACATTTTTATTATCTCTTATGAATAGACATTTTATTAAATGCATAAAAATAACTTTGAAGGAAACAAAAGGAGTTTATGGTAGAGGGCAATACTTTGATCCTTATGGGATAATTCGAGACGTTATGCAAAATCATATGTTGCAATTATTGGCATTAATAACAATGGAAAATCCTATAGATTTTAATGATGAATCTGTAAAGAATGAAAAAATAAAAATACTTAAATGTATTCCATCTATAAAATTAACTGATACAATAATTGGACAATATGTTAAATCCGAGAATTACCATGAAAGTAAAGATTCATCAGCCAACGATGAACATTTAATAGATGAATCGAAAAGAAATCATAGTTACCATGATGATCCACACATAGATCCAAATTCAATAACACCAACCTTTTGTACTTGTATTCTATATATCAATTCGATAAATTGGTATGGGGTACCAATTATATTCAAAGCAGGAAAAGGATTAAATAAAGATATATGTGAAATTCGAATTCAGTTTCATAACATCATGGGTTCATCTGATGAAAGTATGTATAATAACGAATTTGTTATTATACTTCAACCTGTTGAAGTTATATATCTAAAAATGATGATAAAAAAAACTGGATGTGACGAAATGGAAGAAGTTCAATTAAATCTAACAGTTAATGATAAAAATAAGAATATTAATGTACCAGAAGCTTATGAAACGTTATTGTTAGAATGTTTTAAAGGTTATAAAGAAAAATTCATTTCAGATGAAGAGTTGTATGAATCATGGAGAATATTTACTCCACTTTTAAATGAATTACAAGAAAAAAAAGTCAATCCTTTGAAATATCCTTTTGGTTCCTCGGGGCCTAAGGAAGTTTATGACCTTGTTAAGAAGTATTATAACTATGGTAAAAATTACGCGAACACACCTGAGTTTGTCCGGAAGTCTTCTTTCTATGAGGATAATTTATTAGATATTAATTAGGAAACTTTTTTTCTCAACCTGTCCCCCTATCCCGTAGGGTTATTGTTCATGTAGTTCCACGCTATATCTCAAGCATACGTATGTGGCAAAGAGGCGTGTTGCACAGTGGCTATTTTTGGTGATATAAGTTTTCCTGTTTATTGAGAAGTTTTTCTGAATTTGCGCAAACAAGTGAACATTATAGGAAAATCTCAATGGGCTAAGCATATTCACCGACATCTTAGTTCTGATACTAGTTCATGCTCAAGTTTACGTTGCATATAAGTTGTCATTTTTTTTTTTTTTTTTTTTTTTTTGCGTGTGAAATAAATTTTATCCGTTATATCACTCGCGCATTTCATACAAAAAGAGAAAATCTCATAATTAACCAACTTTTTTTTGGCATTTAATTTTACCAAACATTTAAAAATATTAGCAAAACCCATTTATAATATTGCAATTTTATACACACAAATTCGGTGTAACAACAGTAATTGGTCAAAATTAGCCCAATTAATATAATGTTTCACAATTTATGCATAAAATTTTCTTATTATTTTAAGCAAAACATTGAATTTTTAAAAGATCTACATTTATGTCAACAAGTGTTCTAGTTTAAAAAAACGACTTTATAGTGGAAATTATATAGTTGATGCAAATGTATTCAGCATATAAAGGTCCTTTTTTAACAATTTAACCCTCAAGTGTCATATATACCATGTGCGTAATGAACAGCGTTAGATGATATCCCTTTTACAACACAGAACCTGCAGTTTTCAACACACGCGTGTTTGTATGAGGGGCGAAAATAATAAATGTGTAAAAAAAAAAAAAGAGCATAACCATTATGTGATAAAAAATGCATTTTTAATGCGTTGAACAAAAGTACATTGTATTGTCCATCTATTTTAATTTTTTTTTTTTTTTTTTTTTAAAATAAAGTTAGATTTCTCTTGCTATTAAACTTAATTGGATCAACGTTTGTTTTACGTCTGTTAAATTAATTCTAGGCAATTTTTTCAAAAGTACCCTTCTTATTTAGTTTTCTAATATGGCAAAAAAAAAAAAAAAAAAAAAAAAAAAAATTGATTTAAAAAAGAGGCAACAAATATAACCTAAAAAACCTTGTGGCAAACTTTTAGGCGTTTATAGCACATAGGGGGTGAGGCGCATAATATAAGAGAAAATATATTGCAATTCTAAATTTTAGATTTTTACTTTTTTCTGTTTTGTGTCATATTATTCTATCATTTTGTTATGGCATTTTTTTTTTTTTTAATCATAAACCATAGTACGTTTGATAATCCTTTAAACTTTATGAATCTGATTCATATATTTGAATATTTCATTTTTTTTTTTTTTTTTTTCTTCTTTTGCTACTTAATGTACAATTATTATTGCTAAATGATCTTTGGTTTCGTTTCGAAATAGGAAAAAAAAAAAAAAAAAAAAAAAAAAGGGAAACTTTTTCCCTTGAATAAAATAAAATTTTAAGAAATTTGTATATATGTATGTGCATGTATATATGCACATATGTATACACATGATATTATATACAGCACGCTAAATTCATAATATATATTTTTGGTATATGTTAAAACATATCTCACTATTTTGTTTATCTTTCTCATTTTCTTTTGAATGATAAAAGTGATATACCCCAGGAGTGCCTTTCTAAAGAATACATATTATATAGTATATATGCTCATGCGTGATTTTGTACATATACGGGGGTATGTAAATAACTGCATGCCTTTGAATAAATGGTTGTATGTAAAATGGTATTTATACATGGATGTGAGAACTTACATAAGCATAAAGGCATGTGTACATATATTTGTATACACTGCTCACATGCATATAAAAAGTATATCTGCATACACACATGTATACATTTTTACATACCGCAATATAAGTGTATAAACACTTTTATTATTATTATTATTTTTTTTTTTAAACTATGCTACTGGTTCTTGCACTTCTACAATTGGATCCTGAATTTTTCCTTCATCTTCATGTCTTCCATTTTTCTCCATATTACATTTGGAATCCTTAAGATCATGTTTTTTATCTGCATCCTTTTTATTATCAACATCTTCATCATCTTCATCCTCGTCTTCAGCATCATCATCATCATCCTCATCATCACTAGTGTCATCACCATAAGAACTTGAATCATCATCGTTCATACCATTCATATTTGGCATGTTTTTAAATTGATCCATTCCTCCTAATCCTGGAAAATTAGCCATATCATCACCCATATTTCCTAGCTTACTGAAATCGAGATCTCCCATACCTGGCATACCGCCCATACCTGGCATGCCTCCCATTCCTGGCATACCTCCCATTCCTGGCATGCCACCCATACCTGGCATATTACCAAACTGACTCATATCAGGCATACCACCCATACCACCAAAGCTATTCATTGCCATATCGTCATATTCTGTTGTTTTATTTTCTTCATCTGTATCAACCCATGAATTCCAGTCACACTTAATCCAGTGTTTTTTACCATCACCATTTATGGTCTTCCATCTTTCTTTTTCTTTTTTTATTATTTTAAATTTTATATTCCTCTTTGTGCTATATTTTGACTCTTCTACATTTATTGGTTTCAAAAAATTTAAAGTGAATTCATATTCATTTTTATCTTTTTTTCCGTAAAAATATAACTTGTCTTCTTTCAAGTCAATTTTTGTGTCTTCTGCATCCTGTAGTTCTATGGTGAGGTAAAGGCATTCCTTTTTTTGTGCCCACAAAACAATTGGAAATAATCTGTAGGGGTGTGGGAGGATGTGAAATGTGCGTTCATTGTGTACGTATATATATGTATATATTACAAGCATAAAATCAATATTTATCAATCTACTGCACATATACACACGTGTGTTTACAACACGTATGTCCTTGTTATGAATATATATACGTAGAAGGCACATGTATAACTTTATGATATATGAACTTTCTTAATACATGAAAACATAAAATTACGAAATTTTCACTTTCCAAAAACCCACGTACACACAAAAAATAAAAAAATAAAAAAAAAAAAAATTATGAAACATAAGCAAATATGATGTGTAGAAATGAAAACTTGAATATATATACAAATTTCTTGTGCCCCAATATACAAGGTAAAAAAAAGAAAAGAAGAAAAAGAAAAAGGGCGTATTGTCGGGAAGTCGTCAAGCGCGCGAAAAAATAAAAAAGATTTATGTAGGATCACATGAACTAGAAAATGCAAAAAGAAGAAAATGTACATGTGAGCTACATATGTATTCATACTTATTTTTTGTTGTAACATAAGCTTGTTTTACATTTTCTTATTTATATATATGTTATATATATTTTTTGAAACTTACGGCATGTTTGGAAAAGGGCTTATTTGAAAATATGTGAAAGGGGGTAAAAGTATGAGAAAATGGCTAAAAGGTTTTAGTACGGATAGGAAGTAACAATATATGTGTTATGTGAATAGGAATGCAATTGTAATATTTTTCTTCAAGGTTTTAAGAAAAACTTATAAATATATTTATTTTTTTTTGTTGTGTGGAGAGTCATAAAAAGTAATGTAAAAAATAATGTAAAAGAAAAAGCTTATTGGTTTATATATAAATGTATATATACTTAACTTGAGACTTTGTTTTATGAATGTACATAAAAAGTATGAATTCTTTTAAACAAGTACGTGTTTAAATGAAAATTAAATTGCGATAAAAATGTGAATTTAAATCCACTTGTTAAAGTTGCTCATATATATGTAATTGTTTAATTTAAAATATTTTTTTTTTTTTTTTTTTCCATAGCAGAAAAAAAATGTTAATATTTTTATTAAATACCAAAATATGAAAAAACAAAAGGGGGTGGTTGTTTTGTAGTTACTTGTATGTACCTATATATATCTATATAATGTATATTTAATATGCAATAGCAATTTATGACATTGCGGCGAATTAATTATATCATAACACTTGTTGGGTCCACTGGACCTCCTTTTCAACACTTACGAGGGTCGCTCACTGTGTTTAGCATTTCAGATGTATGCAATGACATGGGCATATGTTATATATATATATATATATATATATATATATATATATATATATATATTGGTAGCACATACGTATATGAATTCATATGTATTATGTATGCACGAAATATTTATTTTTCAAGCACGAAGAAAAAACGAACCGTTTTTAAAGGGCCCCTTTTTTTAACATTCGCACCATTACTATATTTAATAATTACTTAGGCTCCCTTTTATGTGTGACATTTGTGTAAACCCGTAATTTGTGCATCAGTCCAAGTATAATAACGATGTATTTTAATCTTTGTATGTATTAAAAGCCGTGCTCAAACTTTTACATGCTCATGTGGTAAAAACGTGGTATGTGGCAAAAAGCGCGGCGTTGAAAAAAATTGCCTTTGCGAGAAAAAAAAGGTCGGGCTTTATTTCCGCATGGAAAAAAATGCTTATAAACAATGGTACCTTCTACATGGCTATAAAAATGGAAGAATCTCGAACATGCTTGTATAATATATATATATATAAGCGCATTAAATAATGATAAATGGTAAAAAAAGTTTTAACGTATAAGAAAAAAAAAAAAATACCTATTTATTATAATGTTTATACCTTAAAAATGACGTATAACATAATTTACTTGTAAACTACGTGATGACAAAAGGAAAATAAAAAAAAGCCTAATGTTTAAGTCTTAAAAAATATGCAAGAAATATGTAACACACATGATACAAATTTATATATTAAACTTTTCTTGCTTTTTTTTTTTTTTTTTTTTTTTTTTGTAAGAACATCCCTTCCCTTGGTTTTATAATGGATAAAAATGCCCAACTGCGTATTTGTAAATTTGCCACAATTCTACGAAAAGGTTATTATATACTTGACACTTCTTTCATTTAAAAGTAGCAAAATTATCGGGCTTTTTGCACACGCGTAAAAGCTAAACTTGTGGGCTTTACAACCATTTAAACGATTTATGAATGGACAATCGTGCCAATGTTGTAATATATTTTTCCATGTGGACAAAGTTTTAATTGAATTCTTTAAAACATGCTTAGGTGTTCACATTTTTATATATATCTCTTGCATTGTCAGAAAATGTTGCAAAATAGAACTGATATTTTAAGGTCTCATCAGGGGGTAAAATTAGGAAATAAAAAATGTAATAAATTCAGAATTATATGAAATGTTCTACTGCAACCATTCTTCCCCCGTGTTAGTATTATTCTTAGAGAATGTGAATTTTTCATACACAAAATGGGAAAAGTGCATAATTGATTTCTTAGGTAACATAGTTTCAAATTTTAGATGGAACAAAATAAAAAAATGAACATTGTAAATGTATAACATTTTTTTCGCTTTTTTTTTTTTTTTTCTTTTTTTTAGGATTCATTTTTTTGTTCATGTTAACCTTTATTAATATGAATTTCTTCAACTACCAAAGTAATTTCATCAACCGTATTTTTTTTTTTTTTTAAATTGGTAAAAAAATTTATATTTACACTAAGCTAAGCTATTCGTTTTGCTATTCCCCATAAGGCATATGGAAATTTTCATTTTTAAAAGGAGGAAAAAAGGAAAAAAAAAATTCTGCATATTTTTAAATTTTTCATTATTCTGAATAATTTCCCCCCACCCCTCTATTCCCTGTCGTATTCTTTCAAAATGGGCAAATCGGAAGGTGTGTAAAAAAAAAAAAAATAGAAAAAAAAGCGTAAAGAAAAAATAAAATTATATTTGAACTTGCAACCGTGCGTTTTACATTTTTGATAGTTGTGGAAAAGGTGTTCGGTTATTTGAGTAGGTATAGAAAAAGTGACGCCATCAGTGCACATTTTAATCTGTGTAAAATACTGACAAAATCATGAACAACCACCGTTGTTTAAGAATGCTCAACTAGATGCCATAATGGTTATTAATTCATTAGAGTAAAATGACGTGTGGTAGAGCTAAGGGTTACGCACTACACATGAGGAAAAAGGATGTGTATATAACATGTTCATTTTTATGCACCCTTTGTGCTCATTTTACAATGTTCGTATCCCTTGCATAGGGTGTATGTTGGGCTGTGCATTTTTTACCTACTTTTGATATCGTTAGAAAAATGTAAAAGTGACAAATTAAATATGTTTTAAATTTGGTTGTAATGTAGTGCTGCATATTTTATGCTTTTATAAATTGTAAAAGTGCACGGTAAGGGTGCATAAAAACAAAAATGTTATCAGTTTTTACAATTTTTTTTTTTTTTTTCTTCTTCGCTGGAATAGGTATATCTTTAATAATTGTATTAAACAATTCTGTTTTAAAGTGGGAATTTCTCCCACGTACATTTTTTACATAGATACTATTTTGTGAAATATGAATATATTGCTAAATATATATTTTGTGTTTTATTTATTATTTACTGTTTTTTATTTACTATTTTTTATTTACTATTTTTTATTTACTATTTTTTATTTACTATTTTTTATGTACTCTTTTTCATGTGCTAATTTTATGTACTACGTTTTATGTACTGTTTTTTATGCACTATTTTTTATCTATATATTTTGTCCTTTTTTGAGCCATTTTTCTCGAAATAGCAACAGATTACACTTCCCCATTCCCAGAGGTTACAAATAGCTCAAAATGTTGTCGCAAAAGAATGACAAATTTTATATGCACACAACTAATCGTATCCACGTTTTTGCTACTCTCAAGTGCCTGACAAGTTCTACGCAGGATGAGGTGAAAAAAAAAAAAAGTGACAAATAAGTGTTGCAACGAAAAGCATGTCCAGATTTTTGGACATAGATAAAATTATATATGAACATGCATAAACATATTTCACCTGCAAGAGTGTTATATTAATGTTGAGGGGGACGATCATTCCAAACAATATTATAAAAATAGGAAAACGCTGGTTTGTTGATAAAGAAAGTGTTTTTTTTAGCTCAAAAAAAAGACAAAAAAATACATTGTCACAATACATAGAAATTAATAAACAAATTTTGAATAATGAAAATATATTCGAAATAGTAAAATTAATAAAGGATAATAAAAAAAATGTCAATATAATTAATTGTGTTACATTTGTTCACAAGTTAATTCGAATAATATGTTATAGTAATGACACCAGGTACTTAAAAAATGCAGCATATGTTAATGAAGAAATAGAAGAAAAAATTAAAATAATTTTTCATTATTTCACCAAGAATAAGGAAAACATAAAGGTTAATAATTACAATAAAAGACTCTTTTCCTCTTTCATATGGTCACTTAGCAAGTATGTTAACTTGTTCAAAGGTAATGATAAACATGACATATTTGTAAATACAACGCTAAACAACGATTTAGTACTTCAATGTACAGATAAAGTCCAGCGATTGAAAAAAGTTCTCCTAATAAATGAGGGAAAAAAGAATGCACGGGATGTGCAAAATTTGTGTGTATCAAAGGAAAATCACCCTAATGGCATGCAAAATGTAAAATATGGATCAAGTAGTGTCACAAAGGGTTATTTAGGAAATATTGGGAATGATAAATTAAGTAGAACACTTATATACTATGGAATGAATTCTCCATTTCAGAAATTAGATAATCAAGAGGAACAATTCCAATGCAAAGGAAAAAATAATCCTCCAATGGGAGGAGGGACTGTTAGATACAGTCTGTGTAATAATTTTAGCCTATTATGCCATTATGCAGATGCTTATTTGCCATCACTAAATCCTTCGCGTTATGTACTCGTTCTTTGGTCGTTAAGTAAATTGAATAAAAATTCCAAAGAATTACATGAAAGGTATTATCATAGGAGTGTAAATCTGATACCGTTGCTAAAGGTTAAAGAGCTCATAATTCTGTTGTATACTTATTCTTACATAAACTTTTCAAATATAGAATTTTACTTAAAGATGAAAAATTTTATTATGAGCAGAAATATACATAAAAAAATTGTTAGTGCAAAAGAAAACGAATCTGTGGTTAACATGCTTTTGTCATTTGCCAACCAAAATATATTTCTGCAAGACTTGTTTGAGAGCACAGTAAATCAGATCTTACATTCAAATTTTTTTTTAAATTCGTTAAAAAATAATGAACTAATAACCATTCTATTCTGCTTATGCAAATGTCCATTTCTGTATATACCAGATGATAATAATTTTAGGATATTGGAAAAAAAGGAGAAAAAGGAATGTGTAAGAAAAAATATCCTTTTATATGAATTATTAAAAAAGAAAATTATGAAAAGATATGCAAAAATTAGACATCAGAATGGAAGCATCTTTTGGATGCATGAATATGGTAATATTTTCCTGAGACATGAAAATATATTTGAAGGGGTAAAACGTAACACAAGCTTCTCCTTGAAAAATTTGATTTTACTTGTCTGGTCCTTGAGTCTTAAATACATATACTCAGCACAATTGTTACTATCCTGTTTTATCCATTTAAATGGTTTAATGAAAAATCAAAATTATGTATATAACTCATATAACATGCTGACGAATTTGTATTTTTCTCTTTTGTCATTTTTATTAGAAGATGAAATAGTTATTAATTTGTATTTTAACAGAGAAGAATTAAATGCTCTACACCTTTTAGACGAATATGTCAATGCATTCAAAACTCATTTTAGCACATTCAAAAAGGCAATAAACATGAATCAAAGAGAAAATGATATATCTGTGTCGAACATGCAAAAAGTTATATTTAATTTCTTATGCACTTATTTTAAGGACTCAAAAAATGTATCTATATTGTTGGAGTATAAAAACATCCTGAATTTATCAGTAGATATTTTGCTACTTCGAACAAGTTCTAGCGCACACATGGTAGAAAATATAAGCGCAAGTGTGGAAGAATTACATGGAATATTTTTGTGTAATCAGATATTTAATTATAATGGAGTGGGGAATATAAGCCCAGATGGAAGTGTTGATCGAAAGAAGGATAAAGAATCGAGTAATAGCATTAAAGTTCGTGCATCGAAATGTTCAAAGATGAATAATGGTGTATCCTCTGGTATTCCATTCGTATACCATATATCGTACAAAACATTATGTACATGGGAGAAACGTGAGTGTAACAGGAGCACAGAAATGTTTAACACAAAAAAAAGTAATAATTCGATGAAAAAGATGACCAACTTGTTTGTAACGCTTGAAAAGACAAATATGAGCTGTGAAGAAATAAGAAGTAATTTGTATGGTTTCATCGAAAGAATCAAGAATCTGAACGAAAAAATGGATGCCAGAGAATTGAAGAAAATATTTAAAGATATACATATTTTTTTTGAGAAATATTTTATCCATATTAAGGAGCACAACCTGATTAGCTTTTTTTATAAATTTTCTTTTCTTTTTCCGCAATTCTACAAATTAAAGAACAATAGTAATGGCAACAGTTGTAGTACAGATTTTTTAAAAATTTTTTCCTACTACCATGATTACACCACTATCACATTTTTTAAAAATGTGAATTCAAAAAAGGTATATCATTTTGTAGATATTTGTTGGGTGTATTTTCGATATATGAAGTATTTTCTTATTCAATTGAAAGAAATAAATGAAGATAAAAGGATGAGTAGAGAGAAAAAAACAGAAAAGATAACTAATGAAATGATACTAGAAGAAATAAGAAAAATAACAAGCATATTTGATACTATTATAAAAAATAAAATGATAAGTGAACAAATGATAGAAAGAATGTCATCAAAAAATATGGCCCAGCTTATTTCTATTTTTTTACATCATAATAATTCTAATATAGTGGAATATTTAAAAAAAAATAATTTTCATAATATTATTTTTACTATAAAAGATATTATTTTTATTTTAAATGCTTTAACTAAGTCTGATTTTGTATGGGAAATTGAAAAAAAAATGTTTTGCAACAAATTTATTGAACATATAGACAAATGTGGGGTGAGAGACCTTGTGGAGTTTACGTACTTATGTGCAGAACTGAAATGCAGCAGTGATTATATAAGTATTCATATTAGAAATAAAATTAACTCCCCTGTTTTTTTATTACCTTTGCCAAAACGGAGAAATGAAAACCGTAACAAAGTGGAAAGAAAAATCGACCCTTCTGATAAAAAACAAGATGTTTGTTCTGCCTCCTCTACTCGAATAAAATTTATTGAAACTTTTGAACAGGATGAGTTATCTCTCTTTGTAAGGAACTGTTACAGGATGCACTGCTTTGACAAGCACTTTTTTGATACATTGTGTGAAGTAATTTTAAAAAGGTATAGAACGCTAAGCGAGAAAAACCTGTGCATTGTGTTGCCCAGTTTTGCTCGTATTTATTGTCTGCATAAGGGGAGAGGAATATTTCCCAATATAGGTTTAAAACCGGGGAACGGACAGTATGCGAAAGGTTGCAGAATAAATCAGGATGATGAAATTGATCGAATTGATCGAATTGATCGAAGCGACGAGGACTCCGAAACTAACGACATTTTGGATCCAGATATCTCCAATTGCAGGTACGACGTGCCTGTGTCCCTAAAAAGGTTAGTAAAGAATGCAGAGGTAAAAATTGTATCCAACAAGAATGTAAATTTTATAAACCTTGCGTATTTTATGGAGGCAATTACTCTTCTTAAGATTGAAAACAAAAGGGCATATACCTTGTGCGTGAAAGAGGTAGAACACAAGATAGCGAGCCACGTGTATAACGAGCGGGAAGACCTAAGGGGGAATAAAAAAAAAAATTGGGGAGGAACAGAAAAAGAGGTAAAATTGCTGAGTAAAATCTTATGGTGCATGTCTTATTACCACAGAACAGAATTTGCACTGACATTGAAAATAACGAATTTTCTTTTAAAGAATGGGATATACAAATATGTATCACCTGAAATTTTTATTTCTGTTTTTTTATACTATATAAAATCGAGAATATACAGCAGAACGTTGTTCCAAAAAATGGGCGAAACCATTAGAATGAATATATCCCTGAATGATCATTTTGCACGTTCAGAGATTAAGCGGCAAGGAAATTTCAAGCTTAGCTTAATTACTGAATTATATGGCACAATGGCATGGGCATACGCATTTACATATTGTTACGCAGACGACGTAAAGCTGAAAACAGTTGAAGCGACAACTATGAAAAAAAACAATCATGAGGAAAAAAGTAGAAAAAGCGAAAAAAAAAAAAAAATAAATACAGAATATGAAACACTCAAGAGTGAAATAAAAAATGATTCAATCTTTTTGAACAAGATATACACCTTTTTATTAACAGAAATGAAAATATTACAAAAATATCAAGGAGGAGTTTCCTTTTTACTATTAGCAAGATATTTATGGGGGATTGCAATTGTAAATTTAATAAATGAAAAAGTACTTGATTTTATTAATTCATACAATTGGAATGCTATAAAAATTACAGAACAAAATAACATGCATTTGCATATGATTCTTACATTTTGGCTAAGGGTAAAATATTCGTTTTCCGATATAAAAATTTGTAAAGACTTTTATAAATTCAAAGATCAAATAATATGTCTATTTTTAAAAAAAAAAAAAAAAAAAACGTTAAAAGGTAATGATCATAAAGATACTAACAACATATCAGATTTTCATCATCAAATAAACCAAATATTAGACAAATATGAAATCAAATATGAAAATGAGTACATAACGGAGGATTTTTTGTCAGTCGATTTGGTTATAACAGATGAATCGACTGGTTATAAGATAGCCATTGAGGTCGATGGCCCATCACACCATCTATTGATCCTTGATAAAATAGATCCCAGGGTTAAGAAGTAAGGATACAAATCAAGATTTACAATTATGTGACACAGTGATGATGGGGGAAACAACGAAGATAGGAATGTGCCATGGTTATCCCCAATTGAATTTTTTGTTGTATAATCAACCGAACTTATTTTACAAACCTTCTAAATTCGCTTGCCACCACCACCCCCCCCCATTATGATCTCATAATAATTATATTAGTATATGCTTTGAAGTTGTAATCAATGTTTTTTTTTTTTTTTTTTTTTTTATATTTTTTCCCTTTATATTTACCACTTTGTAGGTTATATGTTCAATGTGGCACAACCTACTTTAAGAACTGGCTCCTGAAAAGGATGGGATGGATGATCATTAATATCCCATCATACGAATGGAATAAACTCAAGGAGGAAGAAAAGGATATTTATGTAATTCGAAAGTTGTCAAGCTGTAGTGAGTATCATAAAAATCACCTTGAGAAATGGTTGAAATAAATTTTATTTGTTTACGGGCTCTTTTGAATATAATAAGACAGAAAAAAAAGTAATGTAAAAAAAAAAAAAAAAAAAAATTCTAAAATGTGTTTTATAATATATATCACAAGTATACATATACATGATCTCAATATTTGTAAGCAATTTTAATCCTAATTTTATTTTCAATAAATAGGAGGGGTAATATGTATCCCTAGAAAAGGAAAACTTTTACAACTATATGTTATTTCATCAATACAACTTTTATCAATATAATTTAAAACAAAACTAATTCCCATAAGGCTTTGTAGGACTTGGGGAAAATATATCCTCTGAAATGATGAGTTTATGTGTGTCTTTTTTTTTTTTTTTCTTTTTTTTGGATTTATTTTCTCCCTTCTCAATAACCTACCAACACCATGAACGACGAGAAGTGTACTTACATTTAAATGTGGCAAATAGTTGGAAAAATAAAATAATATAATAAGTACGAAAAAATACAATGGACGTTACATATTTGCACAAGTGTATTTATTTATATGCTTATGCTGCATAGATAATTTGCGTATTCCCTTGGGTTGTCTAAGTTTTGCAAGGAACGACCTTCTACTGGCTTTGTATGCGAACATACAATACATATATTTTTCCCCATATATATACATGTATGTAAATGTATGCTATCGTATGAGAGAAGTATATTTTTACTTCTTTTTTTTTTTTTTCTTTTTTTTTTTTTCCATTATATTTTATCTTTTCATTTTAACCATTATATTTTATCTATTTTTTTTTTTTTTTTTTTTTTTTTTTATTTTTACTCCCATATTCCTTTTTCACTTTTGTCAAATATAAAACAGGGGTTGATAGAACTATGGGACAAGCTACCTTCAAATGCTGCCCCTTGTGAATTTTATTTTGTTTAATGTTCACTACATGTGATATTGAAATTTTTTTATTAATTTGTGCTTGTTTAATATAGTTAGATTTTTGTTACATTTTTTTTTGTTTTTTCCCCTGCATGTGTCTATTTGTGCTTGTAATTGTATAAGACAAGGACGAATCCAACTATATTCTAGTTGTGCACAAAAGTGAACAGATAAGTGTATGTGCATCTGAGAAACTATACTTTCATAATTATACACATTAGAATAATCGAGGATACCGTTTCACAAGCAACCTGATATGGGAAAAATGATGAGCGCAACATTGAAGGTAATTAACTTCATTCTATTCTCGCTAGTGATAAAATATGCAAAGTGCAAATCAAATTTAAGGAATTACCAAACTAGTCCCCAAGAAGCACAAGAGAACAATAACATCTTTCAAATCAAACTCCCAGCAATTAATTTGTTGCCACTTTCCAATAACATTACAAACTATAAAAACTATGAGGAAGAGGGAAATGTTGGTGCATGGGATAATGATAAAAGAGAATTATCATCATATTCATTTGTCCCATCGTTGTTAAATTCCGTCTATTTGTTTTCTTCCCTATGTTTCATACTATGTTTGACAGGGTTGAACAATCATAAAACATCCCAAAGGGGAAATGTGCTAGGATTTATAGGAATAATAGCAGCAATAGTGGTAACATTCAGCCAAGTAGGATTTGGATTCAGATATGAATTGTTTTTTATAATTGTAATTCCAGCTATAATTATAGGATTATTTATTGCTCATCATGTAAGCATGGTTCAGATGCCACAGTTGGTTGCTTTGTTTCACAGTTTTGTCGGTTTGGCTGCATTATTTGTTGGATTTTCTAAATATCATTCTGAATATTTTGAAAATTATGAAATGAGTACAATACATTTAGTTGAACTTTATTTGGGAACATTCATAGGTGCTATTACTTTCATTGGATCATTAGTTGCAGCGGGTAAATTAAGTGGAATATTAGATAGTAAATCTTTAAAATTAAAAATAAAAAAGTTCGTAAATATGGTATGTATTGTTATTATTATAATAGTAGGATATTATTTTATTCAGATTAAATCTATTTATTTGAAAACTTTTTGTTTGTATGCTTCTTTTCTGGTGGAATCATTTCTGGGGTTCCATTTAATATCATCAATTGGTGCTGCAGATATGCCAGTAGTTATAAGTGCATTAAATTCTTACTCCGGTTTTGCTACAGCTATCAGTGGATTCTTACTTCATAATAACTTATTAATAATATCAGGATCACTTATCGGTTCTTCCGGAGCTATTTTATCATATATTATGTGCATAGGCATGAATAGAGACATTTTCAATATTATATTAGGTGGATGGGATGACTATGATGATTTATGTCGTGAGGCTATACCTCAGGAAAAGAAACGCAAAAGTGTAAATTCTACTACTCATAAATATGTTGCTGATAATTTAATAAATGCGAAAAATGTTATAATCGTCCCTGGATATGGTACAGCTGTTAGTAAATGTCAAAGAGAATTAGCTGAAATTTGTACAATATTAACCTCGAGAAATATACAAGTAAATTTTGCCATACATCCAGTTGCTGGAAGAATGCCAGGACATTTAAATGTATTATTAGCTGAAGCAAATATTCCTTACAACATTGTTAAAGAAATGAATGAAATTAATTTATCCATAACGAATGCTGATATCGTCTTAGTAGTAGGGGCTAATGATATAGTAAATCCGTCTTCTCTAGATCCTGCGAATAAAATTTATGGAATGCCAGTTATTGAAGCATGGAAAAGTAAAAAAGTAATTATTTTAAAGAGAAGCCTAAGTACAGGTTATTCTGCTATCGACAATCCATTATTTTATTTTTCAAATAGTTATATGCTTTTTGGTGATGCGAAACATTCAACAAATCAAATTTTAACCTTTCTAAATGATTACAATAATCATAAATATCCTTACGATCCATCTCTGGATTTACACAATGATAAAGAAAAAATTGAAGTACGTTCTTTATGCTTCCCTTCGGATGGTTCGTCTGATTGTAGCTACGGAGAATTAGAAGTTCTCGAAGAACTTTATCCAAAGGCAAGGAGAATCATAGGATTAGTAAAAGATGATAATCTAGAAACAGAAGCACAAACAGATGGGAACACCAAGTCAAACATAGAACATATAGGTAACAGAAGAGTAGATGTTAACCTATCCATAGTTCCATTGACCCCGAGATTTATTCCAAAATTAAAAAAAATGGGTTTCAGAATATTAGTAGAAAAAAATATAGGAGAGAACATAATGATTGAAGATGAAGATTATGTTAAGTATGGTGCTGAAATATCTTCAAAGGGTGATATTCTTAGACAGAGTAATATCATATTAAAAGTAGATCCACCAAGCAAAAATTTTATAAATGAAGTACCAAATAATACTGTTATAATAGGTTATTTGTGGCCAAGTGTCAATGGGAAAATTCTCGAAACTATTGTGCAGAATAAAGAAAAAAATAATATCACATATATGGCAATTGATGAAGTTCCGAGATCTACGCGAGCCCAAAAAATAGATTTTAGGAGTTCTATGAGTAATTTACAAGGATATAGAGCTGTTATAGAGGCCTTTTTTATGTTATCAAAGTTTAGTAAATCATCTATTACTGCAGCTGGAAAAATTAACCCAGCAAAAGTTTTCGTTATAGGAGCTGGAGTGGCTGGGTTGCAAGCTATTATAACTGCAAAGAGTATGGGTTCTGTTGTATATTCACATGACTCGAAAGCGTCTACAGAGGAAGAAGTAAAAAGCTGTGGTGGGATATTTATTAAAATACCAACAGAACATGAAAATAAAGACGAATTATATACAAAAGAAGACAAAGTGAATGCAAAATATGCAAATTCCCAATCTACATTATTTAAAAAAGTAATTAGAAAATGTGATATTTTAATATGCTCTGCATGCGCCCCGGGAAAAACCTCCCCCAAATTAGTAACGACAGATATGATTAAGTTAATGAAAAGAGGTAGTGTGGCTGTAGATTTATCCACAGAATTTGGAGATAAAGAAAATAACTGGGGAGGAAATATCGAATGTTCTGAATCTAATAAAAATATTATTATTAATGGTGTTCATGTATTAGGTAGAGACAAAATCGAAAGAAATATGCCATTGCAAGCATCTGATTTGTTTTCTATGAATATGATAAATTTGTTAGAAGAAATGGGTGGAGGATTACAATTTCATGTGGACATTAATAATGACATTATAAAATCTTTAGTTGTCGTAAAAGATGGGAATATATTATACTCACCTGATAGATCAGTGGATCAATTAGAGAAAAGCGAAAGTGTATTCATAATTGAACAAAAGGACGATATTCAACTAGTTTCTAAAAAAACAATTAAATGTTCTACGGGAGCACATATAACAGAAAAATTTATTGACTCTGATCCTTTCTTTTACATATCCCTAATATGTGCAGTTATGATTACTTTATTGATTGGAACTATCTTTTCTCAGTCGGATTTACACCATTTTTTTTTATTCATACTTTCTATAATCGTTGGCTACTTCTGCGTCTGGTCCGTTACGCCTTCCTTGCATACCCCCCTAATGTCCGTCACGAATGCGGTAAGGATGCCGAGAGCCGTGCAATTTTTCGCTTGCTTCATCGGTTTTATTGGTTGATCGATTGGTTGATATCCTGATTTCTTGTTGCATTTTTTTTTTTTTTATTTGTGTATTTTTCTTTCTTTGTTTATTATTTTTTTGTATATTATATTTTTTCTTATTATTTTTTTGTATATTATATTTTTTCTTATTATTTTTTTGTATATTATATTTTTTCTTATTATTTTTTTGTATATTATATTTTTTCTTATTATTTTTTTTGTTTATTGTTTGTTACGGGCCAGGGATAGGATAAAAATCGTAGATAGCTTGACGTATTCACATTTGTTTCCATTTATTTGGTGTTATCTCTATGTCATGCAAATCTACATGTATATATATTTGTTCAAGTATAATTATGAACATGTCAACGTAGATATTCACGCATTCATACACATTTTGACCCTCCCTTCATTGAAGCTTTCCGGTGTTATAATAATAGGAAGCATGATTGAGTATGGCAATGGCTTCAAAAGTTTGAGCTCAGTCCTGTCAATGATAGCCACCTTTTTGTCTGCTGTGAATCTTTCGGGTATATTTTGTAACGTCAAACAGGGGACATTTGCAGCTTGGATGAAAACTGGCACATGTACTGCGAGCAAATATATTGATGCTCCCCGGACGACACAAACATGTTTCTGTCAGTTTATATATACACATATACATGTACATATGCATATATATATATTCCAATTTTTATCACATTTTAAGGGGGATTCTACGTCACGAAAAGAATGCTGGACATGTTTATTAAATAGAAAAATAAAAGAAATTTATACATTATCTGAAGTCCTAATTGGGTTATAAAAACTTTTTACGATTGCTTATGCTACGCGCCTTGTGCTTTCGGGGTTTGCTTATTTTAAAAGTTTGTCAAACACTTTGTTTTTATTTCATTGCTAGCGCTGATCATGAGTACTACTATGTCTTTCCTGACGTTTTATTTGACTACGTTATTTGTTTTATTTATTTTGCCTTTTATTTTATCACTTTATTTACTGTATTTTCTTTTTTTTTTTTTTTTTTTTTTTTGGTACTTTTTTCTACACCGCAGTTTAAATATAAAAATATTTACTCAAATAGAAATTTTTCGGCTCGCTGGGTGATATACATTGGTATGTAAGTGCACCCAGAAGCTTCTTAAAAATTTTACATTTAAAAAAATTTGAAGGGGAGTTTTATTTGTGAAAGCACGTGTGAGAAAGCATATGCCATAAAACAATCTTATCGTTATGCGATTGTTTTTTATATACGTAAAAAAAAAAAAAAGCTAGTGTGACACTTTAAGAGGTTATGACAGGAAGATGAAGAACCCCCTACAAAATGTTCATCCAAATTACAAAAAAAAAGTGGACAAATAGTAAAATCATGACATCAAAACATAGGATATATGGTTTAAGCAATACCATTTGATGATCAATCTCTTTCGTGTTAGAAAATGTAAAATAAATACAAATAGATATTCATAACTGCATATGTGTAGTACCCGTTTGGTTCCTACCTACTGAATGAAAAGACAGCATATACTGAAGACTAGTTATTTTTTTCAAGATAGTTTTGTCCAACCTTAAAACATGGTTAAAAAGTCTAGAGTCCTTATTTGGGCCAAAAAAACTATTTTCGTTAACATTCAAAGAAATAATGTTTAATTTGATCATAAACTCTAGGTAATGAATATCAAATATTTTTGAAAGAGTTTTTATGTGATTATTTATGGAAAATAAAATATGTTCTCTATCTGAAGGGTTATTCTCATCACTATCTCTTTTTCCATATTTAATATTTTTTTCGATTTCTCCTGCTGCAATTGTGTTATTTGAGTTTATTATTCCATTCTTTACATTCATTATTTCTTTTTCGTCGTCCTCATCCTGTCGTTGTTGTTGTTCTTCATAGTCATGTACCTCATCTAACGTCTCCTTCTCACTCTGAAAAAAAGTCATGTCATACGAGTTGTCAAAGTTTAAATCAAAATTGATGTTAAATAATTTGCTCAATTTTAGAAGAATTTCATATATTTGAGAAGGTATAAATAACATATTTAAAAGATTGTTAGAAAATAATTCATTGAGTAAGAATTGCTTATTAAATGAACTCTGAAATGTGGAATTGGATTTGACGACATTTATATCCTCATTTGTACTCGTATCAACGTTCCGTTTTATTTGTCCTAGGTATATGTCAGCATCAGGGGGACTGATATTATCTCCACCATAGGAAACTCTACTTATTCCCACATTCAAGTCATCCCTCCGTGGGGTAGGACCAAAATTGTAATCGTCAGTTTGGTGTAATATGGAAATATTGTTATCCCATGTTTTTTGTTGAAAAGGAGGTGTCTTTAAATTGTGTTCCTTATTTTTATTTATTGCGTGATTAAAAAATTTTCTCTCATATTCCTCAAAAAGAGCATTATTTTTTCTGTATTCATTAATTATATAAAAATTGTGCAATTCTTCATGTCTAGTGCGTATGGGTATTAACATTGTTTCGATTAAAAAATTTATATACAACTGATGACTATGTTTTATTTGGTACAATGACTTTGATTTTAACAAAGTGATAATAAAATGATTCCACGAAAAATTCAAAATCCACTGATAGTAGGTATATAATGTGTTTAAAAAAAAAAATATTTTATACTTTAAAATACATAAAGAGATAATGATTACATGTGCTTGCTCATAATGTTGTACTTTTTTTATTTTCAAGTACTTATAAAATATATGCACTAAATTTAATATGTGCAATGATTTTTTAATTTCTAAAAAGTAAGAAAATATCGTCGAATATTTTTCTAAACATTTTGAATCAAATAAAAAGTCCACAAAACATGTTCCACCACTCCTTGTCTCTATGATTAAATTTCTATAACTTATAACATTGATGTTGTTATTATATAATTTATTTTCCCTTAGTGTGAAATGGAATCTCTTCAAAATATTCGTTATTATTTCTTCCTTGTAAAAATTTTTTATCAACTCTTGGTATATAGAATATTCCCTAATATATTGCGAATCTTGATTTCTACTAGTATTTTCCCTTTGAACTAAGGTCACCTGTTCCTTTGTTTGTTGTCCCTTCCTTATATCATTGATGTAATTACTCAATCTTGCCTCTCCTCCAATTGCATTATCCATTCTTCCGTTCAGCAAGTGGTCGTCCCTTTGGTCATTTCGATTACGCGAGGTTGAAACAAAGCTGATGGAATTCTTTTTTTGTCCGTCACTAACGCTTGATAAGCCATTCTCTTCCCTCGAACAAACCATGCAGTTTGGCCAGTAAGAATCATCCCATTGCTTATGCATAAAATCACCCGTCTTCTTTCCTTGATGTAAATTTTTCTTTTTTTCTTTCTTATAATGGGAATCCTTAGCCAACAAAATTTTCATATGGAGTAATACAAACCGCTTGTGCAAAAATGAGGAACAAGAATAACAACTACCTTCTTTTACGTTTATACTACTACGATGTAGCTGATTTGAGTTATGAACAATGCATTGTCTAAATGTCGTGTTAATGTTTCTTTCGTCTATAATAGGTATTGAAGTTTCTTTAAAAATAAGCTCAAAAAAAGGGGATATAAAATCACTTATTTCCAGAAATACTAAACTACGCAAACAGCAAAAATATTCTAAGAGATATGCATATTTCATTAAACTGTGTAAAAAAATACGATTACTTTTGAGAAAACAATGAAAAAATTGTTCCTGTAGAAATTTTTTAACGTATAAATCGTATGATACATTTAATGACATGATACATTTGTTAAAGTAGGGTAACCGATTTTCTTTATTTCGGCACGTTTCCAAAATTTTGGGTATGATATCTAGTGAGTTATTTTGAATATGTTTCAAGTTCTCAATATTGTAATAGTAGTTTAGAGTGTTTTCGTGTAGACGTTTGGAAATATTTGGAAGCTCTGGTGTAAAATGGACTTCATCACACGAATCAGCATCATCGTACTCATCGAACTCGTCAACATTACCATCATCAGGGTTGTTACCATTGTGAATATTATTATAACGATAATCCAGATCCGTGTGATAATTTTCATTTCCCAATTTCTTGTCACATACAAAACTGCGGATTATTTCCTTATCCATGGAACGATTCAGACAACTTTGTTGTTCTGCACACCTTAAATAATAATCGATGTAATCTATGTCCTTCTCATTACAAATTTTCATAAACAATCGTATGTTGTTTCCAAGGCTTATTAAGGAAAAAACAAAGGAATTAAAAAATTCAGGACATATGACAAATTCACTTTGTTTTTTTATAAGAAGCGTTTGATTTCTGAATGGCTCATCATCAATATTTTCTTTTGAATAGACAAAAAATTCATTAAACTTATCATCAATTTTTCCCATTTTAATCCAGTTGCTTATATGTTTAGAATAATATACATTCAAACCGTTTAGAAGAAAACGAAAAATTTTTTCCAACGATTTATTATTCATAATTTGACAGTTCCTCCAATATAGTACTGTCATATCGTAGAATACGCTGAATTTTTTTGCATTGTCATAATTCACATTAAAATATGCGTAATCCCTAATACTGATATTGTACAATAGGTAGGATAACATAAAGTTCACAAAATCATACAGATTATTCCATACATAAAGGTACTTATTTACTATAACATGTAAATGGATCAGACTGAGCGATCTAAAACTAAATAAGTTTTGTTCATCAAATATCTCCCTTGCGTTATGCCATCTATTTCTTCCATGTTTTATGCTTCTATGTTTTCTACTTGTACTAAAATGTTTACTTTTTTTTCTTTCCTTATCTGGGTCCGAATTCATCTCATTCTTCTTTTTCTTCTTCTTCTTCTTCTCCTCCTCCTCTAACTCCTCAGGCGTAAACTCCTCACGTTGGTATTTCTTCCTTTTCTTGTTTTTCCAATTCACAAAATGGTCAACCCTTAAATAATCTATAACACGTATTGTACCCATTCTATTCAAAAATTCCCAAATTTTTTCATCCGTAACAGGTGCAATATTGTATTGTCTCATTACTAACAGAGTGTGATAATTATATAAAATATCTATTATGCAAGTCCATTCGGAATATATGCATTTTAGTGAGTCAATGAAACATTCAAGGAAATTTCCTGGATAATATAAGTTTCTATTACTACGCCTACTTTTGTTGTCATTCAAATTAATATGTTGAAAGAGTAAAAATATATTGTTCTTCCCTTCATCATTGGAAATGTTTTCTCGTATATATATGATGTGATTAATAATATCATTTAAGTTATGTGGTAAAAGAAAAAAAAAATATCGAAATTTATCCACAAGAAAAAAAAAAATGTTCAAATAAAACAACTTGATACTAACTTTTTTTATTTTTTTTACATAGTTTTTAAAAATTCTTCTTCTTATATTATACAATTTAATATTCATCATGTTTTTAATGACTGCACGATACTTTATAACACTTTCATTTTTTTCGTATTTTTCTATATGTATATAAAATAAAAAATCCTCTTTTATTTTTTTCTTATCCATTGCCTTATTAAATAAGAAATCAGAAAATTTTGTAAAATAATCTTCCTTAAATTTTATAGGACAATTTAATGACAACATCATTAGAATTTCTTTTATTATAAATATTTCGCTTACATAAAATGTGTTTTTCCTTTTCATTTTTCTTTCATTGATGGTTTGTTTTTCGTCTAAAAATTTTCCCTTGTTATTCTCCTTATCAACAATGATGATATTCCTACACTTCTGGGAATTACTACTAGTAGCCTTAACTTGCTCGTTGAATCTGTATCCCTGTAGGGCTAGGTCCCCTAGAATGATAGAACGATGACCGAGTGGATTATCTTCACTTGTGTCATCACGTCGTTGGCTTGTCCTATCTCTTACTTCTCCCTCCAGTAGAGTGTTTGTCATTCCATAGTTATTATCACCTGAACCGGCTTCCCATGATTCCCATGCATGATCTTCGTGCCTCGTGTCACTAAAGAATACGTTATGCAAATTGTAAATATCAGTTTCGTATATAATGTTCCTGTCCTTGTCATCAGTGCCATAATGTTCCTCATCGAACAGATTTATGTTATTAAAAAAGTAATGTTCTTCTTTGTATTTACGGGAGTACGGTTCATATTTACTTTTGTTTTGTCTTTTTTTCAAGCTTATAAGTATATCTTCATCAGATGTGGCACTGGAACTGTGGTTTCTCATTCGGCGATGTATATGATTGCGTGAAGAATTTTTCTTACTTCTCCCTTGACACGCATTTTCATTTTCCCTATATTTATTGTAACGTTCATAGGAAGAAAAACTGTCCAGACTTTGGATAGATTTCCTATTCTGGAGTGATGAACTTTCATTAAAACTTTTCCATTCATACCCCACATCTTCATTATAAGGATATTCATAAACACATTGTGATATGTTTTTAATAACATTTTCATATGTTAAATCATTTTTACTTTTCATATAATTGTCAACATATTGTGTGTATTCCTTTTCATAAAAACGACTGTAATTATTTTTTGTGTCACTATCACATTTTGTTTGGGTCTTATAATTATCCAGCTGATTATTTGTATCACTTAAAAGGTCATAATGTTGTGATTTATTTTTTTCATCTTCATCATTTTGTATATCCTCTTCGCATGATATGGTTGATAATGTGATAATTTCATCATCCGTGTCATATAACTCCTTAAGATATTTTGATTCCTCTTGAATGTTAAAGATGTTTATGTCATCTAAAGCATTCTTCTCATTGATATTCAAAACCACAGGAACATTTTCTTCCTTAATTAAAAAATATTTATCATACAAGTAGTCAATATGTTTCGTATTATCAATTGTTCTACTTTCACTAATTAAAAAGAGTAATTTTAAAATGACGAATTTTAATTCATATCTGTCTTTTTCATCATATATATAAAATTTATCATTAAGAAATATTTCACATAAGTGTTTAAATATTTTTTTCTTCTTATACTCAGCATTAATTGTTAACTCGTTAATAAATCCATTGATATCATCTATAACTTCATTATTGTTAACATCTTGAAAGGGGTGCAGAGAAATTTCATTTAACGATTTGTTTATTAAATTAGTTATAACCTTTTCATTTGAATATTTTTCAAATTTACCGAATAAATAACTTAAATATTCTTTCTGCTTTTTTCGAATTTCATTTATGTATGTAGATGTCATATTTTACGTAGAAAAAGGTGCGGAAAGCAAATAATAAAGCTTTTCTATTTTATATTCATACATCGATATTCTATATACATGAGATTATGCAAAAAACGCAAGCACTGATATAGTTGTAGATACATGTATAAGAGAAAGTTGGTTGATGGATATAAGCACAGTTAGGAATACACACATGTAAAAAAAAAAAAAAAAAAAAAAAAAAAAAAATATAAAAAAGTTTTTCTTAATAACGCATCCTATAGGGATAAAAGAGGATGTGTGTGTATGTGGAAGAAGCACTCGACAGGGTTATTCAAACGGTATGTATAATTTTGATACTTTCTAAATGGGAACATAACATTTGTGGTATGAACACATTTGTTACACGCACATGGATGTGTGTGCATGAATTCTTATTTACATGGAGGAATTTAACATGCGGACGTCTGAGATGCAGATAGAGATGAAATTCGTGTAATATAACTTTCTGCAGCACATTTTTACACGTGCACAAAAATTAGATATTGTAAACTAATCGCTTTTTGATAAGTTAAACAAAACAATAGGAATGTGTAGAACATGCCATACAAATACTTGGACAGTGTAAACATAAACAAATATAAGCGCTGAAACTATCCAAATAGAATTTCAACGACGATACATAATAAATTAAGGAAAATTAATGGAATTTTAAAGTATACTCTTATAGTATAGAATAGCAATTTAATGTTATCAAAAATGTCATTGCTATTCAAGCTTATGTCAATTTTTTTATACCTTTTCAACTTCTTTTCATTTATGATTAAAACGCTATTGATCAGCAGTACCACACTTTCAAATAGTAAGAAAAAATACATACTCATTTTTAGTAAATAGTGAGCGCAATAAAAAATTGGGAATTAGTAAAGGGGGTGTAATGCATTTGAGGCTTGTTTATTTATTATTTTTTTTTTGTTGTTTTATTTTATATGTTTATTTTATTATGTTTTATTAATTTGTTTTATTTTATTTTATTTTTTTTTTTTTTTTTGTCCTTTCTTTTTTGCATCACAAGCTGGTTTGTGCTTCTCTATCTGTTTCTACTTTGGTTTCTCAAAAAGTGTATAAGCAAAATAAACAAAAAGCAAGGATATGATAGTTTTTTCTTTTATTATTTTTTTCTTTTTTTAAAAACGTAATTATGCAATTAGTTCGGAATACATAAAGCATACATCACAATTATCATAAATATGGTTCTCACAAAGGATGTGATGAATGAATGTACAAATGTGCCCGGAGAATTTGAATGTGACTTTATTTATAATGTACATAAGTTGCGAGAAAATTTTATAAATAAATATGTAGAATAGTAATAAAACAAAATAATAAAAAAAAAAAAAAAAAAAAAACAAAAAAACAAAGAGAGATTAAGGTCCCTTGATAAAACATACTGATAAAAATAAAATGTTTATGCAAAATATGTTTGGAAAATTACCAAAGTTCAGTAGCTTGTGACAATTGAACAATTTACCAACGAAAAGCATATTTGAAAATAAATTCGTCTGGGCGAAGTGTGGTATGAAAAAAAAAAAAAAAAACAACAAAGGGAAACAAGAAAGGAAATGTGAAGCCCCAAATGTGCCGAATTATACATATACCAGACGTGCAATTTTGCAAAAAAATTTCACAATTTTAAAACGTTCTAAGCGAATAAGAAACCATGAAAAACAATTAAAAGAAGATACACACGTATGTTTATTGTACATGTGCCACAATCAGCAGTGAATGTACCACCACCGATGTACTGCTAATACAAAGGCGATTACTAAAACATAGCTACAGGGTGAACATACTATTATTACATCCCCCGAATGATCAAAAAAGTTCACAGCCATTAGATTCACTTCATAATAATGTTTTTAATTTTACTTGATTTTAAATCATCCAAATTATAACGATTCACGAACTGATCTCTGTCTGTTTTCTCGTAAGCACCTCTTTTGTCTGCATCTTTTTCATATGCATCTTTTTCATTTGCATCTCTATCGTCTGCTGTTCCTGCTCTGTTTGCTTCCTTCTCCTTTTGTTTTTTCTCAAAAAAATGCTGAATTATTTTAAGCTCCTCCTCTGTCATATCTGCATTATACTCGACATCATTATTAATTTTATTTTTCGCTATCTTTTCCACTTTTATCACTTGATCAGATGCATAAACAGATGCATCGTATGTACACTGAAACGATACTACGTCTTTTTTGATCACGTGTTTTGTTATTATCTTAGTATCTTCATCACTGATATAATTAGTATAAAGTTTTATGTTTTCCAATGACTTGCATGCTAAAATTATGCTGTTTAAAAATTTGATCATTCCTCTTTTATCATTGAATGTGTTGTATTGCATAGACAGAAGAGTCAGGTAGTTGTTTGTTTTCAACTTATTAATATTTCTGTTTACAGATAACAAAAACGCATTCCCAAGGTCACAGTTGTCCAGGCTGAAAAAGGTAGAAATGGGTGGGCACACGCAAGGAAAGGCAACAAAAAACAGATGTATCCAAAAATAAAAATAATTGAATGGGTAAATAAAACAATAAATAAATTAATAAATAGATGAACAGGTAGATGAATAAATAGATGAATAAAATAAAACTACTTCATTTGTTGACACTAATTTTCTTGCACCTCCGAACAGCAGCCCTCATGTTACCTTATAATCTTACACTTGGTGTTATTTAAGAGGTAGAAAAATAATTCACATATTGACGGATTTGAACCTATTTTCAGAACACTTAAATTTATTTTGCTGAAAAAAAAACAAAATGTGCTGTTCATATAGTGTCTTCATATTATCGAGCGATGGATCGCCCTAGAGGAAAATTCTCCAGGGGCTGTTTTATATCCACTTGGGGAATGATCAATATTTTTTCGTTATTTCCTTATGCCATTCCATTTTAATAAATGGTGTTTTTTGCATGTACATATGTGTGAGGATACGCATGCTTGAAAAATGTGCGCATAACTTACAAAAAAATGGTGAAGTTCGACAGGAATGTAATCAGGTCTTCCATATCCACATCTGAATCGATTAAGTTACTACTTAGAGACAATTTATAAACCTTAATTCCGTACGAGTAATTTTTTACAGAATTGAAATACAAAATATCCTCATTGCGCAGATAACACCAGCTAAGGTTTATGTTCTTGACCACACTATTTTTGCAAAGATCCAAAACAAAATGAATTTCTTCTCGCGTAATATTGTAGTTATATAAATTAATCTCCTATGGGTATAACAGTTAGATGTATAATAAAAAAGAGGGAAGGTGTATAAGCATAGACAGACATACATTTAGTTATGGGGACTCACCAGACATTCTCGGGAATGTTCACAGAGAAGGGGGCACGTCTTGAGCAAAAGTGAATATATGCACGCATACGATACTCTCAAATATGAAAGCTGTTTAGAATATATGCACGCAAACGACACTCTGGTACATCAAAATCGTTTAAATTCCGCTCGAATTACATTTTCACTTCTCATAATAAAGTAATTCAAAACATTTTCGTTCACTTCTCTGTCATTTCTAATCTGTTCGTTATAGTACACCTTGCCCATGAAGCTACAAAAAAAAAAAAAAAAAATTGTAGAAAAGAAGGGAAAATAATAAGATAAATGAAAAAAATTGACTATATAATTATGCAAAATAAAAGAGACGTTTTTTCTTTTTTTTCTCCACTCCCAAATCTGATACGTCTTCCCCCTTGATTCTCTATTCTCTGCATACCTTTCCCGCACTATGCTATGAAATAGCAAACTTATGTTTTCCTTAAATAAATTTAGCTTAATTTTTACTCCCTTATTGTTAAACAGTGCTTCAATGGCCACTATGCTTATGTTTCCCTTTTTGACAATTGAAATGTTTCTAATGGTGTACATTTTTTCCTCAGGTTTTATGATATGCAAATAGCAAAAATATAACTCGAAAGTAACTTGCACTGGGGTATTTTTATCCTGTAAGAGAAAATATATTTAAAAAAAATTTTGTATTGTGTCTGGTGAAGCATCGAAACTAATAAGGGGAATATTCTATGCTCCTTAACAGAGTATGTATTTTGAGTCAGATAGACAGGGGACGTATGTATATACATATATATGTACATGTGCTAGTGGCTTACCTGCTCGTACAACTCTGCCACCCCTTGCAAATTGCACACATAGGAATTCTTAACTTGATCCATTGTGTCAAAATGAAAAATATCCGAGTTAGATTTAACATATTTCTGCATTTCAATGGTAGATTTTTTCCTCTTAAATTCAAATGATATGTCGAATATATCACTTTGTACATAATTTCCGCATATATATAATTTTTGAAAATTTTTATTCAATTCAAACAATATTTTTACAAGAGATACTATGTCATGATATGTCAATTTGTTAAATTCGACATTTACATAATTTATGGTACTTGTATATCTTCTGTCTCTTTTCCTGTGCTGAACTATGTTGACTATACTGATTATGTTAGTATTATTTAATTCACAACTTACTAAACTTATGAAGGATACATTTGTACTGAGCAAAATATTAGCAATAAAATACTCAGCTGAGGGATTTGAAAGATCTATGAAATCTAAAATCAGTTCTTTCAGTTTTAAACTTTTGAAAAATTTGATGACACAATCAATATCATTTTTAATTTTTTCAAATGCCAGTTCTAGAAAGAGCGGATTATGTGTTAAGTTTAATGAATTACAATGTTTAATATTTGAAAAGGTTAGAAATTCAGATACGTCTTTAATATTCATTTTTCTATTGGATAAATTGATACTATAAATATTTGCTACATTTTTTGAACACGAAAAGATAATATTATCTGCAATTTTGTTATATTGGACATTTTTTAAATTTAATATTTTACCTTCAAATAAAAAATAATTAACTGCATTTTCGATAACTCCATAAGATATAGAATTCAAATGTTTTACATACATAAATAGTGAAATTCTTTTATATAAACAGTTAAAAATTGTACTCATTTTATTTTTTTCTCCTTCTATACAACATCGGAAGATGCCACCTTCTGCGTTCACTGTTCTTAGCAATATTTCGGATATATCATTTTCTTTTTTCTCCAATTTTACTGTGGTATCTTCGTTTATTTCTACTGAATGCATTATTGCCTCTTCTTTAATGTGTTTCCTATGCTGGTAGAACTTGATGTCATACACTAGGATTTCTATGAACATATTTCCTTTACTCGTTCGCTAAAATAAGATAACATATAAAATGTATGTGGTTCATGAGCTGGAATGCACATTGCTGTGTATGAAAAATTTCTCGAATGACCATACGTTTTCATATCTGTGTAGGGTTAAACGGAAATGTGCAACATTAATAGCTGATATTTATTGAGACTGCGAAAAATGACCTTGGTTACGGAAATTATATATATATTTTTTTTTTTTTTTCACTTTTAATTTTTACCTCTTCTTCATTATCCTTTCCATCCCGAATAAGAAAAAATTGGACAATATCAAACAGGTATGTAACATTCACTCTCGGGTCATTATGATAAAATATTTTTTCATATGAATTATCATTATAATGCACGCCACGTATATTTAAATACTCATAAGACGAAATAGTTAATGATGAGTATGTGTAATCCGATGTGTTCATTTCTGACGTATCTAAGTTGCTGTAATCGAACAGATCATCCTCTTGCAGTTGTTGCAGCTCATCTTCTTCCTCTACTTCATCCATGTTAGCATCTTTAAAAGTGGACAGAAGTGCATATGATTAAGTGGATATAATGTATACTGGATGGGTTCATTTGGGGGAATATGTTTGGAAATTTCTTTGGGTTAACTTTTGAGTCAACTTTTGGATTATTTTTGAACCCATTTTATGAACCCATTTTATGAACCCATTTTATGAGCCCAATTTATGATGCTACTTTTTTTATTTTACCTTCCTGTATCTTGGCAAGCAGGTTGTACCCTCCTTGTTTCGAAAATTTTATGGTCTTCCTTATGTTTTCCTTCTTCCTGTCCATCTTATTCGATTTCATGTTCTTGAGAAAATATTTCTTTTTATTAACCTTTCGACATATATAAAATTTTAGTTTCCTTAAGTTTAGTTCATCAGCACGATCACTTTTTTTCAATGCTTTATACTTTCTCTTCAAATTGCTTATACTTTTACTATCTATGTTGTCAAAGGTTAAAGAGCTATCAGTTTTATACTCTCCATCATCCTTCGATTTGTGTTCTATATCTTCCACGTCTGCGTTTGTCACCATTTCCCTATCTGAAATTCCTTGGATGCTGTCTAAATCCATTTCTTCATGTGCACTTAAATTTTCATCAGGGTCACGCAATTTTCCCAATCTTAAATTTTGAAGATTTTCTTCATCCTTCTTCGTTTGCTCTTCATCGATGAGATCTTTTTTAATTTTCTCGTACATTTCGTTCTCTGCATTGGGTGTGAAGAATGACACGAGAGATATATGATTCGTAAATGAGAAGACAAAGATATAAGCGAAAATTATTTCTGATCTGTTAAACGAAATGCAGGAGATTTTTCTCCATTTTTGTTTTCTTTTTCAACTTACTTTTTAAATCATATATATTAATTCTCTTTTTGTCCAATTTATCTCTTAAATTTTGTGTAATTCTAGTGTAATATCCAGGTGAATAATGGGAGTCAACATAGTCATACTTCCGTAGTAACTCCATTTCTTCTTTTATCCTTTTTTCATTCCATTGCGTTTTTTTCTTTTTCAAAACACAGTTCATCTTATAAGTGTAAAAAAGTTATAGAATTTCATAAAAATATGGAAAACGTTGTATTAATTGAGATTTTCAAATGTTTCTTTTTTTTAGTATATAGCATGTAGGTACCATCACGTGATACTGAGGGGGAGTAACACCGGGTCGGAATTAAGATAGCATTGATTAAGACGTAAGTTTCATAATTATGGTAAGTTTCATAATTATGATGAGTTTAATAGTTATGATGAGTTCCATAGTTATGATAAGAAGACGTTAGTAACATTTTGCTCTGCATTCGATTGTTCATGCGACGAATCCCCCGTATGAACATTTCCTTTTAGCTTCTTTAAAGTAACTAGCTGTGCAATAAGTTAAACACGGACATACGCACTCTTGCAAATGCTTACATTTTCATCGGAATCAGATTCATATTCCTCACTCATTGACTGATCAGAAAAAAATACGTTCATGTTAAACTGCTCAGGTATAAATCTAGAAAAATCTCTTACATTTAAATCATTTTTAGCCTTGGTCAACAAATTATGAACGTTGTTTTTTATTTCAAATTCTTTATTGTTTCCTATGGTGTATTTTAGGTAAGTATTTTTTTTTTCTTCATTAGTATCATAATCCGAATTGTCTGACGTAAAATTTACTGAAAAATTCACATCTTCATCATGAAAAAAGTTATCATAATGTAGATAATCCAAAATGTAAGATCGGTTGTATTTAGTGTTGTTTTTCGAAGATATATTCAGCGGTTCTTTCTTCATTTTTTTCTTAATGTTTAATTGATTCTCCTACAAGTGTGAAGAAATCAGCATTCGAATTGTGACATATGATAATGATTTTCAGAAACTACACAAATTGTGAATTCTTTCTGTAGCGTTCTTTAATATGAGTGTTAATTTGTTTGTCAGCTAGTTCGATAATGCTATTTTTATTAATTTTTTTTTTTTTTTTCTCTCAATTCTTCTTCCTTATTACTTCAATTTCCTCTTTGTGTTGCTCATTAGGCCTAATAGAACAAAAAGGAAAATGAACGATATTGGATATATAAACATGAATTAGCATAATTTGATAGGAAACTCCCTATATGTCTTATATAGAGTAGTTGAATATATTTTAAAGAATAATACCTTATACTTTCATCAGATTCTAAATCATAGTCGAAGTCTAAGAAATTGAAAAATATTAATTTTATAGTCAAATAGATAAAAATCATATACTGAAAATTTATTCATCATCCTACGGAATGATTAAGCATATATACACTTTTACTCTTACTCTCACTCTTACTCTAATTCTCATTTATTCTTTTATAATTTTTCACGATTATACAATTTTTGAAAGAAAGACAGACATACCATTATTGAGAACATCCAGTATTAAATTTTCTATTTTAACCTTGTCACTACTAGGATCTTGCTTGTAAACAACCTTCTCAAAGTTATCCACTACGAGTGCATCATTGAGTCTTATATCTTTAAATTTGTTTTTTTTTTTTAACCCATCATTTTGTTTTTCCTTGTCAACGAAGTAAAGGTACCTACTTTTGTCAGACCATTTGTTTATCCCATCTGAAAAAAGAAAAAAATTGGGTTTTTTCACATTTTCGAAAATATGTATTTTTTTTTTTTTTTTTTTTTTTAATTGCAGATTTACTTCATTTAAATTATTTTTCTCTATGTGTCTGCATTTTCTAATTTTATGCCTTCTTGTTTTGGCCTATTCTTCCATTTTTGTTACCTTCATAGAGTAATATCTTATTATCGGAAAAAAAATTTTCCCTTGTTATTCCAGTGTTGGTCATTTTTTCTTCCACGTTTTTTGTTATGTAATACTCATTTGTTGCATTTATGTACTCATAATTTTTTTTTTTATCGCCATCTTTATATGTAAAGTTATACCTCTTTCCATGACAGTTGTTCTGACCTGAAGGTCTTTCGTCTTTAGGTGCATTTATAAAATCGTGAACAAAACTAACATTTATGTATTTCTTATCATCATCAAAATCTCTTTCTCTGTCGAAAGTGTAAAAGTACGAGCATACATAAAATGAAACAGATATGATATATGTGTCTGTGTATATGTGTTTTTGTGTGCTTATGTGCATATTTAAATGCCTAATCTGGGTATTGAAGGTAAGAAGTATAACTTTATCTCATGCGGATAATTTCATATTTATACCTTATGTAAGACGGGTCAATTAGTGTCATGTTTTTGTCATTGGGTGCTACTATCTTTAAGTCATTAATGTTATCATGTTCTAAAAATTGTAAAATAGGGAGGAGGAGGAGGAGGAGGAGGAAATGCAATTTTTCAGATTAAACATGTAGCAAATTTTGGTTGCAATTTCTCTGAAAAAAAAAATGATTAGATTTTTACCCTTCTTTTCTAGATTATCAAATTTGTTCATATATTCGATCCCATTTTTGTAGAATTGTTTTGTGTTTTCATCCAGCGTGGTGATCCGGTCTTGGTTTAAGAAGGGTATTACAGTATGATGGATATGTAGAAAGTAACGGATATTATTTTGTTTTCTATTTTATTTTCATTTTTTCATTTACAGTTTCTATTTTATAACATTTTAACCTGCAAGAAGTTCTCCGTCACTATTAAGGTTGACGTCCCCATGTTCAGTCGTAGATATGAACGCCTCTATACACAGAAAGGGTAAAAAGTAAAAGAAATAAAAATAATAACAAAATAAGAAAATTTTCCTTTTGCTATAAGAAGGATACTTTAAATTATTAAAATTGTGATTCAGAAGGGCGCTATGAAGACGTTTTCCCAAGAACGTAAATACTTATATATATATATATATATATATGCACACTAGAATGCTTTTAAATAAAATATGCATGAATATTTTCACTTTTTCATTCTTTTATAATATTTTTTAACCGTTTAAATTTGTTAATATGTCTTTTGATACTTTTAATGGATTATTCATCTTATGCTTGTGTTAATTTTGTTTGATTTACACAAGGTTCATTCGAAGAGATAAAAAAAAATATATAAGCCAAAATTAAGGCTAAAATGAAAATTGCAACAATTAACACACATCCATGTTCTAGGTATAATGTGGAAAAGGAGTTATGTGCTTACACTAGTTGATAAAATGTGACCTATCCAAAAAGAAAAAAAAAGAAAAAAAATTAAATAAACTAAACTGAAATAAAATAAAATATAAATACATAAGAACTATCTTAATAGAAAAAAAAAATATATATATATATCATTAATCTTCGCTTATAAAATAATAAAGAAAGACTTGTGCCTTCAAACAATTATGTAAAATGTAACTTCATAGCATTAAAAAAGTGGTGGAGGATACAGACTTGTGATTCCCTTTTTTTTTCACCTCACTTTGTTGTAAATTACTTCATAGCAATTCTCTTTCCCCCCTCCTACCTTGAATAGGAAATAATCGGTGAACATGGAAAATATACGTAAATAAATGCACAGCTTAGGAAAACAAGTAAAGAAATAAACCTCGTGGGGATGTACAAGGCACAAAATTTTGCATGAATATTAGTGCGTTGTCATGTTAGGGAAGGTGAAGTTTTATTTATTCTCATACTTATGTTATTAAAAACATTCAGGAAAAATAATATTTTTAACATAAAAATTGGTGAATACTTTTTATTTTTTTTTTTTTTTCAGCGTGTAAGTGTTTGTGATTATAGTTGCACAGCAACGAAAATTAAGGTTATTTCAGCTGGTCTTATGCCCTTGTTGATTTAATTAAAGTTTGAAAATTTTTATAGGAATAATTTCATTTTTTGTAATTCACTTTTTTTTTTGCATTTTCCTACTATTTTTACTTTACCCTTTTTGGTCTACCCTTTTTTTAGTCTACCTTTTTTTCCCTACCCTACTCGCTCTCAAATCTCCAATTGAATTTTATCATGAAAAATAAGGTCTATCTATTACTAGACGAGAAATTATTTAAACTAAAAGAGCTATACTTTTGCCTTACTTGTTCACAAATTAAAAATGAATATAACCTGAAGCAAGAAATCGAATACTACTTTTGCAATGGGTGTACTCAAATATATACAAAAAGCGAGTCAGCAATTTACTCCTATGAATGTTTGCGCTGCTTCAAATGCCCCTGTTGTTTCAGCTGCTTAACAATCTCACAAAAATATTTTGATAAACCTATTGAGAAAATATGTAATTTAGAACCTCAGAATAATGAAGCTAATGATAGTGGTTCGGAGAATCAGAATAGAGTGACAAACAATTACATGCATGAGAAAAGTAGCAAAAATGTTGAGGACGATTTGAGTAGCACCCCCTCTTGCACATTTTACACTAAAAATGTGAAAAAATCAAGTGAAGAAAAAATATCCTATGAAGGAAATAATTCATTAGATACTGAAGACGAAAATAACATAAATGAAAAAGACAACAAAATGGATAACAGTGTGTGTACTTTTTTTAAAAAAGGGAAAAGTCTATTTTATTTTAAATGTCCCTATTGTTTATGGTCCTCTATTAATTCTTTATATAACACAAAGCTAGATGAATTAATTGGAAACATGATAATTTCGGAAAGAAACTGTGTATTTAAGAGTTATTTCAAAACCGTCTTAAGTGAGCTCATAAGAAATAATGAACAATTGAGGGAGAAGAAAAATTTAAAGAAAACAAACAAAAATGCAACTTTGCATAAAATAGGAAAATTCAGTCCTATCCATGATGTCAACGATTGCCTTAAATCACATGATTCTATATACAAGGAAATTTCAGGGCAGTTTTTAGCAAAAACAGGAAGAGATAAAGATGAAGAAAAAGAAAAAGATGAGGAAAAGAAAAAAAAATACATGCTGATATGTAAGTCTAAAATAAAAGTAGATAACATCCGATTGAAGGATATACTAAATGCAGAACATGTTAAAGATCGTGAACTGTCTCGGGATATTTTCGAGTTGGAAAATGAGAATGTGCAATATTTAGACCCAATAGAATTTCATCTGCAGAAGGAGTTCAAAGTAATGGATCAACACTGGGAACATAATAAAATGGTGGAAAATCATATAAATGGAGAAAACTCAATTAATAACGGCGGTAGGAAAAACAAAAAGGATAGCATAAATGGAGGACCTCCAAGTGAAGAGACCATAGAAAAATTAAAAAGCAATGCAAAGAACAATCTAATAATTCATTCCAAAAGTAATATATCAATTGAACACATACACGATTACCCCTACAATTTTTATAAAGGCATTAGTAAGTTAAGACCTCTAAGAACCAAGCTAGTAAACAGGAAGTCGAAGAGATGTAGTACTTGTAAGCAATACATATTAAAGCTTCATAATACAAATTTATCTTCATCTACAAGATTGGATAATAATGCGATGAAATTTATACCGAGAATATATATTAATGACTTCAAAGTTGTAAAGAGAAAAAATGGAGTTTTAAATTTCATTTTAATAAATCCACTTGACTCAGAAATGAATATAAAAATAATACCAGAAATAGAATATAATTTTTTGAAAGCCATGAACATAAATAAAATAATATCAAATTGCAAATCTAAAGCTGCTTCTTTTGAGTTTACATTGGACACATATGACGAAATTATAGATGAGTTATTAAAAGGAGAAAAAAACGATATCCAAAATGTGGTAACAAGTGAATATATTATTATAAAAAGGCAGAATAACATGGCCTTAGTAATTATAAGTTTTTATTACACAGAACAGGATATTTTGGGCACCGAATTTTATCCTGAAAAAAACAAACTACCAGATGTTCCAGAGGTGGGGAGTGATAGTAACAACACAGAAGTAGATCAGGTGAGGAAATTAAATTTCCCACTCATATTGGAATGTTCGTTTTCCGATAAATCAAAGAAAGTACATAAATTAAAATTAAATCTGCTCTTTACGAATTACATTAGTCCACGTCCGTTTCGCCATTATGCATTGAATGACTCTGATTAGAGAAAGTAGATGAAAATCCCCTGGTGGATGTCTTCAATTCGTGTATAAATTAGTTTAAGGTTTGTTATTACTAATTAAAGACTTCCTTTTTTTTTTTTTTTTCGTCTATTTAGTATTTCTTGAAAATGCGCCATTATTATTTCTCCTTTTTGATTTTTCACATAGGAGAGGAAACGCGTTGATAAACAAATTTTTTATACCATTACCCAACACTATATACACATATATGTATATGACAAACCATTTGCATATTCGAAGCTATACGTATGTGAGTTTAAGATATGTTGGAATAAAACGATAAAACTAGCACATATACCATGCATCATATTAATTACATTTCGTATTAGTTTGTTTCGTTTCATTTATCCCCAATAAACTTTCCCTATTTAATAATTGATTATCATTGGAACAATATACAATATCATTATCTTTTATCTTTGTGTTTCTCCTTCATGGCATTTTTACATTGGCCCTTCATATATAAAAGTTTGGAATATTTAATTAATATTATTTGTGTAATGATTATATAATAATAATGTAAAAACGAAAAAGAATTGTGCCATTATATGAAACACTTTTATGATTTTTTCCATTGAGCAATCTTGGTAGAATATACAGTTATACAAAAATTTGTAAACTGAAAAAAAAAAAAAAAAAAAAAAAAAAAAAAAATCGGTTTACACTGTGTTATATGCAAACCGCAATGTTATACGTATTGAAATACCGTTGTACTTGAGGAGAAGTACCTAAACGGGAGTTGGCTTCATATTTGGCAGGAATCAAAAATTCAAGCGACAGAAAAGGATGAAGAAAAATCTTGAAACTTGTGAAATGTTTTGAGCCATTGAGAAAAGTGCTGATGAGTTATTACTTAAGCGGAGAGACTGAAAAGCTCACAATTCACTCGTGTTACACATATATATTAATCTATTCATATGTACATATAATACCAATCTGATATGACAAAGTTGTAAAGGTTAAATGCCATTATGTAAGATAGCTAATCATGAAGAGAAAAGAGCTATCACTTTGAGCATTTGTGAACAATTTTGATTTATGCAAATCAGTTTTTGCTGTTTTTCATCACATTTTGTCATTTTGGCTAGTTCTCTCATTAGGCCCACTCCTACCATTTGGGTAAATTTTGCCATTTTCGCCGCCATGCACTTTTAGCTGCGCTTCCTACGTGTCAATCAAATTAAGAACTATGAAAAGTGCAAAAAAGGAAGATCAAAAAGTATCGGCAAAACTTGAAAAGACGAATGACGACCACAGATTTCTGAAGTTATACGACTCAGATACCGAGTCCACTATAGACGATAAAGGGAATCAACCATTTATGCTTTATAAAAATATAAAAATAAGCAATGATGAAAAAAGAAAAACACTTAGCAAGATATGTTGCACCAAGAATCACTTATTCATTAGCACTTCTAGTGTGTTTAGCCAAGTACGCATTTTTAATTACAGCAATTTGGTAAACTCAAGGAAGGAAAATGAAGAATTAAGTAGTATTTCTAAATCAGGTGAAAATAGGCAAACAAATGAAAAACAAAAAAGAATTAATAAAGAAGAAGAAAAATATGAACAAAATAACGATGGTGATACCTGCATAAGTTTATGTAACATTTACAATAAGAGTAAATGTTACACCTCAAAACGGGAATCAACTCAGGACAATATGCTAAGCGTAGAATTTTTTAATAACGAAATTAAAAAGAAATATATAGGATCTAGTGAGAGTGCGAAAAGAAAGGTGAATCCATGCCATTACCCAAATGAAATGAATTCTAAGGGAATTACGTCAAAGGGGGAAAAATCCAGTAATATCAATTTTCTAAAAAAAGACAATGGGAAGAAAAATACAACGAAATTTATTCGATATGACACGAAGAAAGAAGTGATAAATCTTAAGGAAAAAGATCAATTAGAATTAAGCTATAATGAATCCGTTTTTCGAGAGGAGTATTTATATTATGATAATTTTGCAGGAATTCCTACACTAAAAAAAGAAACGCGCCCAATTATAATTACAAAAGAAATGCGAGAAGAAGAAAGAGATAAAAGGGAAAAAGAAGAAGAAATTGAAAAAAAAAAAAAAATAGAAGAAGAAAATTTAAGAAATGAACAACTAGCAAAAAATGGCTGCTACATGAAAGAAAATATTTTAGAAATAAATGTGGATGTAATTAAGAGAAAAACAACCCAAGTGAATAATTTATTAGAATATGTTGGTGCATTTGATAATGTATCATCCCCAATCATACTAATGAAAAAGAATAAAGATGAAAATATTTTATCAGTGTTAACCTACAGTAGTGATGTATACAGTTATGATATTAGTGAAAGTTCATTAAAACAATTAAAAGAAAAAAGAATTAAAAAAGTAGAATTATTTAGTAATATAGAAAATTATTTTATTGAACAAGAAAAGAATAATATATCAAATGAATTCTTAGAAAAAGATTTTGGAGAAGAAGCAACAGCATCACCACTATCTGTGTGTAATGCACATTTTACAAATTCGGTTAAATATTTTGATTTCCTCCCTGATGATAAAACATTAATATGTGTTGGCCAAAACAAGGATTATTTTCTTTCATTTATTAATTGTTATAATGGTAAAAAAATAATATATCATAAGAAAATAAAAATAAAAAAGCCAAACCATAGTACACACCTTAATTCGAATAAATTGGGTAAAGAGAAAATAATGCCCACATTAATGTACGATTTTAATTATGTATGTGTTGAAAAGGAGAAAAAAAATTTTAACGGACAAATTGGATATTATGTATATATTGGATCTTCATGTGGTTATTTAATTTTTACCTTTATTAGTGAAAAGTTTCTACAGTTTATTAATAACTTACTGACAAGTGATGAAGTGAGAAGTGGATCTCTTTTCACATACAACGATGGTGCTGACGACAACACGCAATCGAAAAGTTTATTAGAGCATGTTATAGGAAATGCGGATGATGTGTATACGATTAGCAAGAACGAATTGTATGCACTCTTCGATGATGAACATAATGGAAAGATGAATGCGAATGTTAATATGAATGGACCGAATGGCAAAGACAATTTTTTTAACAATGCTAAGGAAAATATTTTCAAAGAAGCCGAAGATAACTCTTTTTCTTATGCATTTTACATTTCTAAGAATGTAAAAATGAATTCCATAATAAGCTTAAATACACACAAAAATGAGTATATTCATTTACTTGTAGCACTGAATGACGGACGGTTATTAAACTTTCTTTTTCATATTTATCCACACTTTACGCCCACCACGTCGTTATTGACAAGTAGTGAATACTATCCTGTGTTATGTCAAAATTATGTAGAAAAAAATTTCGATCATAACAAGTCCCAAAATAATGACAACAACACAGGGGTTGCTTCCATTCCATCTTCTATCAATAATAACAACTTTGTAAAACAAAGTGAAAAAGTTTTATATGATTTTACAGGGTTACACAAATCGACCATTATAAGCAAAATTAATTTATACAAAAGTGGCCCGCAAAACTTTTATGTTTTTATAAATTCAAACATAACAAAAATTTGTGAAATGTCCGATAAAAATTTTTACACAACATATATGCTAAATATGTACAATAAAAAAATTCATATTTTACATGAGCACCTCTCGTACATTATTGACTCATGTATATGTTCTCATTTTTATTTTTGTTTAAATGATAATAACACTATTGCCGTTTTTGCGGCCTCTCGTGAGAAATGAAATTGTTTTGCAGATTATATCCCCGTGAACAATTTTTTTCTTCTCCAAAATGGAAAATTTGTTTTTATGCACAAAGTGCTAATTTTAAAGGACCTTGATTTGTGCTGACAATATATAGAAAAAAAAAAAAAAAAAAAAAATGGATATGAAAAAAAGGGTTGTTTGTCACTAGCTTTTTTAGTGGACTACTCTCCTCCCACATATTGCACCAAAAGGTATATTGAAAGAAAAAAAAAAAAAAGATTCATCCTTAAGCAGTATATAAAATTATGCAGATCTTCATTTTGACACCTAATAAGATTTATATAGGCCTTTTTTTTTTTCCCCTATTTCGAGATTGATAATTTAAGACTAAGGCCCACATCAGTACGCTCAAATTTTGGCAAGCATACATGGGATTACAATATATATATATATATATGTATATGTTTACCTTTTTGCTGTGCCCCTGCTGAACTCCTTTTCCACTGTTTTTCAAAGCTAATTCTTTTCGAGAAACACTCTTGAAACACGAAGTCTGAAATTAGATATAGACATTTCGCCAATCTTTGTAGCTTTTTTCTTTACTAGTGAAATTGTCCCATTCCACATGTGCACACATATTAAAACCTAACATACTTGGTTATCATGACGCTTGTAAGAAGAGTTAACAAGAACGTTTTGCAAACTTTTAAAGAATTATATAGAACGGGGAAAAGGCTGAATATACACAAAACCACGTTTTTATGCCAGACATATGAAAAGAATTGCTGGAGAAAAACAAGGTTGAGAGAAGAAAAGGTTTATCATAAGAAATATAATTTTTTAAAGTATGCACATGATGTTGTTAACTACGGAATTGAAAATAATTTAAAACTTGAAATTGAAGAAAAAAACATTGTAGAGGAAGATTCATATATATATGAAAATAAAAAGGACGAGTCTGAAAGAAACATAAAAGATGAAGTTACCTGTGTTGATTTGGAAATAAAAAATACATTGAAATCGTTAGAAGATATTAACAACAAATATAATCAGAATGCTAAAAACGCCATACATATTTATTACAATTTCATGAACAAAAATGTGCCATTTAAAAAAAATGAATTTATAAAAAAATACAGCAATTTATATAACCCAACAGATTTAACAATACTTTATTATTATGTAAAAAAGTTTAAATTACTTACAAATAAAAGGAAACAGTTAACGAATAAGTTGCATATTTTAAAATTAAGAAAAAATGTATTTGATAAAGTGAATTATTCTTTTTCAGTTGACAAGCTGGAGCAGATGTTTTACGACCACGCCAAAAAAATTAATGTGTTATGATTGTCTACCTACGGAAGGTCACCTATACACATGTATATGAATATGTATGTTTATGAACATATATGTATATTTGCTTGTTCAGATATATTTCCCCTTGTATGAACGACTTACAGATTGTGAACACCAGCACCACTAGTTTCCTTGCTAAGTTTTTTTTTTTTTTTTAAATACCCTTTATGAACAATAGACAAGGTTAAAAACACTCGTACAACCAGAGTGAGTTGCTTACATTTGAAGTGTTGACACGAATATCCCCAACATAAGATCACTTCGATAGATTATTTCATTTTCACGTTTCGCTATCTTATTTCAGAAGGATAAAAATCGTTTAGAAGTTTCTTCTGATTGATAGATATTTCATTAATTTTCTCATCAATTTCTTTTTTATTTATATATGCCTCGTTCTTTATGTCCCTTATCTGACCTTCTATGTACTCCTTAAAGTTATAGATGTTTTCTTTGACGTCGCGCATGTCATTATTTAGCTTAGAAAAAGGAGAAAATCAAATGAAATAATTATAGAACAAATGTGTACTTTTACAATATGTGAATATGTATATGTAACCATGAATGCACACTTGTTGGTGAAGCAAGAACAACAGAAAAAAAAAAAAAAAAAGGAACATTACATTGTTGAGAGATGCCTCCAACTTTTTGTTCAAGGTTTCATTTTCTTCATTTATCAATTGCAGAATTTCAATGTTTTGTTTTTTACTATTTATTTGATTGCTTTCCTTATAATTCGCTAACTCTTCTTTTACATTTTCAATGTTTGTATTCATAACACTTAGCATCTATGATACAATATAGGATACAGTAGAATTTTAAAGAAGAGAATAAAAAAGGTATATTTAAGTAGTACACACATGGTTGGCGTGATATACAAATAATGGTTTAATTTGTGGACCATGCATACGTGAGTACACACAAGCTTAGATATTATATAGTAAGCGAAAATACAAATAAAAATGCATAATATTATAAGTTTTACCGCTTTTATTTTATCAAAATACGTCCTCATGCTTGTTTTTATGAGATTTGTACTTTCCTCCTTTTGCTTCTTCAATTTTACTATATCATTTTTTACAATTTCAAAATCATCCATAAATGTATTGTTTTCTAATACATTGACTTTATTGTTTTTATTTAACTGATCTAAATAATATTTTAACTCTTCTAAATTTTCATGTGTATTATCCTTAAGGGAGTTTATTTTTTCATCAAAATATGACTTCATTTTATCTATATGCTCAGACAGATCTTCATACTTCCTTTTGTTGTTTTCCTTTTCTTCTAAAAATAAATCCTGCAAGGTTTCAAAAACATTCTTCCCTAAATCCTTTTGGAATAAAGAGGAATGGTGAGGTAAACAGTTTCAAATATAAGCACATGTTCATGTATTATTTATCATGCTTCATATACATATTTTGCATGAACAACTCATTCTAAGTATTTGTCAAGGCCAAAGAGCTTCGTTAAAAACAGTGTTTGTTGTTTTGTTCGTCAAATGGGGGTAGAAATTATAATCTACATTTCATAAAAGGATTCATAGGAATTACTTTCTTTTTTGACGTTTCAGTGACATCTTCATACTTTTCAGAGGATAAACTTTTCGCATTACAACGTTCCATTTTTTTTTTTCATTTTTCACGTTAAAATCTGTATACACACAAGAGTAAGTATGTATCTACACATTAGCGATTACAAGTATATATATATATGTATATATGCGTGTATACACACATGTACATATATATGCTTGCAAACACATTTTAAAAGTTCAGCATTCCAAACACTTTCAAAAAAATGCTAAATCCGATGTACATCTCGATGTCTTCTACCCGGTGATAGTAAATTAAGAAAAAAAAAAAAAAAAAAAAAAATTTAAACTTATTTTTTCTTCATACTTCATATCTACAAGACATGAAGCTTTGTGAAATAACATCGGTTTGTGTTTTTTATGGAGTACAAATAAAAAAATAAAAATAGAGTTAATTAATGACATATGCATATATAAATATGAATATATAAATGTGCATATATAAATATGAATGTATAAATGTGAATGTATAAATATGAATGTACAAATATGAATGTATAAATATGTATGTAAAAAAATAAATATACATGTCATATACACAATAATAATAACTTAATAAATGTGCAATTATTTACTGGAAAGTAAATGTACTTTTAAATGTGTCACATACGATGAAAATTAATTGAACAGGAGAAGGGAAATTAAAATGAAAAATCAAAATGCGCGGGATGCTTTATGTCCCGTTATAGAATGTTAAATGAATGTAACAAAAAAGGAAAATATTTTAAAACAGTAAATTATAAAAAAGTAAGATAACTATTGACACTAGAAAAAATAGCAAAATAATAAACGTTAAACTTGTGTTTTTTTGCATTATTAGTGATAAATACGCATAAACGTGAGATATTTTTAATTTAGTCATTTCAAATTATTTTCATACACATATATAATTATGACATTTCCATTCATCGCATGTTTATATTGTATATATGCAAGCGGATAAATAGTTATATATATATGTGTAAATTATATATACATTTGTAACTCCCGTGTTCAACCTGCCACACAAGTTGGCAGATACACACAAAGGGTTACATCTTCTAAAACAAAATAAATTAATTATAATTTACGTGTTCTTTTATTTACGCCTACTTGAATGCTCATTGTGTCTTTCTCGTGAGCGATTTGTGCTACTGGATCTACTTCTATGAAACGACGAATGTTTTCTTGATCGTTTGCTCCTGATGGAGTGGTGTGTTCTACTGCTCCTATCACGAGATCTGTGATGTTTTGAGCTCCTTCTGTTATCATTAGATCTTCTTCTATGCTCACGATCACGATAATTTTTTTCCCTTTTGGAGGATTTATCATCATGTGCGTATTTTTCTTTTCTATATTCTTCAATAATTTGTTCTCTTTCTTTCACATTTTCTTTTAATTTGCTTAAAGCATTTCTTATTTTTTCAAATCCTAAATGCTGTTTTCCATTAACATGATTCTCAAAACGTTGAATCATATCCCCTGCAGATTTCATTGCACCGCATATTTCACAAACCTACAACGGTTTCGAAACATAAATTCAAAAAATGAACAAATGATGTGTATATATAAAACAAAGTGTAAGACGTGAGAATATACATAAAAAAATGCATACGTGAATGTCTAATAAGAAGGAAATTTTTTTTTTTTTTTTTTTTTCTGTACATGTAATATACCATCAAATTGGGTTCAGCTGGCTTATCAGACTCTTCATTTAATCTCTTGATTTCTGCTTGCAAGGTAACAATTTGGCTGTTAAAACTGGTAGCCTTAACTAAATCTCCCTGAAGGAATGGTATGATGAAAAAATACATCAAATGTGTATAATAGTAGAGTTTAAAAAATTATATAATTCTGCATAAAATAATTATTATAATGAATGATAATAAACTCTTCATGTGAATTACCTTTTTTTTAGAATCTTCTTCCTGCTTTATTAAGTCCGATATGTGACTATTGATACTTTCTATTCTACAAACGGCGCAATAGATGGATGCAACAATGACAATATCTGTGAACATATAAAATGCATATATGTTACATATACATTATAACTCTCTGTGCACGTAAGAAACTTTCGCACATAATATATCACTGCAGCTCCTTACTTTTCTTTGTTATCAACATTGTTTTTGCTGTTCTCAGACATGTGTTTTAATTTTTCTTTGCTTCTTTTAATTTTCATGTTAGCCACTTCAATAATTTTTTCTAACGTTTCTAATGGGAAAAGTGTTAGAAAAAAAAGAGAAAAAACGAAAAAAATAAATGTAAAGTGATACTCTTTTAGGAGTAATGTATAGGAGTGAAAAAGTTTTGAAAAAAAAAAAAAAAAAAAAAAAAAAACGATATTACTCATAAATTTTTGTTGATATTTTGCTAAATAATATTTATAATTTTCATCCTTTGCAAATTTCTCTTTCAGCACTTCTGAATGTAAGTTTTCACATCTACAAAATGGGGATTGCGTGGAAAAGATGTGTTAAAAATACGTGAAAGAATTCAATATGAAGTATATTTGTATGTTTTTGAGCCCAGGTTTTTTTTTTTTTTTACGAATTTGAAAATTGTTTATCTTGCAGAAAATGATAACTTTTTTTTTATTAAATGCTAGATTTCCTTGTCCAAAAGATTTTTTCTATATTTTCAAATTCTTCTTACAACATAGGAATGTACATATATATACGTGTACACATGTGCTTAGAAGCTTGTGCAAGAACAGACGAATAGGCACTCATTTAATTGTCAAACTTTCTCATTTCATATAATTACCTCCCTATGTCACTTTTTGTATTTGGGAAAAGGTCATGTGGACAAAAATCAATCAAGTAATACTTGCATACCTTTAAAAAAAGTATGTAATGTTTATGTTTAAAAAATTTCATGATGTGTATGAAAAAAAGTGAATTTGGACTTATCATTTTTTAATGCTTATTTTTATGTACATTGTCATCTTTGAATGTGTGTTTTTTCCTGGAATCCGTTTCATTTCTGTCCTTTCCCATTAGGGAATCTAGCAATGCTGCGATGCATATGGAAAAGGAGGGAATATATATGTAGACATACATGTACGGTGGCATACGTTCACATTTGCAAATTCATAAAAAATGTAAAACGGAAATGTGCATAAATTACGGATTCTATTTATAAATTGGGCCGGTTGATATATACATAACAGCGAACATATAAATAGTGACATTATATGCACTACGACATGGATGCATACTAATTCTTGAATGACTCATTAAAAAGATCTTTCATGAGTCAAATTACTATGTGTGGATAACAGCCGTCATCAAATGCATCCTATAAAAAACACACCTCTAAATATAACATGAATTGTCAACATATTTGCATTCAGATTTTGTGTAAAATATATTCATTATTTTATATATATGTATGTATATTTTTTTTTTCTTTTTTTTTTTTTTTTTTTTTTTTGCGCTTACATCTCATTTCCTCCATGATCGAAAATGTTACTATTAGAAAATACCCATTCCATAGGTGGGGAGAATGAAGATACGGTATGTTTCCTTTTGTATTTTGTGTGCAGTTTTTTCTTCCTTTTCTTTCTTTATTTTGTTATTAGTTTACTTTTATACTTTCCCAATCATCAGTTTAACCTTTCCGTGGTTAAAGTAATCATAATGTTCTTTCAAATTATTGCAATTTATTAGTTTTAAAACCGGTACAGGTGAAACAAAACAAACGAAATATACAGTGTATATATATTGAGTATAAATACATATATATATGCATATGTATATGTATACTCATTTATATTTATGCATTTTTAATCTATTAATTTGTTACAGCTTTTTTAAAAATATGATAAGGTACAATGAATAAATGAGCGGAAACAAATGATCGTGGGGAAAAAATGTGATGAAAAAAACATGGAAAAAAAAAAAAAAAATAACAAAGAGTAATGGAAAAAAGAGGGAAAAATAATTTTGTAAAAATACAAGGATAAAAGTATATATGGAACGGTTAAACATTAAATAAAATGAAATGAGCATACTTGAATATATATGCATAATATAAGATTGATGTAAGAACATATATATCTCCAATTCATAGGGAAGCACAAAATTAGGTGAAGCTAAAAGGTGCGCAAAGTTAGCTAATATCTTTCTCATCTTTTTTTTTTTATAAATTTTCATATATATATTTGTATTTATAAATATTTATTTTATTTTATTTCTTTGCAGTGTTAAAATGGATGAAACCGAAAGGAGATTTACTATCTAGAGCAGCATGATGGTTTCATAAACAAAACGTTCATCCCAGGGAGCTTACAAAATGTGTTATGTGTGTAAATATGTATAATACACATATTATTCAATATTTTCCTCCTTATTACTAAAACTGTTAAAACATAATGGATATGATATAAGTTTTAACGATTCTTTAACTGAGGTGAAAACTTTCCTGTAAAAAACAGCACCATAAAAAAAAGGCAAAAGTAGTAAAACGATGCATGGAAAAGAAGAAACTGTTTTAAGTAGACCCGCCTCCCCACTTCCCTTGGTTTTTTTATTAAAAAAAAATATAAGGTATACACTGCATGCGCATAGAAATTGTGAAATATAATGCAAACAAATGATGTAAATATATATTTATATACCCTTTTTTTTTTATTTTTTTTTCTCTCTATCTCTCCCACTCCCTTTCACTCTCTCTCTCTCTTTCTTTTTTTTTTTTTTTTTTTTTTTTTTTTTTTTTTTTTTTGATTTACGTATTTTCCGTGTTTAGGCAATTCAGCAAATAGGGGTAACAAATAAACAGATGTGCTTTATCCTCTGAATAGGGGAATTTCGATAAATGGGAAAAATTTTAAATGGGAATATTTAAAAAAGTAGAATTTCCCAAATATAACAAAAGAAAAAAGTCACACTGGGGAAAAAAAAATATGGTAATTCTCCACTCATGTGCATATACATATGGTTGCACCAATTTTCCTCTTCCACTACCTAGGCATTTTAACGTTGAACTGCTGTTCGTGCATATGTAGGAGTAGTTGCACTTCAATTTTTTCATTTCATCTAAAATAAATAAAACTTCGTCTGCATTCTTATTAAGGGGGGAGAAAAAAAAGAAGACATGTGCTTGTATTATTTCGTAACTGTGATTTTAATTCACATTATAATTTTAAATACGTTTATGTAAAACAGAAGAAAAATATTGCATTAATTAAATGGAAGAAAAAGACATAAGGAATTACTTCATTATTTTCACTAGAAAAATTCCTCAAGGTCAAAACACATTTCTTTAACATGATTAATGTTATAAAAGTTGTGTAATAATTATCGTTGTAATTTTCCTTGGTCATCTTTTCATATTCCTCAAATAATCTGCATATGGGGAAAAAAAAAGAAAAAAAAAAAAAAAACATAGCATTTAGGGCGTTGCAAATCTTGGGCACAGAACATACGTGCTGTACAAATTGCAATAAATGAGGAAACACTCACATTTGTAGAGTCCAGCTAGAAAAAGCTCTTCTTTTTTTGTCATTAAGTTCACTTATAATCTTCGTCTGTACAGAGAAAAATCATTTTTTGTGAAAACAGGAAGAATGTTTAAAATATATGTTATGCATTAAGGAAGCGATTTTCAGTGCTTTGAGATTTCTTTGTTTTATTTTTTCAAGTTACCAAGTAGATTTTTATAAATAGAGGAGCCTTGGAATTTTCTATTAAGTAATGGTTTCGTATGAACTTTATGAGCATTATGTCCAACATATCAATTTTGTCATTGTTACCTGCAAAAGAAAAAGAAAAGTGTAACAAAAAGAATGGAAAATACGAAAAAAAATACATAACATATTACAGTATATGTACTAATGTAGAGGGCGAAATATGGGAATCAAATAACTACACGCAGAAAAACACGTGGGGATTCTTTTTTTCTTTTTCTCTTTGTACAACTTACAATTAACGAAGAGTATTTTTTCGACGGAGAAAATAATTGCATACCAATACTTTAATAAATTTTCCTTTGACATATTGCCAGATTTTTGAAGCATATTATAGGTAATTTTTAATAATATAATAATACTTTCGTAAAATACAAAACACGAATTATTATTTATATTATGTAAAAAGCATTTAACATGGGATGCTATAATATACGGAAACATATTAACAAAAGAAAGGAGAAGGGAATAATTTTCATTCTGAGAGAATATACTGTAATATTCATTTCTAATGAAATTACAAAGGATTATAGAAAAAACTACATTGGTATTATAATTAGGATATAAATTGAATTTATTGTGAATATAATATATCAAAAAGGGGATAAAATAATTAAATAATCCTATTGAAAATGTTTGAAAATACTCTATATAATTATTTAATGGGTATATTTTTTTATAATTTAGTGTAAATAATCTACTACATTCTTTGTTTTCTTCATTTAATTCTTTTATGTTTATCTCCATTTCGAGTTTATTATATGTATCATTTAATTCTATCTTTTCTATTATTTCATCTGAATTTTCATTAAATAGTATTTGATCATTAAAAAGGAAATGTACTAATTTGGTAAAAATGGATTTATTCATTTCACTCCCAGACAGATTAAGTTGTAAATATTTCACACATTTCAAAAGTTCGTCATTTATTAGAATATTTATTTTGTCACATTCTAATGTTTGAAATATATCCATCATAATTGTAAAAATTTCACTATTATTGTTCCCATTTAAATAAATTTCATATATATTCTTATTCTTCAAATTTAAAGACACTCCATGTCTTTCTGAAATATACACATTTTTATTATTTTCTAGTATATTGTAAATATTTAGTGGATCATCTGACACTTGATTTCTTTGATATTCAAAAGTGAAATGTCTGTTTATAAAGGATAAATCTTTTTCGGTGTTTAGATCTTGGACATTTTTGGTTTCCTTTTGAAACTCATTTTTTGTTTCCTCTTGAAGCTCTTTTTTTGTTTCCTCTTGAAGCTCATTTTTTGTTTCCTCTTGAAGCTCTTTTTTTGTTTCCTCTTGAAGCTCATTTTTTATACCAGATGCTACACTTGATCCATCCTGCACACTTGAATTCTTACATTTGGACACATCCAAATGGTTGGTGATTACCTCGTCTTGGGTTCTAATAAAATAATCGAAAAAGAGTTTGTTCAAAATAGAATCGTGGTTCAAAAAAAAGTATGTTTTTTTTTCCCCTGGGCATGGAAGAGATTCCACAATAGTAGTAAATAGCAAATGAAACAAATGAAAATACATCAAGGTATGTACATATGTCCATTTGTAACAATGAATATTTTTCAAATTTTCCAAGGTGAGTTTCAATATGGAATCTTTAATTTTCGGATCATCAGTAGAATATGCATAATTGTAAATATAAAAAAGACACATATCGAATAAGTTTATATCAGTGCATCTATTTCTGTTAATGAGCGAATTTTTCATCGTGAAATAACAAACATCATAATAGGTAAACTGTGACATAAAAATATTATTCAAAATTTGTAATATGGATATATGTAACTCAAACATGTTCTTATTTTTATACCCCATAAATAATATGGTCTTTAATATATTGACAAACATATCATAAAAAGCATAAACTTTTCTGTAATTTTTCTGTTCTAATAGTATTCTATTGCATCCTTCTATTATTAAAATAAAAGTTTCAATCCATTGTTTTAGTTTGCTATCCCTTGAATGGTGAATAATAATTTTACTAAAATTTTCATTAACATAATCGTACAAATCGCAATTCTTTTCTGGTTCTAAACTAGCAGCGTTTCCATTATTGTTACTGTTGCTGTTGGGAATCATCATAATTTTTTCAATTTCCTGTAATAAATTTAGATGTTTTGCATTTTTTTTTTCTCTCTTTTTTATTTTCTTTTTTATGACATGTTCTTCCAAATCTTCTGTCAGATTTGAAAAACTATTCCTAAACTGCATCCTCAAGGTCATTTTTTCATTTTCTACTTTATCTTGCATTTGCAATTGTTTACTTCCGTGAGTTATATCATTTTCTTCACTTTTCAGGAGAGATCTACTTACTTCACCCTTTTCCTTTTCATCTTTGCCTGTAATGACTCTTCCATGCATTTTGCTCTCTCCGGTGTGATTGAAGAATTGAGCATCCATATTCGTATCATCATTCTTGAGATAATTCTCCGGATCATTCCTTAGATCATTCATCGGATCAGTCTTTTCAACTTTGGTATGATTGTTGATAGTATAATCTTCCATCTCATTACGTGTTTGACGTTCTCCCAGATTATTTATGATGATCATTGGGGGACTTTTGTCAGACCTGTTCTCGTCTTGCTCTTCATCTTTGGCTAGGTTCTCATTTTTACATTCTATCTTGAAATATTCCAATAACTTACAATAATATTTGATACTTAACCGCTTAAGCAATAAACATATTGAAGTTTTATAAAAGAAAAAATCGAATTTACATATATGTGTTGAGAGAATGCTAATAATTGTTTTAATGCTACAATTTCTGACCTCTATTCTTTCATCGAAACAAAGCTTCATAAGATGATTTAAAATGAAAATAAAAAAGCTTTTCATTTTTATATTCTTCATCTTAATTTCCTTTTGGTATATATACATTTTTTTATTTTCTATAAAACAAGTGAGTAGAAGTTTATTATTTCCTCCTTTGTTCATATCGTTTTTGTGCTGACATTTTTTGTCTTGCCCCGTAGAATTAAGGTTACTATTGAACTTTTCCTTGTCATTAATACTGCCATGGTCACTTTCACTTTTTTTCGTTTTTGTATGCTCCTTCAGCAAATGGGAGCACCCGACAATATAATCAACAATGGACCATGAAAAATTGATGGCCCTAAAAGATATGTTGTTGCCCAAAATACTTAGAGATGAAAATAATATAAGCATGTGAATTATGATCTCCATTATTTTACAAACAGGTATTTCCTCAATGTAATCTACAATTATAATCTCCAATATGTTAAAAATGTTGTTAATATTTGATATGTTTTCCTCCATTATTTGCTGGTTTTCTCCTTCTTCGCTAATATTTTTTAAAGTTTTCCTTTTTAATTCTTTTTGAAATGATACATACAAAAGGAAAATAATAAATAACCACATGTTTCTATTAAAAAAAGAAGCATTTTTTCTAATAAAATTTAAAAAGGAGGTAATGAAATATGATCTATAACTTACATAGGGGTTTACTATAAAAAAGAAGAAGGGCTTAAATAATAAAAATTGAATTTCAAAATTGTACTTATAATATATAACTGACTCTTTTATAATATTGAATAATGTGTCTATGCTTTTTTTTTGAATATCATTATTTTTACACAAGGAGAGAAGTAATATATTCATACAACAATTATTATAAATGTCTGTTATTTTGTTAATATTAATAATACATAACATTTCTATCATATGTAATGGATAAAAATCTTCGAAAATGCAAAACTTTTCTAATTTCTTAAAAACGATAAAGTAGTTACATTCATTCGTTACACTGTTGTAATATTTGTAATTTGTTTTCTCCGTCCAACTCTTCTCATAGCTTAATAAATTCTCCTTTTGGTAATTTATGCATTTTTCTTTAATTGATTTTCTATTAGGTTGCTTTTCCATGATATCTTTATCGTCTGCTTCTTCATTACACACCCAATTCATTTTTGCTTCTTTTGTTAAAAAGAAAAGATTGGAGTAGAAACAGAAATATGAAGTATACATTGGATCAAAATGGGACAGATAATAATAAAATATTTCAAAAATATTATCATTATTTTGCAAAAATTCTACGTATTTTTCGATTACATTCTTCTTTCTATTTAATTTGTTAAATTTCATGTTCTGGTGAATATTACTAGTGTTGCACAATTCCTTTTTTTCCCTTTCATCTGAATTGCTTATATACATGGAACTATCAAGTGGGGCCGTACCTAAACCAGCCGTTCTAATGTTTACATTATTCCCATTATCATTGTTGTTCGTAGTGTTATTACTCATATGGATATTCAAAGGCACAGGATGTATATCCTTAGAATTTTTCAGAATACCATAGGACCCTTCATTGACCCCATCAGTTATATCTAATGTCTTTCCATCTCTCGTTCCATTTTTTCCTCTTAGAGATTTGTTCTTACCTTCGTGTAAGACAGGACAAATGTAGTAATCTGTTGATCCTTTATTCTTATGACATAACATGGAAGATGGTATTTTTGATCTCAGTTCTTTCTGCTTAAAAAACTGATTAAATATCATAAAATGAATAGAATTCAAAATGTTAATTAACGTGGATATATTGTAAAATGTTGTATTTTTAAAAAAATAGGGGAATGAAGAAAATATTATAGTAATTTCTGCACATAATACTGGATTTTTCTGAATAAATCTTAATATGAAATAACAGAATTCTACACTTTTCGAATTTACATTTTGTATATATGTATTTTTATCTGTGTCTATTAAACTTTTACTCAGAGAAAAAATAAAATCTTCCTCATTCTTGTTAATGTAATGCAAAAAATTTAAAAATTCAATAGTTTTATTTTCTATGGATGATATATATTTATATATATAATTAATTTCAACGAGCAGGTTTATCATCTTTAGCCAATTATCAAAATGTAAGTTGTCCCCATATATAAAAAATATGCTAATTACAGCTTTTATAGACAAAATGTATTTTATGTTGTTCAAATCGTTGTTTATATAATAAGATTCTTTTAAAATAATACCGATGATTTTGTCAAAATATTTTAGTAAATCCTCATTTAATGTTGATTTGTAGCAAACAAAATTGGACTCAGCACTTTCTATACTTGTTCTTTTAGAGAGCAATACATCCATGAATTGATTTTCAGTATCGTTCGTTTTGCTATTTTGTTTACTTTTATATGAATATTCATCGACTGCAAAAACATTTTTTGCAACATCATATATGTCATTGTAGGTATAATTTTTATTGTATGATTCACCATTAATATTGGTGTTACTTCTATTATACATATTAATGACATTACCTTTTATATTTATGCCATTTTCTATGGTGTAAAAATTATTTTCAGAATGAAGTACAATCTTTTCAGTTTTTAAGGCATTTCCAGAATCGGTGTAATCTGGTTCATCCATATTCTGCTTATTCTGTATATTCACTATTCTTTCATGATTTATTATGTCTTCATTCACACTTGTCTCTTCCAAATTATCATCACTTTCACTTGACCACTGTATGGGAATTGTCCTATCTTTAATATTACATTTATTTAAATCTTCGATATTTTTGGTTTGTATAATTACATTACTTTCTAATTTGGATGATTTCCTAATATTATGTATGGTATTAATTGCGTCATTTTGCGCGTCCATCATAGAGCCAATATTGCTATCGTTCGAGTTAATTTCCTTCCTTTTAAAATATGAAGTTTTACTTTCACAAGTAGAATATACAGCAGGATCCTTATGCATTGTTTTTATACCTGTTTTATTCTTCTTTGAACTAGAATTGTTTTCATATTTATTTTCTTGTTTTTCAAAATTTCTAAGGATTTTTAAAAAAAAAGGAGAGTTTTCTAAAGTAAATATACTGCTGCATTTGGTTAAGGTCTGCAAACATGCATCTGTACAAATATTTATTTTTAAATGGGTACTAATAAAAATTAGTTTCTGAAACCCACTGAAGAAACACGAATCTAATGTGTTGGTATAAGAAAAGATTAAGCATAATGACGATATGAAATATCTACACGTTGAATTAAACACTTTACAAAAAATAGATATGCTGTCATCGTAACAGTTATTTTTATCCGCGTCATTATGGTTATGGTCCCTCCTCTTTTCACTTTTTTCATGTTTGTGAACACATTCCCCAGGATTAAATAAGGTATTGTAACTGTTTACATTGCTTTGTATGTTGTTGTGCACAGTGCTATACGCATTATTGCTACTTTTTTTTTCACAATTGGTATTACCATGAAATGAATTATTATTATAATATTCTATTCTTCTTTCCAGTTCATAATCGAAATTGGCGTGATCACCATTATTGCTACAGGTGTGTCGTGAAGATTGGATCGACTGGGGATCACATCCCTGTTCGTTACTGTAATATGGTGCCATAAATGCTTCTCTTGCATTTCCATTTTCAAAGCTACTTCTATGATATGGGAATGAATGTTCTAAAAGTAAAACATTTTCATCATTCAAATCTATGGTTGCAAAGCAATACTGATTTAGAGACATTTTTAATATGTTTAAAAAAATTACATAAAAAGAATTTACAAGAGATAAAATATTGTCAACAGCCGATGCAAGCAAACGTATTTCATCAGTGTCTTTATAGCATAACTCATCAAATACTATTTTATTTACTTTCTTTTCCGCTGAATATTTGAATAAATAAAAATTTTCTCTAGGGTTTATACAATTATTTGGTAAAATTATAGGGTAACAAAAAAAGTTACGAAATTGCATTATATGTTCTTCTTCCTTTTTTCTTCCTTTGGTCATTTCAATTTCATTAACTTGGACTTTTTCCCCATGTTTATGTTCTATATAATTTTGTTTTTTTGTTTCAATTGTCTCGTATTGGTTTTTTCCAGCATATTTTATTTTATCTTTGTCATGTCCCTTCTCCTCTTCGGGATCCCTTTGATGCTCACCTTTCCTTTCACCTAGGACAATGGTAGTACTATATTTGCTTCGACCCTTACCAATAATTTGATCATTTTTCTTTTCTCCAACATATATTCTATCATATTTAAACACCTTCAAATGGATGTACATTTTTGTTATATCTATTGAGTGTAAAAATAACAATTCGTGTATAATTTTGCTAATGTATTCAACAATCTTAATGAACACTAAGTTATTGTCGTCACTATGACATTCTCTCTGTGCCTTTAAATTTTTCCTTCCCTTTTTCTTTTTCTTCTTCTCCTCCTTCTGCTTACCATCTTCATTCTGCCCGCAATTTCTCTTTTGTAGGGGCTCAACTCCCCAATGGTTTATTTTATCCTTGTTCAATATTTTCTCTACATCATAGGCCTCCTCATAATTTATTGTATCAATTTCGTTGATAATGTCATCTCTAGCCTTGTTCTTCTGACTTGCAGCATCGAACTTATTACTTCCTAAATTACTTTCTTTATCACTAATCGATTTTTCGATGGGGCAATTCTGTTCTAGAATAGCACCATTTTCGTCTTCTAAAATGTTGTGCCTCTTCGTTTTTTTTTTTTTTTTCTTTTTTTTTTTTGATCCATCAGTGTCTTTTGTCATAGATGCGTCCATCACAGGGGAGTTCACCAAGGAGTTATCCACATCGGGTTCCTTCTCTACACATTTCTTCATCATATCAGGTTCCTTCTCTGCATCCTTCTTCGTCAGCTCTTGTTCCTTCTCTACATCTTTCTTCATCAGTTCTGGTTCCTTCACTGAATTCATCCTCCCGTGCGAACCTAACCCTGATGGGGAGAAGGGGCTCTTGATTTTACACCCCTTCCCATAGCAGAAATATTTATACAAATGAAAAAGAGTCAAGGTATTATCAAACAAGTAGAAAAAAAAATTTAAAACAATAAACAATTTGGAAAATGGTTGCGTCAAGCATAAATACTCAATTAAAATTAAGAAGAGGAATTTAATTTCACCTAAAAAATACTGAAAATATTTATGACAAATTATCTTAAAAATTTTTAAACATCGATAAAAGACATCTGTATGTAAATTATATTTTAATGATATCAATATTATGTACACAATTTCGAATTTTAATAATTTGAAAAACTCGAAATTTTGTAAAAAGAATTCATAATTATTTAAAAAAATATACAATAGGTCTAGACAAAAATTCAGGGGCAAAATTAAATTATTCTTGTTGTAATTCGATAGTATGTCTGTTTTTTTATCACAAGAATCTGCATTAATATTTTCATTACTCTCATAGTTATTCATGTTATCCGTTTGATTTTTTGGATTTGTACTTTTTAAAATTTTCAAAAATTTTTTAATATTATAATTTTTTACAGTGTATGTGTATAAATTTTCATTTTTAGTAGAATTCCTTTTTTTATAGGATTGCTCTTCGTACGCATTTATTTTTTCTTCTACAGTAACATCGCTGTTGGTTTTATCCATATGTCGTGTATTTTCCGAATAACTCGGATCTAGAGTGTGTGTAGAAGTTTTATCGTTATTTTGTTCGAAGTGGGCAATATTGTTGCTACTACTTCTCGATGAATTGTGTCTATTCATTTTGTCATGATTTTTTCTTGTTGATGTTGATGATGTTTCAATGATTGGTTCGCTACTTTGGAATATATTTGAATTATTCCTTCGTTCAGAAATAACATTAACGGAATTATTAAAATAATCTTTTCGTTTTTCCTCTCTATATGTTTCGCTTTTTATATGCGCTTTTACATGATCAGGGTTGTTGTTGTGGTATCTTTTCCCCTTTTGTTTTTCTTCCCTTGTGTTTCCACACGTATAGGAGACATAAACATCATCGGTACTATATTTTAATCGAATATTTACAAAACAACAATAACAAAGATAATGAATTAGGGAAAGAAGTTTGTTCTTATTTTGCATATAACTCTGGTCTTTTACATCAGTTATGTAGATAAGATCTATCGGACTGTTAGTATCATATTGCAAATCAAAATTTTCAAAATAGAGGTGCTGCACTTCGCTTGAATGGTCCTCATCAGCATGGTTATAATCATTATTTCCAATGTGACAATTCTGATTTGTTTTATTTTTCTCATTTTTTTCTAATTTATAGTTAGAAATCTTTGTGCTTGAACATACAGTTGAATTAATTATGCTCTCCTTGTTACATACATCAATGAGAGAATTAAGCAACTGTTTGTAAGCAGCACAACACGTTTGATATAAAATAGTATTATTGTCATATAGTGACGAATAATAAACGGAATATAAAATTTTAAGTAATGTGTTAATAATATTTTTATCACAATATTCAATGTACTGAGGAGAAAATGCAGTTAATATTATTTGTACTATTTTAATTAAAACCTTTTTATCTTCAACGAACGTCAAATCGAATAATTTGTTCGTAATTTTTTCAATTTGTTTTTCTACATTTATGTATTTAAAATTCTGTATTACGTCTTTATTATCTATTAGGTATAATATGTAAAATACAACTCTCTGAATGATTAACAAGCAAATACTTGATATTTTATGGCTATTGACATGAACTCCTATATTTATAATATCAATTATTTCATCCATGGGAAATTCAAAATTACTCAATAACTGGTTTTTATTCGATTTTATTATGCTATTGTAGTTTTTAATTTTTATAATACATATTTCTGTCTTTTCCTTTATACATACATTTCTTTTCTTTGTCTCCACAATTAGCAATTGCATATCATTTTTCAGTTCTTCTAGGAGGGGAAGGTGGTCCATCTTTATAAAAATATATCCACATACTTCAAGTGGCTCGTGAGAGGGTATTATATTCTTCTCGTTAACTTGAAGTATTGTTATGCACAACTTGGTAGGCTTATCATCTGTTTTACTTCTCTTTATTCTACTCACGTTTCTAGCCTGCTCTTAAGATAGTCTATACCGGTTGGCACTTCGATATGTTTTATGTTTTTATGATTTTATCATACTAAGTGTATTAATATTTGTGTGCGTGCCATGTTCCTTGTGTACACCATACGTGTTATACCATTTCGATGTATGCTTAACTAGAAATACAAGAATAATGTGCCTTTATGAAAGGGATTCAAATATAGGCTTGTAACTGCTTCTTTACAAAACAGTAGAAAAAATGGCTAATCAAGGAATGGGGAATAAATGTGTGAAAAATTAAAAAAAAAATTAAGGGCTCAAAAAAAAAAAAAAATGAAAAAGTAAAGGAACAAAGGAGATAGTAGCTAGTGTGTTGAAATGTACATTTTACATAAATAAGTAAAAATTAATACTCATAAAATTTTTTTTTTTTTTTTTTCTTCTTTTTTAAGATGAAGTACATGGATTGATTTAATATAAAATAATTTCACTTATATGAGAAAGGTGAAAATTCCAACAAGGAGTAAAATCTCAGTTTGCCCAATTATTCTATGATGTCTGTGTTTTCTTATCAATTTATTTATATGTATAAACACTTTCGCAATAAAAAATATTTAGTTAAAATAAAATTGTAAAATAGATTTAATTTAGAAAAAAAGAATAATTGTGTGGCAAAAATTTTCTTAATTGGGTGCTGGTAAAAAAAAAAAAAAATGTAATATTTTTATGACAAAACGCTCTTTTATATACAAAAAAAAAAAAAGTGTAAAGGATGAGGGAAAAAACATTGCAAGAGTTAAAAAGAAGAAAAAAAAGATGATTAAAAAATATATAACCAAAATTAATAAAAATTAATCATGCATGATGCCTCAAGTTAAGGTTAATCTATTTGAATTAAAAACAGTAAATGAGGTAAAATTGTTTTTTAAATAATTCTTTTTTTTTCTTTCTTATTTGTGTGTATGTATATATACATATATATTTATAACATGGTATATCACAGTACAAAAGTTAAAACATTTTGTAAACCTTTTTTATGTTATGACATTTTTCCTGCTTTTGTTCTTTTCCATCCTAAATATATTCTAACATAAGTATATATATAATTTTAGTATCTTTTCACAATTATCCCTTTGGTGTGGAATACAACTGTATTTATGCAGATAGTGAAACTCATTAACAAATTTTTTAACACAGGCCTAAGATCGTTTACAAATTTAAGCATATAAATTACTCCTCAAAAACTGAGACATTTTAGTGGGTAAGAAAGAGGGTTAGTTATGCAATTATTGTAACACACCTAAAAAATAATAACAGCAACTTTTAAAATCTTGGGGCTTTTCACTTTTTCAGCTGTTTCACATTGTGTTACCATAACATTTCTTTTCCATAACCAATCCACATTTTCTATCCATACATTCTTTCTTTCTTTATTTTTTTTAATGATGAAATGAAGGGATAGCTATAATTTTTATTATTCGAAAGAAGTAGACACTTTTCAAAGAGCCTACTCATCAAAAGTGTTTTATGTGTAGAATTGCTACTACGCAACCGAAAAATGCAATTAGTCAAGAGAAGTGTAACTCATGTTATCCTAAAATTACGTCACATTTGACAAGTCTCGAATTTTTTTTTTTGTAAATTTTGCCCATTCTTACAAACAGTTGTGCGGCAGTATTCGTTTAGAGGAAGTTGTATGAAGTGTCACCTGTTACAATACTTTTAGAGACATGCACTTGATAATTGCCCAGAATTTATATAACCTATAACGATTGCGAATTTGGAGAAGACAATTATGAAAAATTAAATCCCAGAACACGGAAAAAAAAAAAAAATACTTGTTTTACCCTGTTAGTATAGATTGAAAAGTAGAGGAACAGAAAATTGGGGTTATTCTTCCGCGTAAAGAGAATAAAATATTCTTGCATATTCGGATCCGTTTTTTTATTTATATTTTTATATCATATGATGATTTAATACTTCACTTTTTGTTTAGAGTATGCACCATTCCGTGAAACATTGTTTTTCCGATTAAAAATAAATTAACACACCCTAAGACGAAATTTAGTCAGAAAATTTAAATATAATATATATGTGTACATAGGAAGATGCATGTATATATATGTGAACATTTATTTATATATGAAAATATGTATGCATATTTCTGAACACGTTGGGTATTTTGTTTTTTCTTCTTTTGAAGAAAATTTTATTAATATCGATTAATAATTATAACAAAAATTAAAAGTGAATGAGGATATAAAAATGAAATCAGAAAAGGATGATCCATTTCATGAGGCAAAGCAGTATGAAAAAAAAAAAAAAAAGTATTCATTACATGTTCATATTTAAGCGCGTAAAGCGTCTTAAAATAGACCCGAAAATGATCGAACTCATTTAATAAAAAATATAAAAATGAACAATGCATTAGTTGCTAATTTTTCTCAGCGTTAACATTTTTTAAAAAAATTTGTAATATGCTTAAAGAGATACACAGAAGTTTATTAAAACTACAGTATATATGAATACAATACAAGTATATTATCTGGGTCTATTTCATAATTCCTTTTTAGCGAAGTCGATATTTCAGTACAGAAGTTGCAAAGCCTATATAAAAGCTGGAGTAGCATACCTGACAAAAATTCACTGTTAACACATTTAAACTTATGCAATATATCTGAATATATTATATGGCAAAAAAAAAAAAAAAAAAACAATAAACACTCGCTAACCTGTTTTTGCAAACGATACAAAATTTAGTGCTCATGCTTCATTTTACTTCATTTGCAATATTTTAACGTATAACAACGAATTCATAAACATAAGTTCGATTTTTTTTTCCTCTCAGATTGGCAAGGGAGAAATACGCCCTGATAAGTGAAGAAATAAAATATCTAAATGAAGATTTAGAAGATCTAGACAATTCAGTTAATGTTGTAAAAAAAAATTTATACAAATTTAATATTACCACGGAAGAATTGGAAAATCGTGCAAATTCTCTGAAAAATATTCGAACCGTTTTAAATGAGATAGCAAGCAGTTTGACTTATAAGGTTAGTGCAGCAGAGAATATATGCAACATAAACGATTCCCAAAAAAAAAATTTATGCTATGTACAACATTTATCGTTTCCTTTTTTATGGCAGGCTTTAAACTACAGTAGAAGCGTGAAGGGTGAATACGACGCTGTAATGCATTTTAACAAAAAAGATAGAAAAAGAAATACACATGAAATGAAGAATAAATGTTTAACATATAAATATGTATATTCCATTCTGCTAAATATGGAATAACGCCTTTTTACATAAATTTGAAGAAAAAAAAAATAAAATAAAAATCATAAAATGAACCTTTTATGTTAAATTCATATTATATTTATATGTACATTTCCAGGTTGCGATCAAAAGACAAGACAACGATTTGGACGAATTAGCTGAATCTGCAGAGAGACTGCACAATGCCGCTATTACAATTAACACAGAATTAAAAGATCAGCAAAAGTATAAAAAATATAAGAAGGAAATAATTTCATATTTTTTAAGATTTTTCTATTTTTATACATAACTTTTCTAATTACTCCCCTATCTCCACTGTTTTCTCATTCATGTAGGTTACTTGATGAATTAGAGAACGAAATGGATTACTCAAGTTAGCCAAAAAGAAAAAGGACATTTTTGTACATTTTACATATGCCACGAATACGTATATCTTTTTCTTATACATTAAAAGAATTTCATTTTATTTTATTCTCCTTACCCCCTGCTCGTTTATAGACGAAAAAATGAACTTTGTGATGAAAAGAATCGGAGATTATTTAAAAACGAATAGTAAGAAGAGATAAAAATGGGCCATTAGAAAAAATGAATAAATATATTTTCAATAAATAATACTTTAGCAGATCCTACTATTCACAGCATTGAAAAATAAAACATCTTACTCAATACAGCAAGCCGCATACCGATTTGTACATAATTCGTAATGGTAAATCTCCTGTTTTCCTTTTTCCTTTTCGCAGATCCGAAAGTGCTATCCCTAATAGTCTATCTTACACTTATTTCATTTTTTTTGCTATTTGTCCTTGTAGTCTCCTAACATTATTATTTGCTGAGCTGAAAATGCACGAAAACGTATGTGAGAATATATATACATATATGCACACATTTTTACGGATGCAGAAAATTTTTTCATGGTCATCAGGGACTAGGGATAAGTACCCCGTTTATAATTTTAAATAACTTATAAATTTACCAAACAATTTTACCAGTTAACTAAAAAAAAAATTTTTTTTTTTCCTTCAAAAATAAATATATACATGTGAGTACGTAACCAAAACAAGAATTTAATATTTTCCGGTTTACTTTGCACGCATATATATATATATATATATATATATATATATATATATATATATATATATATATATATATATATGTAGGAGCCTACACACCACCATAACAAATTGGGCGTGTGTTATTTCAATCTTTCCATGTCACATGCATCCACAAAAGATTGAAACCTTTTAAAAATTAATCATATTGACAAGGCACTTATTACTGAAAATTTTCTGACAACACAAATTTTTTTACAAAGTTGTACGTGCACGTATGTACGTACTTTTGTTGTATCCAAATAATAGTAGCGGGGTGTAGGTGGCGGGTGCACAAAGGTAATATGTTTGTTGGTTAAAATGTGGGAACAAATTTTATTAGATAACTCCAATAAATGTGGAGAAACAAATATGTAAGTGAACTACTCAAGTGATAAATATTTCCCTGTTTTCCAGGCTTATACAGTGCTTATACGAGTGTAGATACCCTGAAAAAGTATAAACACACGTGTACATTTACATATATGTAAACGTTAGCATAATGGGGAACATGTTCCCATTGACATATATTTACGATAAAAGTGCTTCCCAAATTTTTTGACATAGTATTTTTCACTTTTCAGTGCAGCACCTTTTAAATATTAGTTATGCTACAAGCTGTTCCATATTTAGAACGATAACAGTTTTTTTTTTTTTTTTGAACGTTTTTAGGGGAAATTTAACGGTTGTTGTTGTAGCTACCTTTGCCATGATTCAGGTTCTTATATGTATTTTTATACAAGCTATTCCCTCTTTTATTACCATTGTCATTGTTATTCTTACTGTTGTGTTTATTGGGCTTGTGGTGAACTACGTAAGCGCTATAACTGTTGTAACTTTCACGATTACGTTTGGCATTGCTGCGCTTTGAGCTGCTTGAAAAGTTATGATCGTGAGTATTTGCAATATTATGAGTATTCGCATAATCATGAGTATTTGTATAATCATGAGTATTTGTATGATTATCTTTACTTGCATGATTAGGTTTATTTGAATGTCTATCGTAAATATTGTGGAAATTGTTTTTATTGATATTAATATTAACATTTGATTTTATAATGGAATTATTAAGATGATCACTTGAGACATTCGAACATTTGTATAGACCTGGTCTGACACTATATACTTGCATATTATTGTTTCCTCTCGTACTCGCATTCATATCTTTATTTTTGTTATAGTGGCTACTTTTATTCTTATTATGGTAGTTTCTATTATCATAATTTCTATCTTCGTGATTGAAATAATCGTTGTTACTGCTGTTAGTAATATGTATATCCTTATTGTAATATTGTCTATTGCTATTTTGATCATTCACTTTATTTATATTGTTATATCTTCCACCTCGATCAATGAAATCAGTTTTGTTCTCAAGATTATTATTCCCTATATGAAGTTTATTTTTATAATCATAATAATTACTGTTATGAGCGGCTTCAATTTTATACCTTTTATTATTCGTGTGATAGTTATATTCATTTTCTAAATTGTATGTATCAAAATTTCGTTTCTGTTTATGACTTTGTGTATTGTCGTTAGATGCGTATTTTGTGAGGATTACCTTGCGTTTGAAGCTCTTATTATTATTGTTACTATTGTTATTGATGTTATTATTACTTTTGTCATCATGTTCATTTCTTAAATATTCATCATCTTCTTCTGTCCCGTGCACGTTGAAGGTATTGCTAATGTTTCCTCTATTTTTGTGGAGGTTGTAGAAGGTACTATCACCCCGTTCCTTCATGCATATGACTTGGCCATTTTCGCTGCGTCTTATATTTCCACCTCTGCTGCTAATTTCAGCGGGCTGCAAATTCACATTTGGCAAGGTATCCTTATCATTGTTACTGCTATATTTTTGTTCATTCGTTTTGGTGTCATATATACCCCATATATTTAGAGGATTTTTCAAATAAACAAAATAAGAGGGATCTAAATTCCTGTTGTATTCCCTTCTAGCATTGTGTGTATATTTTGCATAAATGTAAGGAGGATTTCCACATTTAAAATGATCATTTGAAAAACAATTTAAACAAGATAAACTTCTATATGGAGAATGAATATATTTTAACTCCCTTAAAACATTATTTACATTGGGTTTGAATGTCGTATATTGTATCCTTGTGTTGTGACATACATGATAGGTAACGTGCTTATTGCATATGAAACAATAAGTATTTTTACAAACATGTTTCGTTTTAGGTTCTCTATCACAATCATTGGATCCACAATTTTGACATACATACCTTTTTTCTTTATATAATTCAGTTAAAAAGTAAAAATGGAAAAACATATTTTCTGAATTAATATCTGAAAATTTTATAAGCCAAGTTTTTGTTTTTTCCTCAAACTCATTCACTACATGATCTAGCCTTGAATCGTCTGCACCAGTTTCAGCACAACCGTTCCCTGTATCTTTTAGCATGTCCCTTTGTTGGATGCACTCTTTAATTTTTTCCTCTGTATCTGTATGTTTGTTTTTATCTTCTTCTGTTTCTTTGTTACTTGTTTGATTGGATAAATTGTCATTATCATCTTCATTACTCGAAATGATTTCTTCATATTCTTTACCAATAGCACACTCACCATCTTGAACTTTTTGATTATATTTTTCTCCCTTTTGTGACAATTCCTTTCCCAAAATTACATCCATAAAATTGTCATAAGTACCTATACCCCCATTTTCAGAAACCACATTTGGGTCATAATAATATCTACTGCTTGCTTCATTTTGCCTGACTTTTTTATTTCTTTCCTGTGAAGCATATGATACTATACGATAAATTTTATCTTTTCTTAATTTTAATATAATATTTTCATTTTTATCCAGATTTTGTTCATTAAAAGAATCATGTTCATGATTTTCGGGACTATCAATTAAAATATTATCTCTTTTAAAATTTTTCAAAATATGGACACGAATTTTCTTTCTCACATTATCATAATCCTTGATTTGATTTTCACTTAATTCGCCTAGTAAATCAAAATTATCGCTTGTTCTTATTGCTTTCATTTCCAGGTTTATTATTGTATTTTCTTCACTGTCTATGTTATTGTTGAAGCTGTTATTCATACTGCTATGCATATTTCTACTGTTGTTTTTGTTATATTCCTCATCTTGATCAATTACCATGTCCTCCACATCATCTCTAACATTCCCAAACTCGTTGCATTCTACATTTGTATTTAAGCGAACATTTTCATCTGGGTTTATATTTATTGTAAAAAGGTTTTCCATTAACAGGTGTTTTAATGCTTCTTTATTTGTTTGCTTTATTTGTTCGCTTTATTTGTTTGCTTTATTTGTTTGCTTTATTTGTTTGCTATATTTGTCTGTTATATTTGTCTGCTTTCTGTTTACACCCTACAGTTGTTTATTCTGTGACGCCCGAGACATGTATGATAAACGTTTTATATATGGAACTTTATTTTCCCTATCCTCTATGAGCACTTTTGTTTGTTTTCTGTTAATTCTTCCCTTTAAGTAAGCTGTGTGTAATGATATCCATCAACCCTCGTTAGATAAAAATGTGCGCCAGGAGGTATGAATAATTCGTATTCAGTAATACAAGTGGTTTAATAACATAGGTACATATATGTGCATGTATATGTACCTAATATTGCGCCAATATTTGTTTTATTTCGAATTTTGCATGAGTTTCGACACCCTTAAGGCCTTTTTCTTTTTCCCTTTTTGAACTACAGAAAACAACGAAAAGCTAGAAAAGAGCCAATGTAATTTTATCAAATATATATAAGCTTGAACGAAATTGATCAAGCATAAACAAAATTAGCCAAATTGGGCAAAAATGGTTAAACTAGGCAAAACAGCAAAATTTAACAAAGTAGCGAAACTCAACAATGTAGCAAAATTCAACAAAATTTGCCAAACTTAAGCAAACAGTCTGATGTTATTCCAATTTCTATTCAGTTATCATATTTTAATCCCCGTTTAACGAAATTATTTATTCTTTTCCTTTTTCTCACAAACATTATATTAAAATGAGATAGCAAAACTTTTCAAGATTAAGTGAAGTGTTCATTTTTCCCGCTAATAACAAGAATTATTACATAGCACATATATGGGGAAGAAAGAAAGAAAGAAGGAAAGAAAAAAGAAAAAAAGAAAAAAAGAAAAAAAGAAAAAAAAGTGTACGTTATGAAATTAAAAAAAAAATTTCTTATAAAAATACGTAATTTGTAGAAGAAAAAGGAAAATGGGAAACAGGAATATAAAACACACAAGCTCACTTGACGTCCAAAAAAATAAAATAAAAAACAATGTAAATTAAATTGTTGAAAATGCCGTTTCTAATTTTCACAAAACAAGTGTCATATTACATGCATGTATATGAATTTGCTTATGGAAAAAGGTAAAAAACATTGGTAATAATATTAGAGGGAGTCAAATAAGAAAACCTTAAATAAAATAAAAAATATGAAACTAATAAAATGATACATATAAATATGCATATAGTCTTGTGTACTCGTACGTACATTTTTTTTTTGTGTATATTTAATATAACTCAAGAAATTTGTTCCTTGAAGCATAAGTCGTGTTCAGTGTCATAAAAACAGGGAAGGCAAAATAAGATATATTTTCCATACTTATCAATACAGGCATTAACAATTTTTACAAATTCATATGCAATGATAACCATATATTATATTTTCTAAGAAAAAAAAAAAAATAAAAATAAATAATAGTCCATTTAAGTAAATATTGCTAAAACTTTAAAAGAAATGATAACAAATAAGAGTGTGTATAGCTCCTCATTCTTGATTAGACACACACATTCTTACTATACATACATCAGTTTTGTAGTAAGGACAATAACGACATAGTTGTGTTGTTCAGAAATGAGAAGCAAAAAAAAAAAAAAATACATGTATTTTGTTGTGAATACATATTGTATGGGTATCCTTATTCATAAAAAATTAAAAGAACAAATTTTTGGAAAAAGGTTCTGTTAGTTCCCTTAAGTATGTGCTAGTGTTGTTTATCAGTTGGTACAAAACCTTATAAATTGTTTTACCTCCCATTTTTTTGTTGCTTATTATTACAAAAAATGGAAAAGAAGACAAATATGATAAGTTAAACATAAAAGAGTTTCATTTACCTCATTCTAAGCACCATTTGTTTTTGGTTTTTATTAAATCGGAAAAACAAATGAAACTGACCTTATAAAGATAACCTAAAAAGTATTCACCACACAGATCAATTGTGAGTATAGTGGCACATGTTTTATTAGTGCTTAATCTTTTTGCTTATGTTTGTATTATAACTTATTTTTCTCCAATTTTTCAAAATCCAACATTTTAAAAATTGAAATAATGTTAAGCATAACTATCTCCAAATTACTTCATACACTTGAAGAAGCTCTTAAAAAAGCTAAAAAGAAAATACATTCATCGGTGTATAGATATGTATATCATTCTTAAGTGTAAATTTCGTGAAAAAATTCAAGTGATAATATACTTAAATCTGCCATAGTATTTTCTTTATGACAAACAAAGAAAATATGAATTATAAGCCCCGTTCGAAAAATAAAAAAAAAAAAAATTGTATCATGTAAGGTAAGATGTGAAAAGGTGACCAACGCAAAAACAAAAATACGTTATATAGTTTAAAAAAAAAAGAAAGCGAACACACCCTTAGAGGATAAATGGTAATTGTCACATAAACATTCTGAATAAAAAGAAAGAAAAAAAAAAAAAAAAAAGCCTTTTGTAAGTTGCAATGGATCAGATATATTCACATGAATTACTGGCTAAAATATAGAGGAACAAACAGGGAATACTTACAGCTCCTTTTGGAGTGAACTGTTTGCATCATGATATTTGAAAGGAATTCTCAAGCACAAATCTTGCAAAGGAACATTTAATGTACTGTGGCTATAGCACATACACATGTAATGGATGTGTATGCCTGAACGGTTGTGCCAGTATGAACCAATACAAACGCAATTTATACCGACACAATATGCCCAACTTTATAAGCACAATGTTTTCTAACATACTAAAAAATGAATATTATTTTGTACTTAGTTTTAATTCTTATATATGTAAGTGGAAATAACCTCCAATTAAATGTTTATTGCAGAAAAGAGAATGATTTAAACAAAGCAAAGAAAACCTATTCTTATAACCCATTTGGTGGTAATATTAGGGATAAGAATATACATCATTTGAATTATGTACTTTATAAAAGACGAGTTTTATTCCATATACGAATTCCCAAAAAAAATTTACAGGAATATAACATAGTTAGTAATGATATACGTCATAAAAAAATTAAAGCGTTTTTGGAAAATAAGAAGACAAACAACTTGTGTTATTTACATATAAGTAATAACAATCATGGGATAAAAAAAAAAAGGACGAAAAACAAAACTTTGGAACTATTATTTGAAAAAAAAAAATGGATACAGCAACATTTTTATAATTTAAAATCATCCCTATTAGATAAATATAAAAACACGAAAATTATAACGAAGCTTTTTTTATCCTCCTCTTTACTCATGGTGATACTTAACATGATGGGAGTAAAACCAGAAGATATTGCATTACACGATAAAAGAATTTTAAGAGCTTTTGAATTTTACAGAATTATAACATCAGCATTGTTTTATGGTGATATATCACTATATGTATTAACAAATGTTTATATGTTATATTTACAAAGTCATGAATTGGAAAAATCTGTAGGCTCATCAGAAACACTATCTTTTTATTTGTCCCAAATTTCTATACTATCTATAATTTGCTCCTATTTAAAAAAGCCATTTTATTCGACAGCGTTATTGAAGTCCCTATTATTTGTGAACTGTATGCTAAATCCATATCAGAAATCTAATTTAATTTTTGGTATAAATATTTACAATATTTATTTACCCTATTTATCCATTTTTATTGATATTTTACATGCACAAGATTTAAAAGCTTCATTATCAGGCATATTGGGGGTAACCAGTGGGTCTATTTACTATATTCTGAATATTTATTCCTATGAAAAATTTAACAAAAAGTTTTTCATAATTCCTACGTTTTTAAAGAATTACCTTGATTCGTTAAGTACGAACGATGTGCTTTAGCTCATCTTCATAGAAGGATCTCTAAATCCCGCCTCCTTACACTTCAACTATGTTGATAATTATCCCACTTGAAATATGCAATAATAAATACAAAAAGAAAAAAAACGAAGATGTATATTCATAGCACATGAATGCAATAATTAAGCAGAGCTAAATTATAGATGAAACAAGCTGGATGGAGAGATACGACACAATATAGGGGGTGAAGGGGGTGCAAGATAGGAAAATTTTCCGCATCTTCCTAATTCAAGTGCTTACTTTATTCCACCTTTAATTATGGTAACAAATTTAGCCATTTTTTTCAGTAGTTTCTTTAGTTTTTTTATTTTTATTTTATTTTTATTTTTTTACGTAAACTTTTCATTTCTCTCCAATACCCTTTCAATAGCATGCACTCGGGACATGTGCACAAAAGTGGTACAACATGTCTTGAATCTCTTTTAGATTAAAATGTGTTACTATTAAACTTAAATGGTAAAAGACAAATTCGATGCTGCTCCATATCAACTTTGTTCTTAATATAAATATTTGAAGTAGCAGAATATATGTTATCACTCAAATGTGCTATCCTCTTTCTGATTAGAAAACATAGACCAATCACGTGGTTATAAAAAAAAACATTCCCAATTGTATCGTTATCAGTAGGGACCTTATTAGTTGTGCAATTTTTTTGAATAATTACATTAAATAATTGTTCATAATTAATGGCGTCTTCGAGACTTTTCAATGCATTTTTCAGTAAAAAAAATGTCAATTTGAATAAATTCTTATCGTTAATTAGTTTTACATATTTGTGATAAATCGAATCAACCAATAGGGATTTGCTTAAATTGTCCCAGTTCCCCAGAAGCATTTCATAATAATCGTAGTTGACGCACAATGTTAATTGATATTTATTTATAAATATTTCGTTCCTTATTCTGTTTATAGCTTCTTGTCCTACGTAGCAACCTTTGTCTTTGGTTAGATAATTTAGTTTATCATAGTTCAGATCAAAGGGAGACAAATCTTTGAATTTGAATATATCCCTATCCCCCTTTCTAGGCTCCTTATTTTGTTTAACGTCAATATACAAATACTCATTTGTGCTAATAACACTTGGGGTATTTACGTCATTTGTATTTTTCTGTATATTATCTATAAAGGGGGGACAATAGGAATATAAATTTTCCACAACCCCTAAGTTTAGTTTTATATAATCATACACAAACGTATCCGCAAGTTTTACCTTTTCTTCTTTTTCAAAGTTAAGAAGAATATGATAGGTATCATTTTTAAACTTACTATTAATTTCACTGTTGCTTTCGTTGGTTATATTGCTCGCAGTGACACTTACACATTTTTTAAGGATGCCTGTATTTTTGTTAATATTTTCATTTTCCTCCTTCTGTTCCTTCCCCCTTATTTCATATATTCTATATCCCAGTATATCATTTCTACCATCTTTGGAAAGGAATAATATGTCTAGGTTATTGGACAGCCTTTCGATATCGTTATTTGATAGTGATTGGATGGCACTATCATCAGATATAATTGTTGAATCCTTTGTGATGATCCTTCCACCTAGGACTGATACACCAGACACCAACTGGTGAACAGCTATGTTTGGAATTTCCCTAACATGAACGTCACATGAGAGTTTCCTCTTTTGTAGTATGTTTAGTAGAATTTTCAAAATATTCACATTACAGTCTATATAAAAGAGGCTAAATATGCTTTGTTCATGCATATACCTTATATTATATATGAAACAATCAAACAGTATTTTTCCATTGTTTTGCAAAAATAGGGAAGGAAGCCCTTTCGTCAATTTTTTATGTTCTAAACTAGGGTTATAAATTTGATACGTATTCGCATCAAGAGGATTGGATAATACATTCTTGGGAACATTCTTATATAAAATAAATTTTTTTTCTGTTATTATTTTGTTTAAATCGTTTGTTGTCAAACTTTGCAGAAATTTAAAAGAATCTGTTCCACAAATTTGAATGAGCGTCCTACTTTTCAATTTACAGATATGGTATTTATTCATTGAATTAAATTTCGTTTATTTGTTAAAGGTGGTGTGAGATTTCCCTGTCATATACCAAAACAAGTGTGATATCTTCTACTTCTTTATTCCTTTCTTTCTTTTCAACGAATGTTACGTTTATTCTTTATAAATAGCTTTCTTTTTACAGATGGGCCCAAAGCAGATCTCTCTCTCTCCTTTTTTTTTTTTTTTTTTTTTTTAAAAGCTTTGCAAGGAATGTGTTTTCCCTTTAAACAAGTGTAAAAAAAAAATTAGGAAAAATAAAAAAAAAAATAGAGAGTCAGAGTTAAGAACAAAGCCAAGAGGAATAATTTAATTTCGAAGTTACGTTTTTAAAATACGTCAAACTTGTAGCTCCATATTGGAAGTTTGCAGAAAAAATTGCTACAGATGATAGCACGTAGGTTCTCTTTGTTTTCCTCAAAGCATTTATATTTACCCATATTATATATATACTTTTGTATATACACACATGATCCATGCGCATGCATATATTTTCGGGTATAAAAAATGGGCAAGGAATTGTACAACGTGAATTAAAGTGGCTACTTTTTAGAGGTAAAATGTAACAAAAACAGACTAATTTATATATATATATATATTTTTTCATTGATACAAAAAAAAGCAAAATTACGAAAAAAAATTAGGGCAAAAATAGAGTTTAAAAATAACGATAAAAAGGGTGTATCATGTACACTATAAAATGACAACATGAACAATTTTGCCTCATTGTTCATGCTATGTCAAAAATTTGTTAGTTCTGCATCTCGATGATTTTAATAACCCCTTGCACATTCTCTTAAAATATGCCATTCTAACTTAATTGTTACTTTTCTTTCTTTTTTTTTTTCTCCAAGTTCCCCTTGCGAATATGCAAGTTATTTCTCATCACATGAACATTCCCCCTGTTTGCATGCATTTTTGTAGACCCTTCTACTTCTGTCATGTTGCAATTATTGCTATGATAACCCTGCATGGAAGCTACATCATCTGAATTGTTGAAGCAGAAATTGTTGAATTTTTTATTTTGCGGAATTATTACAGAATTAATCGTGGTTAAACTTTTTTTACACTTTTGTAAAAAATTATTTAACAGTCCAATGTTCATTTTTTTAAAAAAGGGGTTATCCGAAATGACAATATTTTTTAAATAATTTAATTCACATAAATGATTGAGAACTTCTGTGTTCATAATAAAATTATTTTGAATATATAATTGTTTTAATGAAGTCATATATATTATATCCTCTTGAACATGTGTTAATTTATTATTATTTAATCGTAACTCTTGTACATTTGCAAAATGAAAACCAAAACAAAATTGTCTAATTTTATTAAAAGAAAGTGAAATTTTTTTCAAGTGAATCATCTGTTTTGACGGTTTTGCAAAAGTTTCAATAAGATTGTTCTTTAAAATTAATGTCTCCAAATTTTTGAGTTTTGCCAAATTGGGAACTTTTTCTATTTCATTATATGCTAATATTAATGTTTTTAAATTTATTAGTTCACATACTCCATCCATAATTTTAATTTTATTGTTAGACAAATTTAAATATGTTAAGTTACTTATATTATTTAAGTAATTTATGTTATCTATTAAATTGTTCTGTAATATAATTTGATGTAAATTTAAATTCATTTCAACCATTGACAAGTCTTTTAATTTATTTTCACTCAAATCAATTTTCTGTAAATTTTTCATTTGATATAATTCTTCACATTCTTCAATATTTCTGTTTTTCAAAATTAGTTCTTTGCAATTTGATATATCTCCATTTCTAATCATGGAAGATATTTTTAATATCGTTAATTTTTTTATTTCTTCTTCCTCAGTTTTTTTTTTTTCACACGATAGCTTTTCCATTTTGCTGCCATATAAAGAGTATGCACACTTAGGTGTGATTTATAAAAATGCCTTTTGGCGCAACTGAAAATACTCAATGTTTTTTGCTATGCCTGGGAATAAATCTCCTATGCCACTTCATGAAAGATGGACACGTAGGTAGATATACAAGTGGAGAAAAGTAAATAGAGCTACAAGTAGGAGAGATAGCAAAAAAGACATTCAAAAGAATATTCAAAAAAACCTTCAAAGGAACATTCAAAAAAACCTTCAAAGGAACATTCAAAAAAACCTTCAAAGGAACCTTCAAAAGAATATTCAAAAAAACCTTCAAAGGAACATTCAAACAAAAATGTACAAATTCAAACCTCCCATTTTAGAACACCCTTTATATTATATCACAAATAAATGGAAAACTTTTTAAATATGCTCATTTTTGTTCTACAAAAAAAGGAATGTAAATCTTTCTGATGTTTCTGTTTAAACTGATAAAAAAAGCATATATAACGTTTTAATTTGTCATATAAAAAAGGCTTCGAAAAAGATACAGGGGTTATAGTTCCGGATTTATCATCAAACCAAAAATTGTTAAAAGAGCAGTATTAGCCCCTTTTTGTTTTTGCAAAGTAGGGTATTCAAAATGTTGAGGTTTAAAATTTTTTAAGAAAATATATGCAATTATTTTCCGCTAAATATAGTGGGATAAAGGGGACATAAAAAAAGAAAAATTCACATCCTTTTTGTTTTAATTTTCCCACTATAATATTGTTACATTTTTTATTTTTTGTGACAATGTAGAAAATCTTTAAAAGAACTGTGTTTTTGTTGGTTAACAAAAAAAAAAAAAAAAAAGCAAAAATTAAAAAAAAATAAATTTGAAGTAGGCATATCTGCAAAGTGTGAAATACAGAGCTATGACAAAAAAGATAATTGTGAAAACAAACACAAAATCAGTAACAGCTCATGTAGATGAAAAACCCTAAATGGAAAACACAAAAAAATATAAACCAATATGTTAATTACAGAAAAAATACATCAATGGGGAAATAGGACAAGTCAAATGAAAAAAAAAAAAAAAAAAAAAAAAAAAAAAAAAAAAATTGCTACGCCACTCGATCCTTTTATTTTTTCATTCATACATATTTTTTCAACCCAAAGGCATCGGGGTAAACCAAAAAATTTGCAGGAAAAAAAAAAAAAAAAGGATTTATATATGACAGACAAACGTATATGCATAATTATACGCGTATAATACATAAATATGTATAATAATATTTATGTGGCATATAATAACATATTTAACACCTGTATAAGTGGTGACATGAAATTAACTTAACAATGGAGAGGCTAAAATTGTATTCGAGCATACGAAATATAGTGATAACTTCCGGACTTATGTTTGTGCATATTTTGGACGGCTAACTTATGATTCTTAGCCATTTCGGGATTATTTTTCATTTCCAACATTTTATGTTCGGCTTTTTCAATGATTTTCTTTTTCATGGCCTTCCTTCTCTTAAAAATATTTTTCAATCTTCGAATTCCCTTAAGTGATAAGAATTTTTTCCACATATTCTTAAAAACACCTTTGAGTGCCATATCAACCCTTTGTATAACTTTGAATTCAGATTTTAAAACATTCCATATGGCTAACCCAGCCATAGGTGCAAATAAGTAGGGGCCGATAGATGCAAAGAGTCCAACAGAAAAAACACTTTTCATACAAGATTGTGTTGAATTAGTTAAAGTTGCCTTAACAGCTTGTTGTATACAGACTTGCTTAGGTGGTGGGATAGTTGAAGTGTAACAACTAGTAGCAGGTCCCATTCCAATATCGGTGGCATGTTGGCTGATGTCCATTGCACTGAGTAAAGTATATGCAGATAATGTTCCTAACGTCATAAATCCTAATATTTCTTTCATTCTACTTTTTTCTCTTTCCTTTTGCCATTTTCCAATGAAATGTCCAAAATATGGAGCTTGCATGTAAAACATTTGACTTAAATATGGTAACTGCATCTCATTAAAAATTATTTTTGTTAATTTAAGGGAAAATGCAGATGATAAAGATACTCCATTTTTCATAGCCTTTAATTCTTTTTTCATAGATTTTGGTAGTAAGACATCGAAATAATGTAATACAGCATCACCTCCAAGTATCATTTTAAAATTGTTTACAAAATTTTGATCATCAATTTTGTTGCCAAATGCATTTTTAGAAAATTTGGATTCATATTCATGTAAACTCTCAGGATTTTTCAAATGTTGTAATGCAAAAGTTGAAATTGTTTTCCATAAAGCAGAACAGTGATCAGCACACATAGAATTTTGTAGTTCTTTCATTCTATCTTCATGATTTAATTGGGCATATGCTGGATTTATAGCTATCATTCCAGGATTTCTAGCCACACTAAATGGTTCTCTTAAGCGCTTTTCTGAGCCAATTTGAACAACATGATCAACAATCTCGATAAAGGCTTCATTAATTAACCATGATTCATCTTCATTACGTAAAAGTTTATGTAATTCTGCAACTTTTTCTAGTAGTATCATTGCTTTTTTCATATTAATAGTTGCTCCAAACCAGATGGCATGTTCTACTTTAAAGCTCGGTTTTCTTAAAAGCATATTTCCAAGAGAAACAATTTTTTTGAAAATTTTTCGAAAAACAGTTTGTTTAGTTGGTTTAACTGTTCTTGAAAACATGATACTATCTTCGATATTACTTTCTAGTAAATATTTACTATCTTCGACTACTTTGTACACAAAACTATCTCTATTATATGGGGTATCAGAAAGATCTAGCCATATTCCTAAGGCTTTTGCAAATTCTTTGTTTATATAATGATCCCATTTATCATTTTGATTAAAAATCAATTTATTTTCTTGTTTTTCACTTTCTTTTTCTTCATTTAATTCATTTTGCTCTTTCATTAATTTCTCGCTTTCTGTTTCTTGTTCATCCAAATTTTCTTTACTATTGTTTATCTCATTTAATTCTTTCTCAATTGAGTTTTCCATTTTTTGATTTTCAATTTTTTCTTTTTTGTATTCTTCGAAACCTTTGGAAAACCAGGTAGACATTAAATTATCAGCATATTTAGGAAAACCGCCTTCATTAAATACTTGTCTTGCAAGCTCAGCGTTACGATGTTGATAAAAGGTTAAATTTTTTGGCATATATTTTGCGTTTTGAATAATCTGTGTCGATGCAATTGAATGTGTTGTGAAGCGAATGGTGGTCAATATATTTTCTAATAAATGTGTAGGAATATGCTGCAAAAGTTTCATTTTGGCTAGCGAAATCAGTAACTTTTTTTTTAATATTCCCTTTTTCAGGGTTACTACAAGTTTTCTAAGTTTATGAGGTATTAAAGCAGATGTTGAGGTTGCAAGTTTCTCAGACAGAGTAGCTTTCATCATTTTCTTCTTTTCATTGTAATAACTTTTAACTGGATCTTTTTTCGAAAAAGATGACATTATGAATAAATTAACATAAAATAAATTTTCATTTTTAGCTATATTATTTAAACTCTCTAAACTATTTCCTCGTACAATAATTTTTAATGGAGAATTAGTTAACTTTTGTAATTCTTCCAATGTTTTTTTCATTGAATCTAAATTAGATTTGGGTGTTTTTGACAGAACACTATTTAAATACAAGTGATGACGCACAGAAGATACATCGTTTAGAAATGCTTTTCTAATATTTTCATTTTTCCTAAAAATCTTGGCATATCTATCAACCAAAGAATAAAATACTAATAAGGCTTTACTTCTGGCATTGTACTTAGCATCAATTTTGATTAATTTATCTTTTAAATATTTACCTCTCTTTATAAATTCATCATACACATATTTGGTTCTACGTTTTTTACTTCGTCCCTTTGTTACTCCTTGAATATTTATTAATTCCCTATTATCATACCAAAATAGATATTTGTAAAAATCTGAGTACAAATTCTGTTCAAAAATAAGACTTATGTAACTTGGATTTGGTTCTCCATGATTCGAAGTATTTTCTATTTCAGCAAAAGTCCGTAACATATCAAAAGCTCTTTTTAAGCTTTTCTGATTTTGTTTATCTCCAAAATCCGTTTTCAATATTTTAGGATTATACAAAGATGATTTTTCAAAATCACAATTTAATGCATTTTTGGCATCATCCCTTGGACACACTTGTGAAAATATCCTTACTGCATTATGTGCAAAAGAAACAGAATTTTCAAATCCATATGCCGAACTATTATTGAACACTTTTTGAATTTCGTGTACATTTATTAACGTATATGCATTTAAAATCAATTCTAACAAATCACACGATATTTTCCTTTCTCCAACATATGTACTATATCTCCCTGGTCTGGATTCGATCGGGATAAAAGTTATATCTTTGTTAAAAATTCCTTTCGGTTTGTAATAAACATTACAAATTTCGTTATACATAAAGAAAGTATAATCCGAGTTAGCCATGAGCATTGTTTCTAATGAATAAAAAGGTTTCAATCCTCTGACAAAATAATGATTGTAGGAAAGATAAGCTAATGATAGCATTAGCAAATGACCCATTAAATATATGTTAGAAGAAGACGCTATATATATTTCATAATTTAACCCTATAGAAGAAGATGCAAGTTTGTTATATTTTTTCCTTATTGGTTCTATTAATTCTCCCAAAGCTAAATTATGAAAGTATAATCTTTCTAACTGGTTTACCCCTGGATTGTTAATAAATACATGACAAAGATATTGTCTCAAAATTTTATTATATTTCATACTTAAGGGTTGTGCCTCAGCATTTCTGAATGAATTGGCATCTTTAATGAAATTTTTGTCTTCATATGAATCTTTGCTAAAGTTTGTATTTTTTCTATTTAAAGAAGTGTAAATTGTATTTAACAAGTTATTAAAATTGTTAGATTCTACTATTTTTCTTTTTTGTAATTGAGAAATCATTTCACTTCTTAATTCTTCTAAAGCTCTAGAATATTCAAAGGACAAATTCAGATAATCACCTTTTTTTTGTAAGGGTTCATTTAGACGACAGTATTTATCAACTTCTTCTGAAAATTTGGGTCCTATCATTTTTTGTAACTCTATTTCATTTGAGCTTAAGGTATTTCTTTTGTCTAAATTCATATAATTTGAAAAATGATAATATACGGGACCTTTCTGTCCTTTGTGTTTTACATTTAGACCTTCTTCTGTAATGTCATCAGATCCTTCCAAATTTGACATTTTTTCTTTAATTAGCATATCTTGTCCATTATCTACATAAAACACATTTAATGAATCTGCATCTGATTCACTAGAATCAGAATCATTTCCTGAAGATTTATTACTTCCTGTTTTCCCCTTTCCCATATTATTTCTAGAATATTCTCCTTTATTCAATTTGTCCTCAATTTCCTTAGCCCGATTCTTAGCATATGTATTATCATGAACAATAGTATGTATCGATCCACTGCTATTATCACTATTATATCCTGAGTTGTATGCTCCATGGTTTCCCATTTTTTTCCCCGTCAACCTAGGAACATCATTATCATTACCTTTTCTTCTGTCCCAATTATCACTATCTCTTTCATCTGATGACAAAATTTCTTTATTCTTCGATGACCATCTTTTAGGACTATCTACATTTATTTCATATTCAGAATCGCTAGAATTATAATCAGTATCTTTATTATGCTCAGAAGTTCTACGTCTCTCACCTGGTTTTCTATATACCCGTCTTTTATTTCTTATTCTATCTTCTATATCATCATTATCATCTGAACTATTGCTGCTCGATTTTTTATCATTAGGATCCTTCCCTCCGTGTTGCACGTTGTAAATTAATGGATTATTATTACCATATCCATTATAACCCCCTTCCTCTTTGTTGACAGGTCTTAATCCACGAATGTAATCCATGTGTGACATATTGTTTTTTCCATTATTATCCATAGAATATGCGCCTGTTCCATTTGCATTTCCAGTATAGTTCTCTCCATTCATTCCATTTGAGTCATTTCCCCAATTTTTTCTTTGTCCACTACCATTTTTTCCACTATCTAAAGAATAAGTTGAGGATCCATTTCCTTCATTGCTATCAGGGTGTTTAACATAATAAGGTGTTCTATGCGTTCCATTCGTTCCATGCGTTCCATTCGTTCCATGCGTTCCATTCGTTCCATGCGTTCCATGTGTTCCATCCGTTCCATCCGTTCCATCTGTTCCATCCGTTCCATGTGTTTCATAGTCCCCTTTTTGATATGAATTATTACTTTTATTTGATTCTTCTCCACCTAGTCCTGTTCCTTTTTTTCCTTTTCCATTATTTCCACTATCTATATCATACGTTGTCTGATCAATCTCTTTATTTCCATAAAATCTGCCGTTTCCTCCATCTACTCCAATCCCATTGCCTTTCCTGTGTCCTCCTTGCATTCCTGAGTCTCCTCCATTTTCACCATTCTGTACAGAATAATTACCCGGTCCATTCCAATAGCCATTAGATCCATTTGTAGTACCATTTCCGATATTGTTTCCATCAATATATGGAAAGTCTCCTATGTATTTGTTTCCATACTTATCTCCTCTATGATCTTGAAGGTTTATATGTGCTTCTGATTTATACATTGGGTTTTCTCCTTCACCACTTCCAAAACTTTTCCCCCCAGCTCCGCCATATTGACCATACCAATTCCCGTCAGATCCACCATAAGGTCCCAAATTTTCCCCATTAGTTTCGCCATATTTCCCATACCCATTCCCGTTGGCATCATGTCCATAAGGATTTGCGTTAGGATTTTCCCCATGGGGTTCCTTACCAATTAAATTATATGGCCCATTTCCGAGCTCATCATAAACCCCGTTGATTCCATTTTTTGTAGTTAGTTTTGGTGGATTACGTTTATTTTCCGAAAGTTCATACTTTGTGTGAGATGGAGATGTATATCCATCATCCTGATCTCCAATTTTGTTTTGTCCCCTTTTGGCTCTCTTCGCATCAGCCCTTCTTTGATTGTTTATCTTTTCTTCCTCTTCTTCTTCTTGTTTTCTAATTTGATCATATTCATTTCTTAATTTTTCTTCTTGATTTGTGTTCGTACCAGAATTTCCATTCTGTCCATTATTTGCATTAGCATCATTAGAAGACATGTTAATATGAATTCCATTTCGATTTGTTCCATTAGAGTTATCTGAACCCAATCCACCCCCGGACCCTTTATTGAATCCTGTTGATGAATTCTCCCCTGCAGAGTCTGGGGTCCCATGGGTTCCTTTATTGGCACCCATACCCGATTTCCCCTTTTTTTTACTTCCATTTAGTTCATTATCGACTTCATCTTCTTCCTGATCTTGTCCAGGCATATAAAAAATAACTTTGGTTTTTTTTTGGGGAGTATATGTTGGGCTTTGTGTTTTCACATATTGGTTTCCATTTCTTACATTTCTACTTGCTTGTTCTGAACTTTTAGAATTAATACACGCATATATTAGTAAAATTAAAAAAATATTTTTTAACATTTTACTTTTCTTTTATAATAATAGAAACGCATACAAATGGAAAAGATGAAGAAAAAAAAAAAAAAATGAATAGAATAAAATAAAATATAACGGAGGTTAAGTTACAAAAATATAACTAACAACAATAAAATGTTCTGTTAAGCATGAGAAAGTGGGTTCCGTTTATCTTTGGGAGCGGTGAAAATTTACATCATTAATTTTTTGCACATTGGAAACATTATAAGGAATCCTATACCTATACATATAATTTCCCCAATTCTGTGCAATAGAGTAAAATTATTTCACTGTGTCTATTTGGTGTTCACTATTACATCTGTATTTGCGCATGTCAATGTTTATACATACATCTATACATACATCTATGCATGCACCTATGCGCGCACCTAAGCATTCACCTATGTCTATATTTTCATTATCATATTCAACAAATGAATATATGGGAATAATTCTTTTGACGAAGAAAAAAAAAAAAAAAAAAAACTATTAAACCTTTACAAAAACTAGTAACTTAAAAACTAAATACAGTTGGTGTCATAATATTCACATAAATGTATATATACCTTGTGTATAAACAAATATGTATTTTTGTGTTCTTGCGTTTTTTGTTTTTTAATTTTCGTTTTTACTTAAATCAGAAAAAAGAAAAACCAAGTTCTTATATGTGTAAAAACGAAAAACCCATAAAAAAAAAAAAATAAAAATAAAAATCTGAGTAAAAGCGCTAAAGCGTTCTACAATGAAAACATATTTTTATGGTGAAACAGCATATTTCCAATTTTTATGCATATGTTCTGAAAAAAAACATGATTGTATAAAAAATGCCCTCTTCGGGTAATATGCACGTGTATTTAACTATAAGGGAAAAAATAAGTGTTCTTAGAAATAAAAGTGTAAAAAATAAAAAATTAAATCCTTCCTCAATGGTTATTCATTTATTTATTCATACACTTGTTCATATATTTGTCTATTTACTCATCCATTTATTTGTCCATTTGTTTGTATGTTTATTTGTCCATTTTTTGTATATTTATTTGTCCATTTATTTATTTTAATACATGTATACCTTTTTTTTTTTTTTTTTCAACATTCTGACACATTTGCATAAATACATACACATTCTAGACAATTTTTATTTTTAATTTTGCGTTTCCTCCGATTATGTAAGAGTTAACAATTTGCACAATGGCGCACAATTGTGTTTTAAAATATAAAAAAATTGGAACAGTTGCATATATCATATATCTATTTGATGCCATATATAAATATCAATTTATTTTTATTTTATTTATGTTTTTTTTCTTTTAAACATTGTGACATATGTTGCTGAATTGTTCTAAAACATTTAACAACGAAAAATTTCAGTAAATGTCGCTACGCACTATAACATTTTGGTGTTGCATTTTTTAGAAATGTAAAAAAATACTTTTAGAATTAATAAAAAAAAAATGTACATACAAAAAGCATTGTCAGTGTTCTTTCGAGTGTAACAAAAAAATACATAGATTTTTAATTCTTTATGTTTAGCATCTTTGTGCTTTAATCTCCATATATACTTTTTTTTCCCCCTTTTTTTTTTTCCTTTATATGTTAAGCATTTTAGTAAAATGGGAATACGTCAAAGTTTAAAAAAAAAAAAAACGCTATACAATGGATTGTAAAAAAAGGTGTAACAAAATTTAATAGAGGTATAACTTGTTGTATGAGCTTCCAATACCTTTGAAAAATTATCTGAGTACTTTTTTCCATTAATCACGTTGTGAACTCTCTAATCTCTAATTTTGGTGACACATTTTTATAGCCCTCTCACCATGACGATAAAGACTAAAGAGACATATATTTTGGCATTTTCCTTTTGGATTCATTTAAAAGGATATGTTTAATACATTTTTAGCATTAAGTCCATGAATTTGTGTGTTCCTTTATAATAGCATTTTTTTAAGTGACAACACACTGTATCATGTTAAATGAATGAAATTTCTTTTTATTTTTAGCTGCCGAGAAAAGGCATTTTTCCATTATAACTGTTTGCAACAATACACTGTTTTCCTCTTATAAATGATCCCCCAATGTAGCTTAATCTTATTTTTATTACACCTTAACCTTTTCTAATTTCCAGGAAGTATATAGGATAGCCGCAAAGCGGTTAATCATCCGGAAATGTAAAACAATAGATTTTTTTTTTTTTTCATTTTTTATATATTAGGCATATTTTGGAAATTTTTTGTTTTTCCTTTTTGTTATAATACCTCAATGTTTGTTGTATTGTCGCGTTTATGGCAATTTCTATTTTTCTTATATAAATAAAAAGGATATAAGCTCACAAAAAGGGAATTTAAAAAATAAAATATGGAATTATATATTACCCTATACGCGTTCATTTTATTACTCCATGTATTTGCCTCTGATTGTTGCTGCGTTCCCTTCTTAAGTTTCTAAACATGTTGTTATTGATATTTTTTTTTTTTTCTCTTTATTCAGCGTGCATTAAATGGATAAACAAATAAGTGATAGAGAATTTTACATTTACGTATGATGAGGAATAAATTTTGAAGGTTCACAGATTTACTTGTGTGTTTTTTTTTGGTTTTTTACCTGGGGGCTGCGCTAAGCACTAATGTATGGAAAAAAAAAAAAATGCCACATTTTGTTACTTTGGTTACTGCCAATAAAATCGTAGTATACGAAGTGGGTGTTTTTTTTTTTTTTTTTTTTTTTTTCTCTAAGTTCGAAAATTTCTTGTCCTACAACTGAGTTATTTTTTCATGATATACATTCATATGTAGGAGTAAATTACAATTTTTTTAAAGTTTTTATACCTACTCATGCTGAGAGACTTTTTAATCACACAAAGTGCATATAAAAGGAACCTATTTTTTTAGATATGTACATATGCATATTATGTAATATATATATTATGCAGGGGTTACTTTTTAACAAGCTTAACAAACTTTTTTTTTTTTTTTCTCATTTAATTGTTGATTTTAAGTTCATTGGAAGAGTCCATTTAGGGACTGTTCTTTTTATGTATAATTTTACTGAAACTTTTGTGATCATTTTACTGCTTGGCTGGGGTAGCTCTTCTTTACCTGTATGGTACTACGAAATTTGTTTTTCCCCAAAATATAACAGTAGATGAAATATATCAATTTGGTTGCTACACTTGCGCATTTATGTAATCGTTTGGATAGATAATATATGTAAGACTGTAACCAAACTTCTAGATTGTAGCGAAATTTCCGCCGTTCCTGTCCCGTTATGTGAATAGCTATCTTATACTATTATCCAAAAACCAAGAAAAAAAGAAACGGAAAAAAAAGAAAAATTTCAGCATTTTAAAATAAAACAATGAAACACAGATCTCACTTAAAACAACAAAATAAGCATTTTAAAAAATTAAAAAGCCACAAGAAAAATAAAAGTTTAAAAAATTCACAGAAAAAAAGAAAAAAAAATGTAACTCCAAAATATAGCAGTATATTGCTTCGGACTCACCAATCTTATAACAGCAAAGTGAATAATATAAAAAACGAACTAGAGGAAAAATCAAAGCACATACCATTTTACAGTTGTTTAAATATATGTTTATTAGGGTTTCATGAGGATGCTGATGTACTGTCATTTAAGAAAGAGTTTATAAATTTTTTATGTGAGCAGAATGGAGACATTATTAAAACAGATAGTATAAATTTATATGATACATATACAATACATGCAGAAAAAAAAAAAAAAAGGTCATTAGTAATTTATGATATTCCAAGAAACATATACGGAATTATAGATGGAACAAAATGTGCTGACATTGTATTGTGTATATTTAAGGATGGAACTATTGAAAATTCTTCATTTGATGAATTGGGTTATGAACTATTATCGCTTTTAAAATTACAAGGAGTTCCTTCAGTCATTGGGGTTGGGTACAATACAGATGAAAGGAATAAGTATTCACAGAAATTTGTGAATAGATATTTCAATTCCGAATTTACACAGCAGGACAAGATATTTTTCATCAGCAGTGGTGGTAATAACGAGGATCGTTTCAGCAACAAGTGCGACTTTTACAAACTGTACCATGAAATTATGAATATGAAAATACGAAATTTGTCTTACCGAGAGGGTAGGGGATATATGATGGTTAATTCATATGCATACAATGAGGAAAATGATTCTATTTTTCTAAAGGGTTTTGTGAAAGGTGCAGGGTTTAATGTTAAAAACCCTATACATATAACAAATATTGGAGATTATTACATTGATGATATATACGTCATAGATGTGATGACACGAAAGAAAAATAACAGTGAAGAAGGAATGGACAAATATGAGTTTAATGATTTCATTCAAGAGAATCAGAAAGAAGGAACAAATTCCACATTTAGTAATTTCTTCCAGAATAAGAACATTTTATCTGATTCGAGTTATTATTTTAATTGTAACAATATTAACTATAGATTTTTGCCTATTCAGAATTGTGAAAACAGAAATAACATGAATGAGGAGGAAGATTTAGTATGCATACGACAACATATCGAAGAAGAGAATTATCCGAAAAGCGATAATTTTATGATGCAAAAAAGTAATAGTAAGTCGGATACGCCCGTCACACGACTGATTAACCCTATGAATGAAAACACAAGTGGGGAGAATGCACTTGTGTATAAATTTAATTTGAACGAAAGCTTGCACAGTAGAAATGATAGCAATGGCATGTGGGATGACAATAATGATGACGGCAGTAATTATCACAAAAATGAGATAAACACTTCAAATTCGAGATCTCTCTATGGCACTACTGACATGGAACATCCAAGCACATCGAATGAGAAGCACATGATTTCTAACACTATAAGTAGCAATAGCACTCTTGTCGCCACAAATCAGAAATGCCAATCAAACAATTCTTGGGCATATGTATCAAAAGAAAAGCATGAAATGGGAGAAGATTTTATATGTTCTTATAATAGGAATGAAACATTGAATGCGATGAAATATTTTATAGAAAATAATAATACTATTAAAAACGAAAAGAATTATTCAAATAAAAAAACGCTTTCACGAGGAAGTAATTCGGATGGGGATAATGAAGATGATTTGGACATAGATGAAGAAATCCAAAATGATGACACGGACGGAAGCACGGATGGTAGCACTGGTGATTGCACGGGTGGTTGTACTAATGATAATACGAATGGTAATGCGGATGAAGATACCATCGAGAGAGATTTTAACAACTCAGACCATGTCTATCTGTGCAAAAACATAAGTGCAAAGGAACGATTTAAAAGGTACAGAATTTTGCAGAGTTTCAAATCGTCCTATATAGACGTATATGAGGATTTACCAATCGCATATTCACGCGTTTATGATTATGAGAATTACGAAAATTTAAGTAAATATTCCAAAAAAAAGTATATAGAAAACTCCAAAATTATAAGAGGTGAATTTACAGTAACAGATGCCTACTGTTTATTCGTTATAAAAAATGATGGGAAATTATTACATTTAATAAATGGTATGAAAAGGAAAAATTTACCTCTTATCATTTCAAGCTTATTGCCATATGAACGAAAAGTAACAGTTGTCAATATGGAAGTAGAACGAATATTACCCCATCCTGAAAAAGTGCAATCAAAAGATGTTTTTGAAATCGTTTGTGGATTTAGGCATTTTCTAAGCCGTCCAATTTTTAGTGAACAAATTATTAAGGGAATACAGTCAAAGGGGAAATATGAAAAATATTTGAAGCATGGAAAAAAATATATAGCTTCGATATTTGGTTTTACAACAGTAACTAGTGCTCCCGTTTTTATTATAAAGAAAATTGAGCAAAAAGAGGACTCAAATCCGAATTCTTTATCAGTTGGAACGTTGGAAAATGAGTTATTTTTACAGTATATGGGTAATGCTTGCGCAATGGGAGAAAATTCCAACACTGGAGGACTATCGAATGCATATTACAGTGCTAATAATTATAATCCTAATAATTTTTCTGGTTTATGCAATTCTGGGGTTTCAAATATGAATGGCGAATCTTGTGAACCCTTTCTTGGGTACACCACCGATTGTAGGAATACTGCATCTGTGGTAGTTGCATATGGAAAAGTTGTTAATTGTGATTGTAAGAGAATAATTATGAAAAGAATAAGTCTATGCGGAGAAATTTTTAAAATTCATAAAAAAAAGGCTGTCATACGAAACATGTTTCATAGACCTGAGGACATAAATTATTTTAAGCCTGCACAATTACATACAAAATTGGGGTTAACTGGAAAAATACTAGAATCTTTAGGTACCCATGGAAAAATGAAATGCCTCTTTAGCAATGTCTTAAAACAGCACGATAAGGTTTTTATATTTTTGTATAAAAGAGTTTATCCGATATGGTACCCTCCCACGTGGGGTGGAAATCCGCATTTGGGTCCCGATGATAAGCCCCTGCAGTGCAAGGAAAGAAAGATAAGCATGCTTTGACTACAATTTGTAACTGCGCTTGCTTTCTTCCACCTGTAATTGGCACTATATGTGGAAACACATATATATGTAGACGGTCTATATGTAGAAGTAGTATTTGTAGTAATATTTGTAACAGTCGATAGCAGCAGTAACCGCACACGTAATACGAACCCATGTACTTCATCTAAGATTAAGTTATCTGTAAGTGTACACTTGAAATACAACATAATTTTGTGATTCTTACAGCCAAGTAGTCATATCAATGAGTTCTTATATATAAGCTCCTATATGTAATAAAGTTAATGTAAAATAACCATTTTCTCGTTGTTTCTATTGATTTTAAGCATATTGAAAATTTGTTGTTCTATAGAGTTCTTTAAAAAAATGTACTCTACTTTTTAATAGTCTTTAAAAAGAAGTATAACACTTTTTAAAAATAGAGTCTAAATATTTAAATTTTTTTTTTTTTTCACGTTTACATATATTCTTTCAGTTAACAAAATTTTCACTCTTATAATTTTTAATGTCAAATGGGAAAAAAAAAAAATCACTCTTATGAAAATACATTTATGCTGCGTAATATTTTCCTTTTTTATTTGTGTATTGTATAAAAGTGTTTATTGCTTTTTTAAGTTAATTTTTTCTTTTTCTTTTTTTTTTCTCTCTTTCTTTTGTTAATACAAAACAACTGAATTAGCAAAGAACTAATTTAAATTCGATGTGTATATGTCTATATCAAATTAAGCGATTACTTAACCCCCTTTATATACACATTTATAATATGTTAACATTCAGGTGTAATTCCCTATATGTTTTTTTGTGTACCACTTAAGCAAAGTATATTTTTTGGAGTTTAAAATATGTGCATCACTTAAAGCAGTTTGTGTAAACGAGTGATTAAACTTTAAACGAATTTCGCAAATGTTGTTACATTTCGTTTTTTTTTTTTTTTTTTTTAAATAGCTAAATGTTCTTTCATTTTTTATTATATATATTTATTTTAGCATAGTATGGGAAGATTATGAAACAAAAAAACAAAGAGCACATGAAAATGTAGTCATGTACAATACGAAAGTGTAAATAAATACACATATCCACACATATATATATATATATACACAAGTACCTGTATACATGTACGTATATATATACATACATAGCAGTGTGTATAGTATCAGTGTACAAAGAATAACAATTTTGTAATTAAAATGGTATCCAAAAACGATTCATTTTCATATTTACGTTGAAAAAAAAAAAAAAAAAAGAAGACTTATGTACATGATAAAAAACGAATATTATTCAATTTGGAAAAGCTTACAACATTAATAATAACATTATGCTAAAAAAAAAAAAAAAAAGAAACATTGATAATTAATGCTTTACATAAATAAGAAGCAAATAGGAAATTTAGGAATGTCTAGGGTGTGTGTGTGGGGAGGAATTAATATAAGGGAGCACATATTATGGATACCATTAAAAGAGATATTACTAAGACATAAAAAAGATAATAATACTAATAATGAAAACAAGAAGGATATCATAATGGTGGCATAACAGCAACATACCACAACAGTAAGTGTAGCAACAATAGTAACGATAATAATAAAAATAATATGAATATGTACTAAAAATGAATTACTGTAAATTTTTTTTTTTTTCATTATTATTTGTTTATTAATTTATTTAATTTTTTTTTTTTTTTTTTTTTTTTTGATACATGGATAATCTTGGCATTCTTAAAAACTTTGTGCAGTACAATAAAGAACAAGTATGTATATAGGACAACATACACATATCTACATATGGGTAGATCTACATATATCTACTCATAAAAAAAAAAAAAAAAAAACTTCGCATAAAAGCATATACTTTGCAACATACGATGGCACTTACATTACTGTTTCTGCTCCTGTTGCTGCTATTATAGGGTTATAAAAAATTTTGTGCTTATAATAGCTCAATATTATCTGGGTAATTTTTAGGTGGGGAAACATTTCTCGATGTTAAATAATTATTTTGATTGGATCTATTTCTTGTTAGTTTGAAATCATTATTTCTTGTTCTATTCCTATCGTTGGAATATGACAAAAGGGTAGGAACATCTTCTTCATTATCATCCTGTAAAAGATATTTTAAAAAAAAGAAAAGACTCGTTGTAAAAAGCATGCAAATTCTTAACATATATAAATATGTAGGTCGACTGTCTAAGAAGTATAATGAGATATGAAAAAGGGTCAAAACGCGCGACCAAAGTAACTTTGATGCTAATTCATTACCTGTTCTGCATCTATGAATTCCATTTCCGGCTCAAACACGTTTGTACTTACATTTCCTCTTTTCGTTTTAATGACAGAATATTTCACATGTTCAAATGTGTCGAAACCTGCATGTGGAACAAGGTAATATTGGATATGAAGTGAGGTATCATAAAAAGCAAAAAAATATATATAATTATATGTATAAAATAAATACGAATCATCATATAAGGTTGGTAAATATTTCCTATGTAAACAAAGATAAATTTTCGTACACAATAACAACAAAAATATGTTTGTTCTATAATTACCATAGTTGTAAAACAAGTGTTTAAATTTGGGATTTCGGCACAGGTACGTTACTATGAGCATAATAATACCCAAAATAAATAGTATGAATAGGATGGACTTTGCCGCTGGAAAAAAAAAAAAAAAAGCAAAGAAGAATAAATGAATAAATGAATGAATGGAAAAACGACCGAAGGCGGACGAGAATGAATTAAACTCTCGTAACGCAATCTCATGTAGACATGCTCACAACGAAGATATGACATACGATACAGTGCTGTGTGATCAAAGCACATATAAAAATTTTCTTTCTTTCCAAGTGAACTTACTCCTATTAAAAGGTGAATGTGAAGGACATGGAACGGGTACCTTCTCCGGGACCCAACCATTAACACATATATCCCCTGGCACCTTCCTATATGCATTTGCATAAAAATAAGAACTGCTTGTACAACCTTCAATAGTTAAAGTCGGATCATTTGGTTTACATTCATAACTTCCAACTTTTCTCGTGAAACCAGTTTCACATTCGTAATCTTCTGGAGTGCATTCACAAGACTTCTTATCAACATTTCTTTTTAAGTCTTTTCCATTGAAACATTCAGACGTTTGCTTCCTTCTTGTGTATGTAATTTTTCTTCCTAGTATACATTTGTTGGAAAAGGATCCACTTGTAGGTGACCAAGTTTCGTAGTCTGATGAAACTGAATCAGCTGCCCATAATCCTTTACATAATGGTTGTCCGAGTGCATTAAAATCTAAATGATATAACACTCCGACATCATTTCTTGTGCCATATACTAAAAATTCAACAGAAGAAGAATTAGGTTCTGCAACAATATTATCAACATCAATTGAAAATTGTCCCAATTCAAAATCAAACCAACTTTGCCCTTCGTTCCAACTAAAAACTATTTGATTAGTTTTACGTAAATCATCAGCCATAACTATTAATCCACCATGGTCTCCATATTCATAAATATAAGGTCCTTTATGAGCTTCCATCCATGTTACTCCACCATCTCTTGATAAAAATGTATTGACCTCATCACTTTCATATCTTAAATGACTACCAACATTGCCTGTTCCCATAATTATACCAACAGCATTTTCTATCGAATAGAAAGGTGCATATTGATGATAATTTGTAATTCCATGCAAATGTAAATAGCAACTATCTCCACAATCATATTTATTTCCTCTACTATCTACTTTTGGTGCTTTTAAATATGACCAATGTCCACCTTTATTAAAAGATATTACTGTTCTAACAAGATCCTCATTTTTTCCTTTAGCTGACTGTTTTTTTCTTTTCTCTGTATTGGTTTGAAACGGACTAATATCTTCTTCTAACTGTGATTTAAAATTATGAAATTTTAATTCTTCATCTTTTATATCATCATTTTCGTCCAAAAAATTTGCTATATAAACTCCGTCTAAACTTAGGATTCTATCAAATTCACATTCCCCTGATGATGTTCTAATATTATTTGGTAGAGAAAGCGTGTAATTTAATCCAGAAGAATCCGAAATGTAAACATTTCCTGTGTTCATTCTATCTGATGATGTCCCATGATTTACATGTAACATTATAGCACCTTCTGATGTATCTAAAACCGTGTATGATTTTTCGTGTATATTTTCCGGTAAGTTGGCTTTATTAAAAGTTTTTCCTCCATCTGTTGAAACCATCATATTGACAGTTTGCTTAATGACATCATTCAATCTTGCCACAAATATATACCCATTTGATATTAAAAATTTATTACCTTGTTTAACTAATACATCTACATTTTTTCCAAAATTGTCTGTTCTTACAAAATCAACATCTTTTGACCATCCACTGAATCTCTGTTGATGTCCATTTCTATTTTTATGACGCGTATAATAAATTGAGTCTTCCGAATGCGTGTCTTTATCCCCCCAATTAAACTGAACAACATAAATATCTATTAATTGAAATGTCCTACCTAAATCTTTTGTTACTGATAATGTTTGCATACATTCTCCACTTTTATCATTCGTAGAATAACATGCAGATGTCCATGAAGAAACTAATGCCCAATGCGTTTTGCTACTATGAAACTGCCAGAAATTTATTTTGTTTTTATAATTTATTAAACGAAATGTTTCTCCTGAATCTTCTGAAACATAATGATTTTTTTGATTTCCAACAATTAATACAATGTTTTTATTCACAGGGTTTACCATAATGAGATCTATTGTTGTCACTTCATTTGTATGATTTGATGTCTCCCCTTTGTTATTTGGATTTTCCGATAGACTGCTTGTGATGTTAGTCCATATTTTTCCGCCATCTGAACTTCTGTACAGTCTGCCCTTTACTGTTTTGACCAAAACTGTCATGTGATTATTTCCACACCATTGAACATCCTCCACAGCACTATCAAAATTTATTTCACTCACTGAAACCTTTTTTTTTGTTATTTGGCATTGTGATAAATTGGTTAGTAAAAAAAAAAGAAGCAAAAAAATGAAAAGCAATAATCGATTTTTATTTTTATTTGTGTTATTATGAACAAAAATTCGCATTTTTCTTTCATCTGAATGGTCACATTTAAATCGTAACTGCTTTGCTTCTATCTTTTTTTTCATCCTTAAGTTGTGCAAACGAGTACTTTTTTTTTATATATATGTTTGGAAGATGCTACGGGTGGTATTTTCTTATTTTTTTTTTTTGTAGAAGATGGGAAACTCCCAGTGAATGAGGGGTGGTGAAACTGTTCAGTTCTAAAAAAATGAGCAGTGTTAATTTATCTTACTTTATTTCACATATGTGCATTTATATTGTTTCCCTCTATGACGAAACAAACCCTATGGGTTTTGTAGTGTTTATAATTTTTACATAAGGGAGAGAGAGATAAGGTTAGATACGAAAAATGAAGGTACTTATCACTCTTGTATGTGCCCTTGCAAATGTATACATGTAAGAATATATATATATACATATATGTTTATATGTAATATCTAGTAAAAACGCACAAACCTTAAACATTTAAAATTTCTCAAACATTCACTTAAAAAAATGAAATAAAAACAAATATGAAATTAAATCTGTGTGTTTCTTCCTGTGAATATATATGAAAAAAAAAAAAAAAAAAAAAAAAAAAAAAAAAAAGTTTCACAATATTGAGTTAATTTTTAAAAGAAAAAGGTTTTCACCTATTTATCACAAAAAACTGCATCTTATTTATTTATTTATTTTTTTTTTTTTTTACAATGTTACCTCATATTACATGCACAGAAAAGGAACATATCTATGTAGCTCCATGTTTAGGCGAAAAAAGTTGGCGACAAATAAATCCTACTTAAGGATGTAAAAATGTTTCTATGAAGTAGCAGCAACAAACTTATTAAATAACTTGTTATGCACAAAAGTGTATATTTGTTTACATGTATGTATAATTTAGCTTATGCACATAAATATATATAATCCCCCAACGTTTATTTTGTTCTTATGTGTACAAATATATTTTATGTGCCCAATTATTACAGAGTACCCAAGGACATTCGTTAAAAATGCCATAAATTGACAAACAAGTAATATGATAGGTGAAAAAAAAAATAATTTCGAAATTTCATCTATATGGGTTTTTTTACAAATCATTTCTGTAGTACCACAATGAGTAAAAAAATTTTATACACCTAATTTATTCATTTTTTTGCTAGACCTTAGATAATAATAAAACACACTTGCTTGTGTTGCACAATGAATGTTCAAGCCTTTCTTTGGACTTGCAACGTGCATAAAATTTTTATAAGGATATTTATGGCACAAATCAAAATTATGCGTCTATAGTGTTACATACATGGTGTGTATATGTTCCATGTGCCAATAGAAGTGTGCATAGTAAAATAGGTTATATTTTTGCCAAAACTTTTTTTTTTTTTTTTTTTTTTTTAATTGCAAGTGGAAAAAACTTGTCATTAAGATCAGCAAGTGAAGAGAGAAGATTGATAGATCTGACGCAGATTGAAAGCTGCACAGTTTAACAGAGCAACTGGTGAATATAGTTTGGCCGAAATTTTGCCATTTTTATAAAAAAAATGAAATAAATGAACATAATGATTGGCTACAAGTTAATGTATGTGCGTATGTATACATATATGTTTGCGGGAAGATTCCAAAGTCAAAAGGGACATCAAGGCATGTCGCTCCTTCTCTAAATACATGCTGCTACACACTTTATATGAAAAGAAAAAGAAAGACATTACAACTATCAATACACTTAGAAATTGTTTAATTTTTCCGTTTCAATGTAGGTAAATACTTAAGGGTGTCCGATTTTACAAATTTCATGTATGTTGTTTGCCTGTAGAAAGAATATCCGATTTTACGTATCAAACAGTTAATTTGGTGCCTTTCGATTTTGTGTACTTTTATAAAAAGACAAGCATTTTCCAAAAAGCTTATTGAATATTGGAAATGATACAAATTATATCTACATTATAAACATTAAAAGGAACAAAACCGTAACTGTTTTATCGTCACTACATAGCCCTAATTATATCATAGAGTATATTATGTAAATTCTGTTATTATTACTATTTTTGAAAAAAAATAATAAATTCTTTTTTAGCGTCTATTTTTTTTTTTTTTTTTTTTTTTTTTTTTGGATAGAAACATTATGAAAGCAAAAAATTGAAAGGGGGTACTTAAATTACCATTTATTATATTTTTTTAAAGGAATTTTTTTTTTTTTTTTTTGTTTCTTCATAAAGGTGTAAAACAAGAAAAGGAACAAATATTAATGTCCCCTTTTTACGTGTTAAATGTACCCATTTAAAATATATGTACATGTTATATTTTTCCGTAATTTTGCTTAATGGTTTCCAAGTAAATTTGTAAAACAATTTTAACGTTTAAATTTTGCGAAATTGTGAAGAAAGCAAAGACGGTAAAGACTGAAATGTTCCATTTTTCCTTAAAAATGACATTCTGTTGAACACTTTTTTTTAAACTTTAAAACTTTTTCATCAATTGATTTCATACAACTGTTTGAATATGTATTATTATGGGATGTTTTGATAATCCATGTTGTGCGTAAGCGCACATGTATATAAATATATATGCTCGTGTCTGTAATGTGTTTATTCTATTTTGCGATCATATTTAGCAGTGTGGTTATAATAATTTACATTTGGCACAATGTATCAAGTCCTCCATTTGCACTACTTAATGGCCTGAATATGTAATCAAATAACCCCTACTTCAATATATACGCATTTCGGCGTTTGTTTTTACCGCACAAAAAGGGATACAAACAAGGGTATATAAGATGCCTAAGTGATCCAAGTACACACACATGTATGTGTATATCATATATATATATATATATATATATATAACAAATGTACAAGCATGTGTGCTCATTATCGCAGTTTTTTTTTTTTTTTTTTTTTTTTACTGATAAAATAAAGCTTATAAATTAAGCGATTTAAAAAAATATTTCTATATTATGCTCAGGCAGTAACATATTATTTTTTCTTTTATCGTACAATTTTAAGAGGATAACAAAATGAATTTTAGCTTTCATCTTTTTTTTTTTTTTTTTTTTTTTCAGTTCAAAATGCGCATCATATTTTCGTATCATAATTTCCCCTATTTTGTGCATGTTATTTCTTCTCCTTTTCATGAATTTATACACTTTTCGTATGTTTAATTATGCACATTTTCGTGCGATTAACATGAACCGTATTTCTGCGCGTAATTACTGATTTTCAGAATTTGTTCAATTTCTCCTTTTTAACAATTTTCCATATTTTTTTCTTCCTCTCCCTTTTTGATTGAATGTGCATGAAGGACATCATTATTTTTACTCATGTGTGCACATTTTTCGAAAAAAAAATATAAATAGGACTTCCCCCTTTTGTAGTGACTATTTTATGTATATTCGCATGCTATTAACTTTGAACATTTAGCTTGAGACCTCTTTTATTTATTCTTATATTTGCATTTTCTTTTTCAACCCCTTTTGTCAGAATTATTTTGACTTATGCATTATGTCAAAAAAGATACACAATTTTAGTGACAAATTAATTTTCAGCCTATGCCTGCAATTAACGTACATTTTTTTTTTTTATTTTAGAAATAAGTGAATATTTTAGAGACAGAAATTGTAGTAGCCTTTAAATTT